ATATATTGACTACCGAACTGGAAATCTCTCCAGTTTTTTTATCTCAGTCACCTGGTCATCTGGAAATCTGGTCATCTTAATGTATTTTCGAATTTTTTTGTGTTTCTTTCTCTCTCCCGGCCTCTCCCTTCACAGGTGTCCCTGCTTTTGCCATCAGTCATAGCATATTGTATTGTGCTATGTTGAATTCTGTTTTTTTTTTCTCTAGGCATCAACATATGCTTTTGTTTCTAGCAATATCTGAGCTCAGGACTAGCTTTCTATTTGTAACTAGCAAAGATACTTTCTCTGAGCACACAACAAAGCAAGTCGCTCTGAATAAGAATGTCTGCTAAATGCTATAAATGTAAATGTAATGTGAGGAGGACCTCTAACCAATCAAAATCCTGGCTGGTGTAATTAGGGGAAAAGCCTAAGCCTTCAAAGGAGGCTTTCAGGATGGCAGAAGGGAGATAGGATTGCTTTTTTGTTTGTGATTTAATTTCTTGTGTTAGGGTTGTGCTTTTGGTTTTTGGTATTTTACAAGTACATCCTTTTACTTGGTTTACAAGAGCTTGTCTCTTTGGTTAGTGGAGTAATTCTGTTTTGTTTTTTTTGCCTGCATACTTTTAAGAGATAGCGTTGGGGGTGTGCTTTTGTTGGGTAGGTCACACCAGCACAGTCCCAACAAGAGCTGCTTGATTTGTACCACCTGGGGTTTCAGACAGGTAAGAGGGGCATGCCTATTTATTTGCATCACATCTGCTCTGTCTGGTCAGAGGGTGGGCACTGTCCCTTGTACTTTTGGTTTTAGCCAGGCATGCTTAGTATAGTTGGCTTTTGTTTTATTTTGTAGTTTAGCTAGGTAATTTTTGTTTCAGAGTAGGCAATCGTGGTTGTTTTTTTCGTTCTTTTCTTTGGTGCTGTCCACAGTTTGATGGTACTAGGTATCATAGCACAGTTTGTATTGTGGTTGGTTTTAATGAAATAGCTTTAAAAGCTCATATGTGTTCCTTGTGCTTTAACCGTACATCACCAGTTCAGTGTTTCAATTCCACATCTTAAAGATCCCACAGAACCCTAGACAAAACATGGGATCATAACATGTTGTCTCATCATAAAATGCTTCAAAAACATCCGAAGACCTCCGTGTCCTAATGCTAGTTATGGACATGATAGGCTTGAAGCAATTGTGGATTACAATGGTTGCTAAGCAGTGACTGGAGGGTTAAGAAAGTAAGGCAGAGTGTGCCTCAACGCGTAATGATTTCATCAGCCATAACGCAGCGGGAGCACTCACAGAAAACAAATAAAATGTCAAATTTCAAATATCTTAAAATGTGGCTTAATACATATTTTCCCATTTGACTGGACAGGCCTGTGAGGGCTATGCTGAAACTACTGAGGCCTGCACCTCGGAGTCCTCCTGTAACGGCTAGTTACAGCCATGTCTTGAGTCCAATGGTGGTATGCTTAACACCACTCCAAGTGACGCTTAGTGACCTTAGGCTTGTGTGTGGCTGCTGATCTTTGCACAGCTAATCCATGAAGCTGCCCATAAACAGTTCTTGTGCTGATGTTTCTTCCAGATTTGAACTCAGTATAAAGTGCTGCAACCAAAGACTTTATGCACCAAGTGGTTCAGAACTCTGTGGTCCTGTTCTGTGAACTTGTATGGCCTTGTATGTATAAATACAAAAGACAAACTATGTATATCAAAACATTATAACTGCCGTGTAATATGCTACTGGTCCTTCTTGTGCCACCAAACCGCTCTGACTGCCAAGACCTCTGAAGGGGCCCTATCGTATCTGGCACCAATCCGTTAGCAGCAGATCCTTTAGGTCCAGTAAGTTGCGAGGTGAAACTGCTACAGATCGGACACAGATTGCCACAAATTGCCTCGATTAGATTGAGATCTGGGAAATTTGGAGGGCAGGGCAACACCTTGATTTCTTTATTCTGTTCCTCAAGCTATTCCCAAACAATGTGTGCAATGTGGCAGGGCACTTTATCCTGCTGAAAGAAGCAACTTCCATTGCAAGTACAACACAACAATGTTAATTGTTACTAATGCCCAGACTCAGGGCTTCCCAGCAAAGCATCGCACAGAACATCACACTCCCTCTAACAGCTTGTCCTCTTCCCACAGTGCATCCTGGTGCGATCACTTCCCCAGGTTAACAGCACACACATGCTCAGCCATCCGCGTGATGCTAAAAAACGGCTCATCACACCAGGCAACCTTTTTCCATAGCTCCTATGTCCAGTTCTGACGGTTGTATGCCCATTGTGGATACTTCTGACAGTGGACAGGAGTTAGTATGGGCACTCTGACTGGTCTGTGACTACACAGCCCCATACTCAGCAGGGTGTGATGATTTCTTTAACTTGTACCATTGTAGCCCTTTTGCCTCTGCAAATTGATGAGCCTTAAGCTCCCAACATCTTGTTGCTGGTTTGTCCCAGTCATCTGGCTATAACGTTTTAGCTCTTGGCAGTTGCTGAGGTCTTACACCAGGCAACCTTTTTCCATAGCTCCTTTGTCCAGTTTTGACGGTTGTATGCCTGTTGTAGATACTTCTGACAGTGGACAGGAGTTAGCATTGGCACTCTGACTGGTCTGTGAATACACAGCCCCGTACTCAGCAGGGTGTGATGATTTCTTTAACTTGTGCCGTTGCAGCCTTTTTGCCTTTGCAAATCGATTAACCTTAAGCTCCCAACACCCGGTTCCTGGTTTGTCCCAGGCATCTGGCTATAACATTTTTGCTCTTGTCAGTTGCTGAGGTCTCACATCCAACACACCGACTATGAGAACAGACCGCTTACTCACAGTCTAATATATCCCAGACCTTGACATGCACTGTTGTGAGATAATCAGCACTATTCGCTTAATCTGTGGTCATAATGTTTTAGCTCATCTAAGTACATTCAGACTAATAAAACAGTTATTTTTTAATTTTTTAATACAAATTATACTTAAAACTTCTGAATCCTCCAGGAAGATGTGAAGACCATGCTAATGTCCTAAAGGTGAGACAAAAACCCCAACAACTTGGCACTCAGAAGTATCAACTATCAATAGAATTAGCTGTGGGACTGTACGCTGCTGTACTGTAGCTTGCAACTGCCATAAATGTGGCATATGTAAATTTATTAACACAGCCACAGGCCCTGAAGGATAAATTGTCTCCCATCACTCCTCATGCATTACTACAGGAGTTGTCCATTATATCTCCTGTACTGGACACAATCAATTATACGTCAGAGAAACCAAACAAAGACATGCTGATCACTTCACTGAAAATCTACTAACCATCAGAATTAAGGTTCTTTCATTTTCCTGTACTGAGACATTTTTGCGGTATTGGGCACAATATTAATGACATCCCTGTTTGGGGGATGCCAGTTTTTGTTATGCCAGCAATGAGGTGTGAAAACTTCAGCATAAATAAATGATCTACATGCTTGAAACTTTAGAATCCCATTGAATAAATGTTATGATTTCAACATCTACTGGTTAAATATCAGTTCCTACAGCTTCAGAAACACTTTGCTGCTAAAGATCATGAAGACTTCCGTCTGAAATGTCCTGCAGTTCTTCTGGAAGATTTGTGTACTATATTACAATTTTTACTACTTCTGCAGTTTTGGGCAGTATTCAAAATGGAGTGGGTCAAGCGTTGTCAGGAGTCTGGATGTTATGTGATTTCTAACCAGCTTTTCAAAGAACTTCATCATGATGGGAGTGAGTGTTATAGGGCGGTAGTCATTGAGTGTTGATGATGGTGACTTCTTTGGCAGTGGTATGACATGCTCTCCTTGCTCTGTTGTAAATAGTTTTGTTTTTAGCTTTGTCATAGACTTGGATTTGTGCAGAGGATTTCCATTGTGTATTTACTTCTCTGTATGTTGAGTTAGCATTGATGCATTTTGTCAGTGTACTTTTGTGAAACCAAAGAGCCATTTCCAAATATATATAAATTTAAAATTAGCTTATGCTTTTACAGGGCAGTATGTAAAGTCACTAAGGGGGCATATAGCAAGACCTTTGATATATAAATTAAATATGAATGGATTAAGGATTGAAACTTGCAGGACCCCTTTAGTGACAGGCATTAAATCTGATTGGCAGTTATCATGTGCCACACATTGTTTCCTGTCAGAGAAGTAGTTTTGAGCCCGGTTAACTGTATTTTTTATTAAAAACAAATGTTTGTAAGCTATTTAATAGAAGTGACTGATCAATTCAAAGCTTCCAACTGAATAAACAGACATCACTCCTCTTCATTTTGTTCTAATAATACAAAATGACTAACTCTCTTTAATGACAGAAAATAAAACACTTATACCTGGCTGCCCATTTTCTGTTTCAGATCAAAACTGCATATGTCATAATTGCATATTTTGTACAGGTAAGAAGCTTTTGAGGCAGCCTAATATCCAGGGCCTGTAGGTAGATTGTGCCTTCAAAATAAAAGGCCCAGACAAAAAGTTCGCTTTGGTTTACAATTTTAAGTTTGGAAAGGCATTTGCACAGAAACCAGACATTATGTGGAATGCCTCGGTCAAAAAATATGCATTTCAGACACATACATGTTATTTTGAACCCTTAATTGGACAATGGGTTGTGTTGGCTTAGTCTGCTTCTTGCTCTTATTAGCTTGAAACCCGTCCCTCTGTTACATCCTCTACCTCACCCTCTTCCTTTGTACCGGTATTAGCAAAAGGCAGGAGTGTCAGAACTTAGGCAACAGTGGAACTGACTTTTCAGGAACCCTAGGTTACAGGGACCCCCATAGGGCTACATCCGGTGGGGTGGAAGAAGAGTCCACTACAAAATATGAGATATTAGGGAAAAGTCCCGAATGTCCTTTCTACAGTACAGAAGGTTTTAGTAAAACAAACGTAAAAGCTTGAAAATGCAGACCAGAAACATGAATTGCCGTGTCTCAGGGAGACATGAAGAATGTTCTCCATGAGCCTGCAAGACAAACCGTATTCAGATCGTAAACGTACAGCGTATATCTATGGTTCAGATGCGCTGTGACGTCGTACCACCAAAGCAGACGTGGCAGACGAGGCGTTTTAAAATACAGTGAAGACTAAAGCAGCTAACTACGACCATTATCTGTAGGAGAAAGGAAAGTACAACGGGGAACCGGCGCTTAACAGAAACATTTTGTAGGGTTTTGTGTTCGTTGACAATTTTGGTGCCTTCAATAAACAATGGCATCATCTGCAAATAACAGTTCTGTAGGTAAATGGGAGGTAGTTAGGAAAGGCAAGAAACAGAGCGGCGTTGCAAAGAGTCAAACCGACAAGAAGTCCAGTGGTGGTGGAAGGAAAGCCCTGAGTGAGTCCAATTTACCAAGAGTTGACACTTATCGTAAGTAAGACGTTTATTTTATTTTTCAATGAAAGTAATTTTCCTCTGAACTGTACGTCTAGTGCCACGTCGCTCGATGGCATGCCTATTTGAAATGCGCTAGCCGCGTTAGCTAGCTGTCATTCTGTTTAACGGGCTAAAGCATCTTGCTAGTTTGCGCTTAGTGTTAAATAATAACGGTACACTTTAAGTGCTTCCATGTTGTTCTTAATCATCTCAACTGAAAGTGGTTTTAACAAAGTACCTAACTTAGATTAGCTAGTTAGGTTAAGTGAGGTCGGACCAGCCAACGCTAGCTAACTGGTGTATTAGCTAGCTAGCTAACCTAACGTTAGCGTTACCTCACTCGAATAATTAACCGGATAGCTAGGTTAGCTAAGCTAACGGTAATTGTCAGTTCCTTCACTAGCCACGTTAGCAACTAATGTTTTGAATTCTTTATGTAGGTGTGTACATTACACATGCTTTTTACTTGTGTAACTGTTAGAAATTTGCAGAAAATTGATTATTTTCACCTGTAGACCTACAGTACAGAACGCTAGCTAGAAGCTAAGCTAATAACTGTTATTCTAGGTTTTGAGGACGATGTATTGTAGAGAACTGTTTGCCAGACGAATAGTCGTTTTTACGTGAACATATAGCTAGCTAGCTAGCTTTTGTCTGACACATAAGCGTTTCGTTTAGATACATTTGACAGTATGGGCGCTAATTATGCATGGAGAGACTCTACAAGAGTCATTTTCTAGGTTAGCACGACATGTTCACAGAAACTAAAAAGCGATGAAAATGCAACTCTGGACGATACTTGCTTTAGTTAAAATTTCCACACGTTTGAAATACTCCTCCTGTAACGTTACTTTGCTGTGTCTGATGGCCTGTCCTAGTTAATGGTCTAAAAGTACTGGATTTTTACAAGTCACAGTCTGTGCTCTAGGGGTTGTCTCTGTACCCGTTTTATATCCACATAAAACATATGACACTACTTTTGTTAAGGATAATCCCTAACTGATAAGAGTGTACACTGTGCTAAATATGTGATTGTAGGCCTCTGGTTGTTCACATTCTTTTTCACTTTGTCAAATTATCGTTGAAAGCTGTGCTGTATTAGTATGTCTTGCAAAGGTTTTACAGATCACCACAAGGTTACAATAAGTGGAATAGACGTTTACTGTTATACTGTGAGTGTATTTCTAAAGTGTGGTTATTGGTTTATTTCTGTTTATTGCTTATAGCTGATTATATAATATTTTGTTAATGTGATGCATACACAGCTTCACTCACTTGAGCTGCTCTGTATAAATCATTAAATGAATTCAACTGGCTTGTAGGGGCCATCTTAAGACAAGGTTAAAATATTAAATTTTGCATCTCCAGGCGTGCACACCTCTGGTCCTGGAGGGCCACTGTCCAGCGCAGTTTGGTAGTTTCTGTCCTTAAATATACCCACTTAATTTGGTAATTAACAGAGTAATTTACACAGCAATTAACACAGTAATCAGGTGTGTTTGTGCAGGTAAATTACCAAACTTTGTTGGACACTGGCTCCCCAGGACCAGAGCTGTGCACCACAGTCCCAAAGGCTTTCATTGTGCACTGAGTGGGAAACCGCTCATGTTTAGTCCTCCACGGGAAATTATTTGCCTACCTTCAAACCAGGTGTGTGCCTCTAATCAGCCTGACAGTGTTATTTTAGCTTGCCAGCTGTATCAAATTTACTTATGGAATGAGGCATTACTATGGACTAGTTTACTTGGGCCTATTTGTATGTGCATGGTTGATTTGCTTGCTGAAGGTAGTGCGGTAGTCAAAAAGTGGCTAGGTGCAGATCTCCAGCATGTTGAGTACATTGTATGTTTTTTCTGTTTCTTTGAAAAAGTACATTTGTGTGGAATTTTACATATTGCTCAAACATAGTAGTGTTACATGTATGTGATGCTGGTTGTTGGTTTTTAGTCAAATAACTTCCAGCATACCTTTCAAATGTAGTAGCAGATGTCCTGCTGGAGTGGAGAGCCAATTCAGCATCTAGTGTGATTTGGTATAGAGCTTTTAAACTGTGTCTTTAATATCTTTCCATCCAGCTGACTAAGATGACAATAGTGATTATCATGATCCCCCTTGCAAGTAGCTATTAATGCTTTAAATGCTGTTTAAGTAGATGTAGGGCTGAGCGGCCAAAAATTTTATAATGTTAAAAATTTTCATGTCAGTTAATATCGATACTTATCATGATAAATGTCAAATCATTATTTCATTATTTTCTAAGTATCCTTTATAGTCAGAACATGACAAACCCTTGCCAAATAATGGAACATTTCACAAGTCTGTCATGGGATAGTAGGAGAAAGTTTCAGGTCAGCTGTTTTTACCAGCTGGAAAAGCACAGCTGTGGTTTTTGGAATATTCATAATTTAATAAAGAAAACAAATTATATTTAGCTGTCTGGTGATGAGTACTAGACTATTCATAAACAATCATTCCTGCCCCATCCATGTCAGAGTAAATCACAGTGTTCAAACACAAGGTGGCAGACATATGGATTTCTCTATTCTATCGTAGTAGTTTGAGGGGTGGACCACAATACATCCGATGTTTGCTGTGTAAAAAGCATTAACTGCATTGTGATTCTCTAACACTACACAAATGACGCCCCCATTTTAGGTATGTTTAAACCGAAATCAGTGTGTGTTTTGTCTTGTTTGCACTACAGTAACATTAATTTGGCCGTGCTGCTTCAACTTCAGCTGCTAAAACTGGCTAGCCTGGGAAGCTAGCGTTCTCCCACTCTTCAGTGCCACACACACAGCATCTTCAGCTTACTTTTGTTTAAATCAGTGCTGTAACATGCATGAACCCAGTTCTTTGTTTCACTTTTGTTGCTTCAGAATGAAAGAACACTAAAATATGACTGAGCGCTGTAACAGCGCTGTAGTTGTGTGGAGCAGACGTGCTTTAACGCTGCTAAAGCTTGTTAGGATGTTAGAATAGAAGTTAGTTCGCTGGCCAGTAGTTATCCCACTTATCTCGTCACTCACACTTGGTTACGGGAGAACAGATCGCCGATTGCTCCGCTCAAACAGGAAATGTTTAACATTACGTTTCATATGTTGCCAAAGTATATTTGGCGACTCATTTTACACGTCGCCCCTCCCTCTCTAATCATGTCGAAAAAGTTGGAAGTGCAGAGTAGTGTTGCTTTCCTTGCAACACATAAAATTTGTTGTTTTTAAGAAGGGAAACATTGTGTTTGTTGTCTTTAAGAAAGGAAGCCTTGTATTTGTTTGAAAGGTCAGTGAACATGTTTTATACATGTTCTTCATGTATGTGCCTCCAATGGGAGACCTGTTCTGTGTGAAGTTGCTGAACTGTGGTTTAAATAAGTTTTTCTCAACATTAACCACTGGATGTGATATTGCTCCACAATTTCCTTGTTAAGCATAGTAGCTTAGCAGGTGCTGTGATTTGAGCAGAGTCAGTCATGCTCAGAGTTCTGGTTCAGTTTTGAAATGTGCTAGCCCTACTTTACTTTTACTCTCTTTTGCGTTTTTTCCCTTTGAGGAATATCATTACAAAATATAAGGCTAAGGGTGAAACGGCAATCCTTTTGCATGCATTGTAAAAGATTTGTGACTGCTTTGAGTAATCTGTTCTGCCTTTCTCCTTTATAGTCAGTGCTCCCTTTGCCTCATGTTCATTGTCATTTTCTTGTTGTTTGACTTCAGTGGCTGTGAAAATGTCCGAGACTATATTTGAGAGTTTTGAGAAGATTGGAAAGAAGCAGAATAAAGAGCAGGTTCCTCCGCCAGCTGAGGCCCAACAGAAGAAACCCAATGCAGGGAAGCAGAACAAGAAATCCCCCTCTAACAGCAGCTCAAAACAGAGCCACTACAAAACCTTGGAGGAAGCCGTTAAAGCTGTGAGTACAAGCTCTCACTTTCACAAAGATTTTTATGCAAGCTTGTAGTTCTCCCAAACATAAGATGTGGAGCTCGTTCTCATACCAATGCATTTTGAAACCTCAATGAAGTTGTAATGGGACTTAACAGGAGTGCTTCTCATGAAGTGCAATTTCTTAAACTTCTTTCCAGTCTTTTGTAAACTTGCTTTCCGTTGCTGTGACCTTTTTGCCACCCGACATATGAAAATATGAGAAAAACTGGTTTTCCATGAAGGAACCATAGATTTAGATTTCAAGCTTACAAAACAGTTTTTACTCTAGGAAGCACTAATGTGGTGGCTCTGGCAACTTTTTTGATTTTTACTACTACAAATGCTTTACTTTCTATGCATTTGCATATATAGTACTGTAGCACGGCATGCTCAAGGAGGATGCTGGAGGCAGGATTCAGTGTTGCAGCAGCCATATTTCTTTAATCACACCAAATAAATACAAACACAACCAAACCAAAGCTCTGCTAAGCCGGCCACTTTTCAGTGGCTTTCAACTAACTAGACTTTTCAGTCTTTTTGCTCAAGCTTTTCAGCTCTTCAGTTCCCGGCTGCTGCTTGTCCCTCTCTCTCTTATGCTGTTCCCTCTCAGCTCTTTAAAAAGTCGCTCACCCTGACAGCCAGATCAGCATCAGCTGGCTCTCATTAAGGGCAGCGTGAGCACCCGAGCTGAGAGGGAACGAGAGCTCGCAGCTCCACCTCCCCGTCACCGCCCCCAGCTTGCAGTGTGGCCGTCCGGGTCGAACGTAAGGTATCCTGAAGCGGCCTCGCTGCGGCACAGGGGGCGGGGCCTGGGCGGCGGAGCTCGGGACTCGCTCCTCGCCTTGGTGCCTCTCGTGGCCGGCACCATCGTCCTCCACTACATGTTGCGTGTATATTGCTGCTGTCTTCTTTGAAAAATAAGCTGCTCAACTCTTTCTCATATTTCATGTGAATGGTTGCTTTTCACATACATCATGCTTTATGTGCACATGCATAATGATTAATCAGTAGCTTGAGGGTCTAAATCTGGATTAACAGAGAAAATCATGAGTTAACCGTGGTTGCATTTGTTAGGTTTTCTGAAGCTGAAAAAAAACAAGAATTCTGTTGCTTGAACATACTTGTGAGACAGGCTGCAGGAGGCAGTCACTTTAGGCACACAGACAGCTTTGCTCAGATTTCCAAGTGACACACCAAATTTATTAGGAAAAAAACTATTACTGGGTATTTTGCACTCAAAACAGACTTAAAGGGGAACTCCACTGATTTTGCAAAATGACTTAATCATTCAATGGTTTAGATGTAAACAATCATTCAGAGTGGTTCAGTGTGAAATGCGCCTTTCTAGAGGAATTTACAGAGTCAGAATTTTTCACCATTGTAGTACTAGAAATCAGACATCTGAAGCATTTAATGGCTCTAAAAGCTACATCCTGCTAAGTAATTACACAGAATGTATATAAATATGTTGCTTGATACCTGAGACATTGTTTTGTGATAGTTTTGTTATAAAGTTTTAGCCTAAAACGTTTTTTAACTTGAACTATTACCACAGGATTACTTCTGTGTTTCCTGTTGAAACCGCATCCTCAACTGAGATCAATGCGCGCAGTGCGCGTGCTTTTGTAGTTACTAGCCTGTAGCTATAGCTATTCAACATGGCTAACGCTGATGTTGTATTTGATTCAGTTACCCCCTTGAATTCATGTTTTCACTTTGAGAAATCAAGTTCTTGGGCACACGCATTCACTGAACAGATAACAACACCAAGCAACACTGGAACTACGGAAAGCGGAAAAGTAAAAAAAAAGGTTTGTATGGCAGCTGTATTCACCCAGTCAGCAAGGAACAGTACAAAAAGTATTTATCTGTACGATTGTTTACTGTTTAATCGAATTGAAAGTAATACTTATCACGGGATCTCAATTATGCCGTGTTGTCTTGGGTGAATTTATATTGAAGATTGGTTGAAAACATGCGTCTGTTCAATCTTTTTATGAAGTTTGCCGCTTTCTGTAGTTCAATGCGTGAATTTGAGGGGGAACTGAATCGGACATAACACCCACAGCAGCTTTTGTTTAGTTTATTTTTATAGTTTTCTTGCCTTTTTTGAAAGATGGCAAAGTGTGTGGCAAAGGAGGTCTGTTTCCAAAATGTCATAGAGCCAGAATACACATATGACTTGCAGCGGCTTGAAGAAGAGAGAGCAAACATGGAAGAGAGAGTGACTGAACTTGCTGGTGCAAAAGCAGATGGACCCAGAACGAATGGAAATTGATGGTGTCAACAACAAAAAACTTGCTACTCTGCTCACCAGTTTATGGGGTAGTACAGCAAGGTGCAGCTGTGATCTATCGCAGCTCCTCTGATCAATAACGTTACTGGCATAAGCTCTGAGTTTTGCTGACACCGTGTGATGCAACGCCTCCAACCCAAACAACACAAAAGGTGTGCAGGATGGAGAGGTATATACAGGGAGTTGTAAGGAATAAATAGTATCCAAAAAACTTATTTTTTCAAATTTAGCATGACATATGAAACCTTATGAGACACGTAAGTTTGGTAACATTTTGGATAGCAGATAAAATGATGATATTTGTAGCGTAGACAAACCAATGTCTGATTCCTAGTACTATAATGGTGAACAATTTGGACTTGGTAAATTTCTCTATAAAGGTGCAATTGACCAAACCAGTCTAAATGATTTTGTTAGGACAGTATTTAGGAAATTTTGTCTAGTTAGGATTCTTCTGTAATACTGGATTCTTATCTGGAGTTGGATAAGATTATGAACTTAAGAACTGTTGTTCTGTAACAGCTTCTGTCCTAAATTTAGTCCTAACTAAAGTTGTCATGGTGACTAAACAGGTAAGATAAGATTTTAGAGTTTCTGTAATACAGCACCAGGTCCATGTTATGATTGCATCATGTAATTCCTGCAGGTTTTTAAGGTGCGTTTTTCAGCTGAGAATCTCCCGCTCTAACACACCCCAAAAGTGTCCTATTGGAGTCAGATCCGGTGACTGGGTAGGTCACTGAAGAAGATTAAACTCATTGTCATGTTCACGAAACCAGTTTGAGATGACTTTTTGCTTTGTGACATGGTGCATTGTCATGCTGGAGGTAGCCATTAGAAGATGAGTAAATTGTGGTCATGTGGGCTGTGCATGTTCAGCAACAATACTCAAATAGGCTGTGGCATTCAAGTGATGATTGATTGGTATTAGCGGACCTGAAGTGTGCCAAGAAAATATTCCCCACACCATTACACTACCTCCAAAAGCCTGTACTGATGACTCAAGGCCGATTAGGTCCATGGATTCATGCTGTTGGTTCCAAATTCTGACCCTATCTGTGTGCCTCAGCAGAAATCGAGATTCCTCAGACCAGGCTATGTTTTTCCGGTCTTCAACTGTCCAGTATTACTGAGCCTGATTAAAGTGAAAAACAATACGAAACATTTTAGTATAGGGGGAAAAAAACTACAATAATCTGGTTGCAGAAGTGTGTAAAAATTTGTATAATTGGGGATTTGGCTGTGTTCAGAATTCATCAGTCACATAAAACTCATGTTAAACAGTAGCTGGTACACACTTTAAACTCTCAGTTAAAGTAACTAATTAACCCTGATTAAAATTTAGCTTACATGTGACAAATCTTCAGTCTTCAAATGTCTGATTCCAAGGGTGCAGTGGCAAGTGAAAAAAAAAAAATCGAAGTCTGGCTAAATGTTGTACGAAGATACATCCAGTCTTCCAAACCTGTGTGGACATTTGTATTGTGGTCTGTTGAAGTTGAACATTTTGGCCGTTATTCCAAAAGGTATGTTTGGTGCAAACGTAACACAGTACATCACCAAAATAACACCATACCCATGCTGAAGCGTGGTAGTAGTAGCATCATGCTCTGGGGCTGCCTTTCTTCAGTCAGATCTAGGGCTTTATTCAAGGTGGAATCATGAACAGATCCGAATACTAGTCAGTGTTGGCACAAAACTTTCAGGCATCTGCTAGAAAGCTGAAGATGAGAAATTTCACCAGTCGTTACAGCAATGATCCATTGCATACATCGAAATCTGTAATGGAATGACATCACCAAAAGATCAATGTTTTGGAATGGCCCGGCCACAGCCTAGACTTTAATCCAATTGAAAATCTGTGGGGTGACCTGAAGAAGGCTGTCTGGAGGAGATGCCCTCACAATTTGATGGATCTGTAATGTTTTTGCAAGGAGGAGAGGGAAAATATTGCCAAATCAAGAAGTGCAAAGCTGACAGACTCTTACACAAAAGGACTGAGTGCTCTAATAAAATTAAAAGGTGCTTCGGCAAGGAGCGTGCACACTTGTGCAACTAGGTTATTTTTTAATTTTTTATTTTTACCCCCAAAATGTTCCTGATTATTTTTACAGTTTCACATTAAAGGTGGAAAGTTCTGCTATGATTAATATGTTTTACATCACAAAAACCTGTTAATTATACATTGTTGTGTAGACTTTTTATATCCACTGTAGATGGCTATAGATAATACTTATAATTTTTTTTGTCCTAAATGCTTGGATCGTTACTGATAAAAGTGGAAAATCTAGGCTAAAGCAGTATAAAACAAACTGTGTTCTCGATCTCTCTCTTTCCCGCTTTCGCTCTCATTCTTTCGTTCCCCCCCCCCTCTCTCTCTCTCTCTCTCTCTCTCTCTCTCTCTCTCTCTCTCTCTCTCTCTCTCTCTCTCTCTCTCTCTCCTTCTCTCCTCTCTGTCTCTCTGTCTCTCTCTCTCTCTCTCTCCTCTCTGTCCTCTCTCTCTCTCTCTCTCTCTCTCTCTCTCCCCCCTCTTGTTCTCTCTCTCCTCTCTGTCTCTCCCTCCCTCCCCTCTTGTTCTCTATCTCCTCTCTGTCTCTCTCTCCCTCCCTCCCCTCTTGTTCTCTCTCTCCTCTCTGTCTCTCTCTCTCTCTCCCTCCCTCCCCTCTTGTTCTCTCTCTCCTTTCTGTCTCTCTCTCCCTCCCTCTCTCCCCCCCTCTCTCCCCTCTTGTTCTCTCTCTCCTCTCTGTCCCTCCCTCCCTCCCTCCCTCCCCTCTTGTTCTCTCTCTCCTCTCTGTCTCTCTCCCCTCCCTCCCTCCCCTCTTGTTCTCTCTCTCCTCTCTGTCTCTCTCTCCCCTCCCTCCCTCCCCTCTTGTTCTCTCTCTCCTCTCTGTCTCTCTCTCCCCTCCCTCCCTCCCTCCCCTCTTGTTCTCTCTCTCCTCTCTGTCTGTCTCTCTCCCCCTCCCTCCCTCCCTCCCCTCTTGTTCTCTCTCTCCTCTCTGTCTCTCTCTCTCAGCTGGATGTAATAGATTTAAAGCAACAGCTTGAGAAAAGTCAGGCTTTGTTCCCTGAGAATCCATGTGTGTGGGTGAAGGATCTGGCTGGATACCTCAACAGCAAACTGATTGCTCCAGACACAGATCCCACACTCAGCAGCTATGCTCACGGTGGGTGTCTAAAAGCTTTGAATCTTTTTCTGTATAATGTGTATTGATGGGATGTTTCTCACTTAAAATGACATCTGTGTAATCTTAGTGTTCAGTAGCCCTTGACAAACACACCTAGCACAATATACATATTAAACTCCTGAAGTTTGTTGTAATATAGAATAGCTAGATGCTTAATACCCATATGGTCATCTTACTTTGTCAGCTTGTTTTTAAATACAGAATTTGATAGATATCTTGGTCCAGTGGTTCCATGCAACCAACTTGGTGCTTTCACATGTCTGTATTAAGGTGATTTAAACTCCTGCAACAGTAGCAGCATGCTGTGAGGTAGGGTCAGTGACAACACTTTGAATCTAGCTTGTTGATAGAAAGTTATGTTTGAGTAGCTGCTTCAGCCCTGCGGCATGGACACAAATATCTTAAGTGTCAATTAGTGGTTTTAACAAAAGGATTTCTGTCTAGATTACCCATATTGTCTTGCGGGCAAGGAGCTGCGCAGCATCGTTAAGAACATACTCGGAAAAGGCACAGACACTCTGAAAGACTTCTTTGACCACTGCATATTCACCATGCTCCGGGAGTTAGACAAACAAGCAGGTAACGCATACATATGTTAATTATTATGTCTGTCCCGAATTCAGTCAGCGGTTAGCAGTGCAAAAAGTAGCGAGTTCAGAAAATGGAGTACTTGTTATTTGGGTTAATTTTCCCCAGTGTTATTTTCTGCGTTCATTTTCTAGCAGGGCTCTTATAGTAGAACTAGTCTTATAGCAGAACTAGTCCTTTGTTTACACTGGTTTATGCTTAGCCGAGGAAGAGCAGTGTCAGTCTGATGCTGTCAGCTGAGCAAAGCTTTGAGCGTATTGTTGGAAAAATCATTCCATGTGTGAGGCAAGGCTTGACATTGCTCAATAGTTTGTGTGGAACCGCAGTGTCTTCAGTAGCATAAAACACTGCAGTATTTTGCAGTTTACCTTTATTAATAACCTACATTTAGCTTGAATTGTGCATTTATTAAGCTAGAATTTACTGGTGGTATTCAGTCACATTTGTAGTTTGATGCTAAATGTGATTTTTTTTTGATTTTGATGTATCTTTTATTAGCTGGTTGTTTCCACTGTCTACCTTTTGTGCTTTCACAGGTGAACCACTGCATGGCTACAGGATGTGCATTCAGGCAGTCATGATGAACAAACCCAAAGTAGCCACGCTGAACTTGTCTGAAGTAAGTGAAAATTCGATATGTTTGGGCTGTCAAAAGATTTGAGCTTTAGGTATGCTCTCTGTTCAGAATAATATAATTTCCTGGTCACTTGCTGCTCTGCGGGATTCTGCTTTGGTTGTTTCTTGAACTTGAGTTTTGATGGTCTTGTATGAAAAGTATGTTTATGTACTTGAAGGTTAAGAAAGAGCACCTCCACCTTTTGAGTATTTCAGAGAGCATCTGCGTTAATGTCTCCTCTGTAGCACTTAACTGGAAAAACAAAGCAAAAAACACTACACAGAATGGTTTGTTTTCCACTGACCTGCAGAGTTTCAACTATTCTGTTATCAAGCCCTTCGTGAGCTGTATTGGGGCAGAGAATACCTGTAACTGTGCAGTCCAGTAGGTCCCCAGGACTGGAGTTGAAAACAATCGATTTAGGGTACCTTGATTGGAGAGTGATCTTTCATTATTTATCTGACGTGTCACCAGTATTTCAGAAAAAACCTGATTTGAAGAGAAACATCCACTAATTATTTGCAACAGTTTTGCACATGATTGCATGTCATTTGCCAATGCAGCAGCAAAGTGGCAGCTTAATGAAAAGTTTTCAAATCTATAATTTCTGTAAATCTTAAATGTATGTATGCATTTGTTTTGCCAGATATTGTTTTGAAAATTAAAGCTTTTGCACATTGTGTGACCTCCACAGCACCTGGAGCTGCTACGCTCCCACCAGAATCGTCCAGCCAAGTGCTTAAGCATCATGTGGGCTCTTGGCCAGGCTGGTTTCTATGACCTTTCCCAGGGTGTAAGAGGTGAGGAGAGGGTTTAGCTTGAGAGACAGGTCAACTTACAAAAGCAGGGACAAAAAAAGGTCAAGGAAGACAGCTTGCTCGACAGTCATGTCCTCTTACTTTATATATATATATATATATATATATATATATATATATATATATATATATATATATATATATATATATATAATCATGCTTATTGCTGCATTCTGGATTTCACAACTTCAGGAACATGCATAGTCACCTTAAATTTGAATGGTTATCTAGCTTGGTGGTGTTGTCTTGCATTAGTATTTTTTTTTGTGTAATGTAGTTTGGCTGGGAATCATGCTCCCTGTTCTTGGTGTGAAAACTCTGTCGGCCTATGCCATTGCATACCTAGAAAGACTGCTCACGTGAGTAACTGTTGGTTTGTAGATGTGTTCTTGTATATGTTGCAGATTTTTAGGTTATTTCTTTGTTAATAAATGTTAACTTTGCCATCCATTTGCAGTATGTGTTTATGACTTACTAAATCTTCTTTTAAGGCTTCATGCTAACTTGACGAAAGGATTTGGAGTAATGGGACCTAAAGAGTTCTTCCCTCTCCTGGATTTTGCTTATATGCCTAAAAATGCTCTGTCAGTGAGGTAATTATTATAGAACACCCTAAAGCTGACATCTGACACACAATTTTAGGTTTGCCCTGAACTCTAAGGCTGATGTAGCTACCAAATAGTGGAAGTTTATACCACACCAGCCCTGCAAACTGCATACCTAAATCAGTTACACTTTCATCAGACATTGAGTTCTTAAGTATTTTCAATTACGCTTGCTTGGTTTCTTAAACTAACGTACTGTTACATATCTATAAAAATGGGTAAAAGTGCATTGCATAGCTAAAACTGATATAGGCCTATATATAAAGGGAAATTGTTTTAATTTGATGTGTTTAAGATTGTTTGTTTCTAAATTGTTCAAACCTTGAAAAATATAGGGTGTAAATGTTAATGGATGACTAATCCCATAAAGTGCCAATAACTATTTAAGCTATGTGAAGTTATTAATTATAACGGTAAATCAATTTGAAATTCAGTAACTTATTTCTCAGAGCTATGACAGTGTCCACTGTAGCAGGGTAAACTAGGCTTCCTTAAGCATAGGTAAACAGCAGGTATAAGTATGACTCTCTTAAGAGTGTTAAGTGTGTTCTGCCCAGTGCTCTGAATGTCGAAGTGTACCTCCTCCCGGTACCTGCTGGTAATGCCCTTGCGATGAAGAGAGGCTACCCATGTGACGGTGTAAAAAAAAAAAATATATATATATATATATATATATATATATATATATATATATATATATATATATATATATATATATATATATATACAGTTGTTTTTTGAAGAACACAATGGTTTTCACCAGAAAATAGCCTAGGTTATCCTTAATTTGCTATAGTGGACACAGTCACAGCTCTGACAAATAAGTTGTTGAACAGCTTATGCATTCACCTGTTTTTTTTCCTCTACAGTCTACAGGAGCAGTTGAGGAGGCTTTACCCTCGACTTAAAGCCCTAGCGTTTGGAGCGAAGCCAGAATCCACCCTTCATACCTATTTCCCTTCCTTTCTGTCTAGAGCCACACCTAACTGTCCTGATGCCATGAAGAGAGAGGTGAGGCATTTATACATACACATTATAAAAATGGTTCCTGAAAAATCTAATCACTCATCTAATCTACTCATTTTTCCTCTTAGCCTAGATGAAGGCAATTGTGCAAGACGTGTTGGGAGTACATTTTTATAGTTCACAGCAGGTCATACTGTGCTGTAAAACACATCAGCAAGTCTGCGCGACCTGAATGCAGACCTGGACACAGTTTGAGTGGGTTGAGAAAAGTTTGGGGGTGTATTTTTACAGAAATAATTTGGCTGTTTGGATGGCTTTTGAGTTCTAGTGTTTAACAGTTTTAAACTAAAGAAACAAAATTTGTGCTTCAAACTTATACATCTGAGGTAAGTGGAAAATTGTGTAAACCTGATTTTTTTGCTGAACTGTTCCTTGAGCTTGGCATATAATTTGATGTTCATTTGGCACACAGTAAAATAACCTTAATTCCATGGGTACGCATGCCCCAATAAAAAAATACATTTATGCAAAATAAAAAATTAATTTAAAAAATGTTGTTAATGTCTGCACATAGGTGTATGTCAAAACCTAAAACAGCATGTTAAACACCAGCTTTACTATCGTACCTAGAAAAAAAAGGAGACATGCACACATCATGTGAGGATAAAATCTCAAAGAGAGAGAGATGACATTTATGTTGTCTTGCTTTTAATCTGTAGTTGCTGAACAGTCTGACTGAGTGCCTGTCTGTAGATGCCCAGAGTTTGGGGGTGTGGAGGCAGCTTTACACTAAACACCTCACCCAGTCCAGGTAAACTTTAATTACCTTTTTGTCGTATAATGACACTTTCAGCTTTACTGAGGCAGTTTATGAGTTTTTTTTAAGAATATAGGATATTGTACCACAGTTATTTCTGATCTTGCAGTGTGATTGGCGGTGGGGAGTTTACTCTAGTGGAGCTTTAAAGGCCCCATTATTACTCAGTGTTCTAAGAGTAACAGGGATTAAAACATTATGTACATTTTATTTAATATTATTTATTACCTTTTTCTGAGAACACCAGGTAAGGATCAGTGGAGCTTTCTCTCCAAGTTAGTTAACACTGTCTGCTCTACACAAACTTCCAGTCATTTTAGTTAGTTTTTTTTACTGCCACAAGTTACTTTGAGGCAAGCTGAAGTTCCAGAGCACATTGGCATTTGTTTTCGATTCCATTCACGTAAAGTAAATTAAGGGGAATCTCTCTCTCTCTCTCTCTCTCTCTCTCTCTCTCTCTCTCTCTCTCTCTCTCTCTCTCTCTCTCTCTCAGCTGGATGTATCTCTCTCTCTCAGCTGGATGTATCTCTCTGTCTCTCTCTCTCTGTGTGTGTGTGTGTGTGTGTGTGTGTGTGTGTGTGTGTGTGCGTGCGCGTGCGTGTGTGTGTGGAAAAACTAATGACTAACGTGAACCCTGTTTCCCCAGCAGACACTATATTGCCAAAAGTATTTGCTCGTTTGCCTTCACACGCATATGAACTTGAGTGACAACCCATTCTTAATCCATAGGGTTTAATATGATGTTGGCCCACCCTTTGCCACTATAACAGCTTCAACTCTTCTGGGAAGGCTTTCCACAAGGTTTAGGAGTGTGTTTATGGGAATTTTTGACCATTCTTCCAGAAGCGCATTTGTGAGGTCAGACACTGATGTTGGACGAGAAGGCCTAGCTTGCAGTCTCCGCTCTAATTCATCCCAAAGGTGTTCTATCTGGTTGAGGTCAGGACTCTGTGCAGGCCAGTCAAGTTCTTCCACACCAAACTCGCTCGTGCATACCTCCACAACAAGATTTTCTAACAGACAACATGCTGAGCATTATGCAAGCTTTCCTATTCATTTTCCAACCAGTGACTGGTATTCTCCTTTATAATGTCTCTGGTTTAATACAGTCATTTGAACATTGTATCAGATATTCAAGTAATGCATTTATTATGTCTGAAGTAATGCATTTGAAGCCTATCTCTGAATATTACTAGACCATGTTAGCTCGATTAAAAATAAGCCCTATCTGCTGAACTGTTCAGTCCAAACCTCATTGTTAAAATCTTCTACTTCATATACGCACAGTGTGTGACTGAAAATGTGCTTTCCTGGGTTTAAACCAGTTTTCTCTTTTTTAAATTTTGCATACAAAAGTGAATGGAGTACGAATAGCATCCCCTTGTGAAGATTCATCAGCTGGCAATTTAAGAGAAAGTTCGAATGCCCTTATTATTAATTATTGTAAAATCATTGCAGATTCGCTGAAAGTAAATTATAACTGACTGTTTTTAATCAAATAACCATGATAGTCCTAATACAGTTTTCACATGGTTCAGCAGTGGTGCTTCCTCATGGTGCATGTTTATTTTTGGTGCAGTGTTTACGTTCTTGTCCGTTGTAAACCTGTCATAAACTTGGATTAAATTCTTATCTTTTTCTGATCTTTATCACCTGCAGCCTCTTGTTAAATCATCTGCTGAATTCATGGACCACACTGTCACCAAAGGTACGGTTGCAGCTAAATCATTTTGGAAGCAATCACTGTTTCTTTCATTTTTTTCAAGCATGCAGTGCGTGGTAATGCCTCCTACTACTCGGGTGCACAACGTGAGCCCAGTTGGCCTAAAGGGGTCACTGTAGCGCAGCAAAACACGTTAAACTCCTAAACCAAATTTAGATTTTAGATACAAATTTCATTTTTTTTCCTGATTCCTTGGGTCAAGACAAACAACTTTGTAATTTGGAACTTTTAGCTCCGCCTACTTAGATTTTTTGCATAATTGCAAAAATTCTACTTTTGCGAACTAGTCCTAAGGTTTTCGCTCCATCCTCATGTAACTGGTGTCAAAAATTCAGAAAAGCCTGAACCTCAATAATTATCAAAAAAATGTATACAAATTAAAGGAGTAACTACACCCTAAGACCTTTTTTTCATTAATGGCTGAAATACACTGCTTTGTAATAATAAAATACACCAGCCATGTATGGATAGATAAATGGATGCGTTGATGGATGGGTAGATAAAGGGATGGATGGATGGATGGATGGATGAATGCATGGATAGATAAATGGTTGGATGGATGGATAGATAAATGGATTAGATGGATGGATAGATGGATAAATGCATGGATAGATAAATGGATGGATGGATAGATACATGGATTAGATGGATGGATAGATGGATAAATGCATGGATAAATGCATGGATAGATAAATGGATGGATGGAGGGATGGATAGATACATGGATGGATAGATACATGGATGGATGGATGGGTAGATAAAGGGATGGATGGATAGATAAATGCATGGATGGATAGATAAAGGGATGGATGGATGAATGGATAGATAAATGGATTAGATGGATGGGTAGATAAAGGGATGGATGGATAGGTAGATAAAGGGATGGATGGATGGATAGATAGATAGATAAATGGATGGATGGAGGGATGGAAAGATAAACGGATGGATTGGATGGATGGATAGATACATGGATGGATAGATACATGGATGGATGGGTAGATAAAGGGATGGATGGATGGATAGATAGATAAATGCATGGATGGATAGATAAAGGGATGGATGGATGAATGGATAGATAAATGGATTAGATGGATGGGTAGATAAAGGGGTAGATAAAGGGATGGATGAATGGATAGATAAATGGATGGATTAGATGGATGGATGGATACATAAATGCATGGATAGATAAATGGATGGATTGATGAATGGATGGGTGGATTGATGAATGGATGGATGGATAGATAAATGGATGGATGGGTAGATAAAGGGATGGATTAGATGGATGGAGGGATAGATAAATGCATGGATTGATGGATGGATAGATAAATGGATGGATTAGATGGATGGATGGTTACATAAATGCATGGACTGATGGATGGATAGATAAAGGGATGGATGGATGGAAGGATTAGATGGATGAATGAGTAGAAGAAGGGGTAGATAAAGGGATGGATGGATGGATTAGATGGATGCATGGATAGATAAATGGATGGATGGATAGATAAATGCATGGATGGATGGGTAGATAAAGGGATGGATGGACAGATGGATGGGTAGATAAAGGGATGGATGGATGGATGGAGAGATAAATGGATGGATTGATAGATGGATTGGATGGATGAGTAGATAAAGGGATGGATGGATGGATAGGTAAATGCATGGATGGATGGATTAGATGGATGGATGGATGGAGAGATGGATGGATGGACAGACAGATAAATGCATGAATGGATGGGTAGATAAAGGGATGGATGGACAGATGGATGGGTAGATAAAGGGATGGCTGGATGGATGGATGGATGGATAGATAAATGCATGGATGGATGGATAGTTAAAGGCATGGATGGATGGATAGATAAATGGATGGATTAGATGGATGGATGGATAGATAAATGCATGGATGGATGAGCAGATAAAGGGATGGATAGATAAATGGATGAATTAGATAAATGCATGGATAGATAAATGCATGAATAGATAAATGCATGGATAGATAAATGGATGGATTGATGAATGGATGGGTGGATTGATGAATGGATGGATGGATAGATAAATGGATGGATGGGTAGATAAAGGGATGGATTAGATGGATGGAGGGATAGATAAATGCATGGATTGATGGATGGATGGATAGATAAATGGATGGATTAGATGGATGGATGGTTACATAAATGCATGGACTGATGGATGGATAGATAAATGCATGGATGGATGGGTAGATAAAGGGATGGATGGATGGAAGGATTAGATGGATGAATGAGTAGAAGAAGGGGTAGATAAGGGATGGATGGATGGATTAGATGGATGCATGGATAGATAAATGGATGGATGGATAGATAAATGCATGGATGGATGGGTAGATAAAGGGATGGATGGACAGATGGATGGGTAGATAAAGGGATGGATGGATGGATGGAGAGATAAATGGATGGATTGATAGATGGATTGGATGGATGAGTAGATAAAGGGATGGATGGATGGATGGATAGGTAAATGCATGGATGGATGGATTAGATGGATGGATGGATGGAGAGATAAATGGATGGATGGACAGACAGATAAATGCATGAATGGATGGGTAGATAAAGGGATGGATGGACAGATGGATGGGTAGATAAAGGGATGGCTGGATGGATGGATGGATTAGATGGATGGATGGATGGATAGATAAATGCATGGATGGATGGATAGTTAAAGGCATGGATGGATGGATAGATAAATGGATGGATTAGATGGATGGATGGATAGATAAATGGATGAATTAGATAAATGCATGGATAGATAAATGCATGGATAGATAAATGCATGGATAGATAAATGCATGGATAGATGAATGGATGGATGGGTAGATAAAGGGATGGTTAGATAAATGCATAGATAAATAGTGGTGTGAAAAAGTGTTTGCCCCCTTCCTGATTTCTTATTCTTTTGCATGTTTGTCACACTTAAACAAACAAATATATAAATATTAGACAAAGATAACACAAGTAAACACAAAATGCAGTTCATAAATGAAGGTCTTTATTATTGAGGGAAAAAGAAATCCAAACCTACAGGGCTCTGTGTGAAAAAGTGATTGCCCCTACCCGTTAAAACATAAATTAACTGTGGTTTATCACATCTTTGGAAAGCTGAGTCAATTTCCCTAACCACACCCAGGCCTGATTACTGCCACACCTGTTCTCAATCAAGAAATCACTTAAATAGGACCTGCCTGACAAAGTGAAGTAGACCACAAGATCCTCAAAAGCGAGACATCATGCTGCTATCCAAAGAAATTCAGGAACAAATTAGAAACAAAGTAATTGAGATCTATCAGTCTGGAAAAGGTTATAAAGCCATTTCTAAAGCTTTGGGACTCCAGCGAACCACAGTGAGAGCCATTATCCACAAATGGCAAAAACATGGAACAGTGGTGAACCTTCCCAGTAGTGGCCGGCCAACCAAAATTACCTCAAGAGTGCAGCGACGACTCATCCAAGAGGTCACAAAAGACCCCACAACAACATCCAAAGAGCTGCAGGCCTCACTTGCCTCAGTTAGGGTCAGTGTTCATGACTCCACCATAAGAAAGAGACTGGGCAAAAATGGCCTGCATGGCAGAGTTCCAAGACGAAAACCACTACTGAGCAAAAAGAACATAAAGGCTTGTCTCAGTTTTGCCAGAATACATATTGATGATCCCCAAGACTTTTGAGAGAATGCTCTGTGCACTGACGAGACAAAAGTTTAAATTTTTGGAAGTTGAATTTTTTGGAAGGTGTATGTCCCATTACGTCTAGCGTAGAAGTAACACAGCATCACAGCACCTCCAATGTGGCTGAATTACAACAATTCTGCAAAGATTAGTGGGCCAGAATTCTTCCACAGCGCTGTAAAAGACTCATTCCCAGTTATCACAAACACTTGATTGAAGTTGTGGCTGCTAAGGGTGGCCCAACCAGTTATTAGGTTTAGGGGCAATCACTTTTTCACACAGAGCCCTGTAGGTTTGGATTTCTTTCTCCCTTAATAATAAAGATTTTTATTTATAAACTGCATTTTGTGTTTACTTGTGTTATCTTTGTCTAATATTTAAATTTGTTTGGTGATCTGAAACATTTAAGTGTGACAAACATGCAAAAGAATAAGAAATCAGGAATAAATGGATGGATTAGATGGATGCATGGATAGATAAATGCATAGATGGATGGGTAGATAAATGGATGATTAGATGGATGCATGGATAGATAAAGGGATGGATAGATGAAGGGATGGATTGGACAGATGGATGGATGCATGGATAAAAAAATGCATGGATAGATAAATGGATGGATTAGATGGATGGATGGATAAATGCATGGATAGATAAATGGATGGATTGGACAGATGGATCGATGCATGGATAAAAAAAATGCATAGATAGATAAATGGATGGATTAGATGGATTAGATGGATGGATGGATAAATGCATGGATTGCATAGATGGATAGATAAATGGATGGATGGATGGATAGATGAATGGATTTATGGATGGATAGATGCATGGATTTATGGATGGATAGATGCATGGATTTATGGATGGATAGATGAATGGATTTATGGGTGGATGGATGGATAAATGGATGGATAGAAAAATGGATTGATGGATGGACAAATGGATTGATGGATAGATAAATGGATTGATTGATGGATGCATGGATAGATAAACGGATTGATGGATAGATAGATGAATGAATAGATAAATGGATGGATGGATAGATGGATGCATTGATGGATGGATTGGTGGATGGGTGGATAAATGGATTAGATAAATGCATGGATGGATGGATGGATGGTAGATAAATGGATAGATGGATGCATTAATGGATGGATTGATGGATGGATGGATGGGTAGATAAATGGAGAGATGGATGGATAGATAAATGGATTGGATGGTTGGATTGATGGATAGATGGATGCATTAATGGATGGATGGATGGGTAGATAAATGGAGATGGATGGATAGATAAATTGATGGATTGATGGATGGATAGATAAATGGATTGGTTGGATGGGTGAATACATAAATGGATTAGATGGATGGATGGGTAGATAAATGGAGAGATGGATGGATTGATGAATAGATGAATGGAGAGATGGATGGATGGATAGATGAATGGATTGGATGGATGGTTAGATGAATGGATTGGATGGATGGTTAGATAAATGGATTGGATGGATTGATGGATGGATAAATGGATTGGATGGATGTAATGATGGATAGATAGATAAATGGATTGATGGATTTATGGATGGATGGATAGATGAATGGATTGGATGGATGGTTAGATAAATGGATTGGATGGATAAATGGATGTATAGATAAATGGATAGATGGATGCATTAATTGATGGATTGATGGAAGGATGGATTGATGAATGGATAGATAAATGGATTGGATGGATGCATAGATTGATGGATGCATAGATTGATGGAAGATAGATTGACGGATGGTTAGATAAATGGATGGATGGATGGATTAATGGATTGGATGGATGGATAGATAAATGGATGGATTGATGGATAGATGGATGGATGGATGGATAGATAAATGGATTTATGGGTGGATGGATAGATAAATGGATTTATGGGTGGATGGATAGATGGATAAATGGATTGGATGGATGGATAGATAAATGGAGAGATGGATGGATAGATAAATGGAGAGATGGATGGATTGATGGCTTGATAGTTAAATGGATAGATAAATGGATGGATGGATAAATGGGTGGATTGATGGATGGGTAGATAAATTGAGATAGATGGAAGGATAGATAAATTGATGGATGGATAGATAAATGGACAGACGGATATATAAATGGATGGATGGATAGATGGATGGATAGAAAGAAAGAACTTCATTGATCCCAAAGGAAATTTAGCAGCTAGTAGCAGTCACACAACCCAGGATAGTTATAATAATAATAAGCGTGATGCAATATAAAAAGAAGAATATTTGCAGTAACCTGTCTACACGCATATATAGAAATATACAAAAATATGCAATAAGATCTATAACATGAGATAAAAAGCAGTGCAATAATGAATGTACAAGTAGGCGCTGGTAACAGCATATAATGACAATACTGAATAAATATGTGCATATATTGGTAATGAAATAGTGTCTACGTGTTCAGTGTCCAGATGTTCAAGATGTGCAATAAGGTGTGCAGAAAGTGCAATATGTACAGTAAGGTGTCCATATGTGCAGATGGATAAAATAAAACTGTAATTTAGCGTAGGAGATTCAGTCGTCATCTATCCTCTTCCCTCTTCTCTCTCCTCTTCTGGCCCCACTGGGAAGAGTTGAAGAGCCTAATGGCTCTACGGACAAAGGATCTCCTGAGTCTGTCGATTGAGCAGCTCTGTGACAGCATCCTGCCACTAATCATGCTCCTCTTGTCCATGATGATGGGATGTCCATGTGCAGCGGGTGGCCATAATCATCAGTGTCCTCCTCTCGGCCACCTTAACCACAGAGTCCAGTTCCACACCGACCACTGACCCAGCACGCCTGACCAGTTTGTCCAGTCGCATCTCGTCATAAAAAAGACAGCTGGCAACCACTGTCTGATAGAACATCTGGACCCCAGCCTACTCAGGAAATAGAGCTGGCTTTGCCCCTTCCTGTACAGGATGTCTGTGTTGGCTGACCAGTCCAACGTATCATCCAGTTGCAGTCCGAGATACCTTTAGGTCTTTAACCCTCTCCACTTCAACCCCCGGAATAGAAATCGGCTGTGTGAGTGGCCCAGCCCTGCGAAAATCCACCACCATCTCATTGGTCTTGGAAATGTTCGGTAGCAGATTGTTCCTATGGCACCACGCCACAAAGTCCTTCACCAGGTTCCTGTACTCCTCCTCCTCCTGCCCTCCCCTTACACACACCACGATGGCAGTGTCATCCGAAAACTTATGCATGTGGCACGTCTCAGAGTTGTACTTAAAGTCTGAGGTGTACAGTGTAAAAAGAAAAGGCAAAAGTACAGTCCCTTGTGGTGCTCCTATGCTGTTGACTACAGTCTCTGATGTACAGTCCTTCAGCCTGAAATACTGAGGTCTGCCAGTGAGGTAGTTAGTAATCTAGGAGACCAAGTGCGGATCAACTTGCATCCTTGCCCCCTTATCTCTCAGTTGGAAGGGCTGAATGGTATTAAAGGCACTGGAAAAATCAAAGAACATGACTCTTACAGCGTAACACCGGTAAGTGCCGTGAACAGCTTGCAGAACGTAAGGATTTGGGGCCACTGCAGCAAACCCAGGCTGACTGGTGATGCATTCGGCGACCTTGTTGTCAATCTGAATGAAACTTGGTGTTCAAAGAAATGCACTTTTATTCGTTCGGAATTCAGTGCATCTATGAAATCAGGGCTCGGGTTATATCAAATATGGACCTGCTGAACAGATAATTTAAAGTTAGCTGTCATGGTTTTAGGGAATGTTCTACCGTTCTCTCCCAGTCGCTGCTAATTATTTCCTGGCACTTCGTTAACTCTTCAGTGGCTTGAGCCAGTGGCTCATACTGTTAAGCCTGAAGACACACCACCTGATCAGAAACACCTTCCCTCGTCGAAGGTGGGGATGGAAATAGAGAAAAATCGTCAACCTCGTAAGACCTCTCAGTCGCAAAAGTGCTGTTTGATTCTGTCACTCTCCATGTTTTCTGGTAGCTAAAGCTTACTATGAAAACACAGCAGCCCAGCCCGTGCGGTTTCCCTCCCAGCCCCACCTCCAAACCCGTAGATCACTGCAATGCACCCCACAGCGTGCCCCACCCATTTTTGACCATTTTTCAAAGTTGAGCCAGGGGTGGAGCTGAAAATAGTGGAGTGTAGTTACTCTTTAAACAGTATGGCTGCCATATGCTAATTAATCCTTCTGGATTCATTTAAAATAATTCATAATTAATTAAAAATGCTATAACTTGAAAATCCTTCACCCAAAAATTTTTTTAACTTGACATGCTTAGTCTGTTGAAGATTCTGATGTAGCCTATCGATTTTTGTGCGCATAGGTCATTAGGGGCACTGTAAATGCTGCATAACTGTTTATCAGCATCCGTACATCTGATCATATGGAAATTTTGCACGTAGCATCTATTAGACAGAATAAGTGAATCTCTAAGGACAATTTGATACATTGAAATTTGTGGTCACCATCAACCAATCATGTATGTAGCCACTTTCTAACCAGTGAAGTTTCAAAAGATTTGGCCACTGGGGTGGCACCATTCATGAAAATTAATCAATTACATGTTACATGTTCATATTATGATTTTTGGTCAAATAACGTTGTAAGTCTAATGTAGTACAGTGTGACAAACAATTTTCAAATTGCAAGTTTATTACAAAAATGCAGTTTTTTGTAATTGTTAACTGTTTAAAAACCATACTTTTCAAACTAGACTGGATTTTGATCCCAGCATTTTGAAATTGGTCTAGAAATACTCTGTGGCCCTGCTAGGTTAATAATTATCAAAAAAAAATCTTGACTTTTTTTACTCAACATAGTGTCGATTTATCAGTTAATCACTGCGGCCGTGGCATTGCTAGCTTAAATTGCTATAACTCATAAGTAGTTCGTCCAGTCATTTCGAAACCACAACTCTGATGGGGTATGCAAAATTTTGTTCAGATTTAGGGGGCGCTTTAGCACTCAAACACTTATAATCATAAGGCTATTACAATGTTATTATAAAATGGACAGATAAATGGTTGGTGCCATTTGATTCATATCACTAACCTGAATAACTTTGTAATTACATGTCAGAAATTGGACTGCTTGTCTGGTATTTTGGCTTATTTGTTTAAAGACTACAGCTTATTATACAAAGATCAAAAGGTCAATCTGAACAAAACTGTCAACATCTTCATTGAAGGTCCTTGATGAATAATCATATCATATTGAGACCTTGTGACATTCTGACCCACTTTCACTTATCTCCTCTGTGCTACAAGGTCCCCTTATGGGTGGATTGGGCCTCATTATGGCATACATATGAAAGTGTTACATAGTTGAGTTTGAAAAAGGGTTTCGTTCTCCATATTTAAGAAATTTTGCCATTAGTCATGCAGTTTTGACATCTATGTTGACAGTCTCTTGGATGTTCTACAAACCTTTGTAGATCAGTACATTTGAAGGCAAACATTATATTATGTTTAAAGACCACAGCTCGATGTTTTTGACAACTGAAGGCTTTTTGATAAACTGACTTCCTTTCAGTTCTTTTTTTCTAAATGCATCTATATATATCATTTTGGTGTGTGTTTTACTGCTAATATGTTGCATTATTTTTGTAGTTGCGGAACAACCTTCAGGAGACTATTCAGTCATTCAGAGTGACCAATGAAGAGATCAGGGCCACAGCTAACTCAGAGGACATACAGGACTGCAATGCTGTCTGCAATGTAAGAGACCTATGAACACACACACACAGTTTAAAATATATGACCATGGAAAGCCATCACAGCAGTTATTGTACCATGAGATTAATGTTTGAAGGCCAACATGTCTCATAAGAAAAAGGGACTTATTAAAGCCACCACAAACTGGACACATTGCACTACAATGTGCCAAGCTGCGCTGTTGTATGTAGCATCACACAGTACAAAGCGCTGCTGTACTGGTTTGGTAAACACCAAATTAATCTTTATTCCTATAAATGTAATAAAATAAATTCTGTGCATCGTTTGATAAAGTTTAGCATCAGTTAACTACCCTTTCACCCCCCCTTGTAAAACTAATCCTGTCAACATGGAACTTAAGTTAGCTAACTAATTTTGCTGGCTAAAGAAATACTTTGTTATTGTTATCTCAATGGATTTAGTATCTTGTATCTGAACGTAATGAAATGGGCAGTGGTGTCATCTTAATTGTGTTCTGTTTTGACAACACACTAAACCATGAAACTAATGGACCTGTCTGCACTTGCGAATATGAGATCACTGAGGAGTCAAAAGAAAAATACCTAGGCTCTGAATTTATGGAACATGCATTAGCACCATGGTGTAGTGAGCAAAATGACTGTTCTCTGAGGTTGGAGTGGTAAAACTGGTGATATTCAGATGGGTCCAGTTTCACTTACTGGTCATGAATGGTTGTAATGTTCTTTTGTTAAATTAAAATTAAGATAAAAAACTGGTTCCACAAAATGAAAAGTATCCCTGCCTACTTTCATTTTAAAGAAATAAGCTTAAAATCTGCAGAACTTTCCCGGGTTGAATAATTGTAAACATCTTTCACCTGAAAAAATAAGTTAATGAGGAAAAGCTGAAATATACAGCTCTATCTCTATTCTGAAATTTCAACCATCCAGGCATTTCATAATGAGACATTTCAAGATGATTCACATGGGAATCCTAACTAACTTATTTAAAATATCTGAAGCTTGTTTTCCATAAATTTAGAAATGCATTTATACCATGACATACAGTTGTCCGACACAAAACCCAATAATTAAGTTCATAGCGTCAATTACAGTACCCCCAACTATGACATGACTAGAGTAATTTTGGTGCCAAAAAGGCACTGTTCACACTTGATATTAACGTCCATCTCGAGTGATCTGATTACAAGTGGAGGGCAAGATGTGTAGCTGTCTGTACATGGCATTTTCATGTGTCTCCAGTGATCAGATTTTGTGAATGGAGGATGGGTACCACCCACATTCACTGTTAGTCTCTTGCTACCTTTGTTGTCAGACAAAAATGCCGCAAGTCTAGGTTCGTGTAAAAGTAACGGCTGTTGCAAACGTTTAGTCAGCATGAAGTGCAAGTTGTAATGCAACTTGTAAACAAATGGTACTTGAGAAAAATGAGGCTACACAGCTGCCTTCATCTCTGCTGTAATGATGCAGCTGATTAAGGCTACACTGTAAATTTTATTTGGCCATATATGTCCCTGACGACCTTCGAAGGTGGTTTGAGTGATCACATCATGATGTGTCTTCAAGACATGCCAATTTACATCGTTCACACCTGCACTTAGCGGTGTCCAGTAAAATTTAAATACGACAGAGCTTGTGAACTGTCTGTAGGTGAGTCAGACCAACCAGAAGCTACAAAACACTCATGTATATCTGACATCACAACAATCACAACTAACTGCTAATCTAATGCACTCAGTCTTAAAGCTTTGTGCCAAAACACAGGTCTGGAAAAAAATGTATAGAAAATAGCTGTATTAAAATCACAATGTTAATCAGAAAAACACAGATTTTTTTTCCCAAATCTTTCAGCCCTCCTTTAAACAGTTCTTCTCTGTTTACTTTTTACAGTACTTTTTTACCTTCATGTGAAAACAATGTTGCAGAATCCTCTGCATACAAAACAGTACACACAAACATACAGATTTTAAATGATTATTATATATGAGAAAAACCAAAGGACCTAAATACTTCTTTGGGGAACAAACCTCTTGTTTCATTAATCAGCAGGGTTGGGATAGCTACTGAAAAAGTAGTAATTACTTTCCCAAAATTTGTAGCTAGCTACAATTTGGGTACTTTTCCAGAAAAAGTAGTGGCTACTTTTTGAAAAGTAGTGCACTACTTTTTAGCTACTTTCAAAGCGCAATTGTCAGAATGTTTGTGAATCTCCACCTGACACACCAAACAAGCCCAACTGATAGTGTGAACAAGACACATACAATTGAAAAGCTGCAAATATACAAAAAGTAAAATATCCACCAAAAAGTTTGTGTACAATCAAAAACACAACCAAAGGCGTTCTCCAACAAAAATTTAGACTAAGTAACGGCAAAGTCAATCATTCCAGGTTTTTCCTAACAAAAATCAACAAGAATAACTGTATACAAACCAAACAGTTTTGTGCAAAGCATTGTCAACTGTTGAAATAAAACTGCTCCAATGTAAACATTTCAGCAAGATACATACAGACATGACATTCAGAGTCCTTTGTTAAACTTCAGCAACACTTTGGCCTCAAAATTCTCATTAGTGACCTGTCTCTGCTTGGGGTGAGAATCAGGCATGTGCAGCTGAATAATCTCTCCACTGCTGTTGGGGCTCCACAGCAGAACTTTTTGGTAAAATAACAGATTTTTTGGTAAAATAACAATCCTCCTTTGCTGTAAAATCCTTAACACACAGTTCTAACACAGTTTTCACAATAAATGGTCTTAAAACGCTGGAGTTAATGTGTAACTGCTAATTCACCAACCTTTAACGCTGAAGACTGATGCGCAGACTGCTGGTCACACAGCAACGCAGATAACGAAAAGGCAAAGAGAAAGATTTAAGACGAACATCGACCATTTGGAGATGGACTTATCTGCGTTTGTAAGCACTCTGGTTTCCTCATACGTTTAATTGTTTTGCAGTTTTGGTCTCATAATGTGCTGCCTCTTTTTTTGTGGTTTTGGTAGTCCAAACAAGACCCAGTAAAACATAATAGAGCCACCGTGTTGTTTTTATAGTCGAATCTCATAAGTCTTGGGGCAAAGGCTTCTGATGTCGATATTAAGTATGTGCAGTTCCCTTAAGGAAAGAAGCGAATGTGTTATTACCCAGGTGCTCCAGCGAGCGCTTCAAAGCCAGCTGCGATTCCTGGCTTTCCAGCCATACAAGCGGCATTTCTACTTGTATTAGTGTGACTGCAATCCTGTTTTCAACTCAGCCTGCATGTAGCTCTGCATTCTCCCTTGAGGCCTTTAGATCACAAAAATGCACAAAATGCATAAAATGGAAAAAAACTAAAAAAAAATATGCTGCTTGGCAACAGGGGCTCTGCTTTTCACCTGACAAATGTCCCTACACTAGGTATGAGAACAAGTCTCTCCAACTCAGTAGTGAACAGGTTGGGGCCTATTGCACATCTGTCCCCATGTGAGCCTCTCCACTCTCTCTGTCATGTTTTCTATGGATCAAAGGCAGCCTTCATCGCACCGGTCAGTCATCTTAAAGATCTTCAGCATTTTATCCTTATAGGCAGGACTGCAGAACAAGAAATTTTCCAAATGTAAGACATGCCCATGTGTATGATTATTAACCACAATAAATGGCCATTGTCCCTCTTTTTTGAGACTAGACTTATGATTCTAATGCTGTCCAGAAAGTCTATTTATGTTTGTTTTTGGGGACTGGATAGATGATTGAGGTTTTGAAGGGAACAGAGCAATATTCCAGTAATTTGTTGAAGGTATTTGTGAAAATTTGTGCTATGTGATCACAGCAGCGCCTTAAAGTGGGTGGAGAGACTAAGTCTACTGAAGAGTCTGCTGACGTTGTTGATAGTGAGATGAGCGGAGGGGAAAGGGGTGAGAGCCAGGGTAAGGGAGGAGGGCGGAAGAAGTTTTTCTTACCTTTGGTAAGTGTGATCTCTTGGAGGCTTTTCTAAACTGACGATGAGTCTTTAGCAGCAATGTGCATTTCAACTTTAGTCCTTTTTTTTTATTTATTTATTTTTAAATTCCTTTCTCCAGAGAGAATTTTGCAAAGAATTCTGTCCCTGCTCCTGAGGCTGCCTCCTTTTCCCTCCAAAGCTGTCTGGTTTAGCTGTAAACTATGGTTTATTGTTACTGTATTTTGCCTATGCTGTATTTAAAATACAGCTAACTTTGCAGAACCTGATGATATATGATGTCATAGTGTTTGTATATTTGTTTAGTCCATCTGTTGCCTCTAGTTTGTGGATTCAAAGTAGCTCTCTAGCTTTTCAGTGTCTGCCCTGATTCGCTTTTCCGTGTTGACAACAGACTTCTTAGTTTTTGCCTGTATTTTGTGATGAGGTGAACAAGACTGGTTGGAATGCCTGCGAGCTGCACACGTGGCTACGTGATGAACATTTTATCAGTGGTGTAGCAGTGGTCAGAATGTTCCATTCTCTGGCACAAGTGACATGCTCTCTGCTTTCAAGCATTTACTTTGTTATATTTGCACTGTTAACGTCTCTCAGAGTGATGGACTGTGAATCTGGCTTCTCTCTTTCTACTTTCATTCTGTGATCTGCCAGCAGTTTCTCGCGCACTTCCAATGTAACAAACACCAACCAAAATGAAAAGGGAGAGTATAACAGTTTGCGGTTGAAGAAAAGTGACTCTTATTTGTTTGCCAATCACGTTTAAAACACAAAGATGCTTATACTGCAATAACTTTGACAAAAGTATCTAAATTCGAAATTAGCTTAACCCTACTTGAAGTTTTATGGTAGTTAACTGAACTGTTGATGTAACTGATTGAACATCTGGTGTTATACTTGACTGAGTTTTAAATTTTAAAGCAGCAAATTACAAAGGGCATTCCAGGCATTCCACTTTTTAGACATTTATTCTCACTTGATCACCTATGCTCCCTATCCCACTTTATCCAGTCTCTGCAGATGAAGATCCGCTGTCAGGGTTTCCCGTGGTCACGGCTGCTGATGGCCATGTTGGTGTTTGCCGCTGGTTTTATTGCTCATGATCTGAGGTCACATGGAACATTTGCTGGGTCCACCACAGCACTGTACCTGGAGAGAACCGGAGTTGCCGCTGTGTCCCAGCAGGCCTGGAGAAAAGTGTCTTACTACAGCCAGCAAGGCATCAGGTGATAAAGCACAAAACACACTGGAAAACATAAATGCACACTATTAAAATACATCTTTTTGCATCAGTCCTTGGATTTAAGTTTGTGTGTATATGTGTGTGTCTAGCTGGTTAGCTGAGAGCACACCTTATTACTACTCTCTGGCTGTGGAGGCTTTGGGTCCGCTACTAGTTACAGCTCTTGAGAAGCTTAAGGTGGCTGCAGTTTTTGTTGCACAGAAGAGTTCAGAATTAATACTGTTGGTGCAAGAGAACACACCTCTACTCATAGAATGGGTGAGTCGCAGTCTTCTTTCTTTGAAGTGCCAGTCACTATATAATCTCTATTTGTTTACTGTTTTAGAATGGATATTGTTAATCCAGAAGATTTATTAATTGTCAGGTTTGCACCGTTTGAATCGGCCTCGGTCTGATTTATGCTTAGGAATGTGATGTCGTTATGCAGTGTCTTATGGGTGATCTGCCATTTTGGCAGGGGTAGTCAGTCTAGGCTGGTATAGGCTGTATAGTTTCCTACCTGCTTTCCTTGATTTTGCCTGATTTGTAGCCCATGGACTCACTAAATATGCTGGCAGAGCTGACTAGCATGTGGATCCACATGGCTACCAGATCAGACAAAATCAAGGAAAAAGAAAGGAACGGGAGTTTCATTTAACTATGTGGAGAGGAAGCATCTCAGTGAGAATGTGGATAAACCTCAAATTCAGGCTCATTTTACACTCATGTAGATTTAACAGAATAAAACTTGCATAATTGTCAATTTATCACATTTGATATCAGCTAACTCTTCAGAAACTTGCTGTTTTCCAGCTAAAAGCTAAAAAAAATGGTTGAAGTTATAGATGTTATTGTAGTACACTATATAGTGTCAGTGGTTAGCTGTTAGCAGGGTCAGCAGTGTTTGCTAAAAGACTGTTTACAGTGGAAATATGCCTGTGGCTGAGCAGAATATACATTTGTAAACTGTGTATGCATTTCAATAACTTAAATATTAAATTACTCAAAAGAATAAGCACTTTAGCCATGCATTATTAAGGGAAAAAAAGTTTGTGAATGAAAGGGGAGTTAGCATGTCCATAGCATAGCTTTGGGTAAAAAGCAATTAAAAAGTGGCACTGTTACCCAATTCAGAAAAACTTGCATAATTGTCAATTAATAACAAGGCATAGCTTATGTGTAGTACCTTATGTAACTCTGTCTTTCTCATACATGTTAACTTAGTCTTTCATGGTCTGTAATATTATTAGCGTTGCCCTCCCTAGCAGTTAAATGTGAGAGTTTTTGTCTGCATCTCACAGATCAATGCCAACACTCCAGAGAGTGTATTCCAGTTTTTGGAGTTTGTGAAGGAGCTAATGCTGTTTGTGCATCAGAGCTTCGTCCTCCCCACCCTTCAGTACTTCATTACAGCGATGCAGCACGGCTGGCAATCACTGCAAGACTCCTGCAAGTCAGAACCACTTACTGCACTTCTCTTTTCTGTAATGTTTCAGTTAGTACAGATGCACTGAATGCAGTGAAGTGATTTGGTACATAGGGGGCGTGGGTTAAGTTGGCAAAATCAGCAATGACTAGTTGACGGTTTGCTTCATGATCCACATTCTGTTTTGATATATTTTCATTATTGCACATTTTTTTCATTATTATAAAGAATATTTAAAGGCTTTTTTGTAATCTTTAAAAGACTGCATGTTCTGTTATTGTTCAGTTAAGACCGCTTTTATTGTTGGGACTTTTTTGAGGGCTGTAGATTCCTTGATTGCTGAAATCCATATTGATGCCCTGATTTGAGTACTTCTGTTCTCCTACAGTGGTGAAGTATCACTCCACTGCGTGCAGAACCATGTGATGGCATTCACCAATAGCACATGGATCTACCTACAAGACACCACAACAGCCCTCAGGAGCTGGGCTCAAGAACTGCTTTCCAGAGCATGATGTCCCCCCATACACACTCGTGCACACTCACACAATATTGGTCAGAGACTCCCTTCACTTGTGTTTGCCCTCTTCTGCTGGGTTGCCACACGTGCTTTAATAACAGTTTTCTAATATGGAGGACTCTGCAGGAGTTGGAAGATGAGCCTCAAAGTTCTTTTTGACCCCACCACCTCCTTTGGGGCTTTTCATTTTATAAACAAATAAGCATCCCCACCCCAGCTGTTGGTGGGAGCTCCTGTACAGTACTCAACTTTTCCCCTGGTAATTAGAAATTATATATTTATTTTACAGTGTGTTGCCAAAGTAAATTAAACAAAAGATTACAACAGGCTCTTCCCAGAGATAACTAGAAGTAAAAAGGCACCACACATTACTTTTAAATAATTGTAAAGAAAAAAAAAAGTAAAATGCCCTGTCTCTTAGGTTTTGCTTGCAGAAATTCTGAATAGCTATGGATTTTTGTAAAAATGTTACAGAACATAATATTAAGCAGTGATGAGTAGAAATATGCTATCAAATTCATACACATTCTACACACTCAACACATTTTACACAGAGCGAAATTGCTTACAAAATATGCACTTCAACACGGATGCCTTAATAAAATGTATTGATTTTTTTCCACAACTTAAAAAAAATTGGAAGAGTGGACATTACATGTTGAGCAACAGCATATTGAATTATCTCTGACATTATGATCTAAATTGTCATAATGACTTCAAGTGGCTATTCTTCATATTTAGCTCTCCGTATTGGTTAGTCCATGAATCTTGTGTGTTGGTGTCATTTTTAATTCCAGCCACTTCTTACATTTGTAATACAAAAGCAATGATAAGAACATTTTTGTAACGAATGAGAGAAAGTGGCTAGCTCTGTTTGTCTTTTTCTTTTTTCCAACTCCAGTTGCGTAACTTAGTCCATTTACACTGCAGTCTTCACTGGTTATTCTGCATGAGTCATGTCATCTAGTGATCAAGTAATTCTGCCACTAGATCCAGGTGAGTTAAAATGGGGAGGGGGGGATTGCTAGTGCTCACTTGATAGACGCATGCAGCTAGTGATTAGCAGGGTGTGTGCTGGAATTAAATGTGTGTGTGTGTGTGTATCATTGTCAAAGGTGTACATTAAAGGTTCCATCAATTTTTAAAATTATCTGCATAATTCAGTCATTGAAATATAAACTAAATCAGAATATTCTGATGTGAAATGCATTGTAGACAAACTAACCAATTTGGATTTCATTACAGTGCTGGTGATAGGAACCAGGGGTCATGATGTCTGCGATGCAGATAGCCATTTTATTTCCTATCTAGAACAACAAGTGAACCTACGCATGTTGATGATTAATAGTGATAAACCCCCCAAAAATTCTGTGGGTACTATTTTGGCCTTACAGTGCCCTGCATAACCTTCTGCCTCTAAGGTATTTTAAAACATGTACGTTTTAGGCCAAACCTTTAGCACAAAACTGTCATAATGTCTCAGGGAGTGTTTTCGTAACCATGTCATGTAATGGCTTTCTGTGAGGTGGCTTTTACGGACAATAAAAAAAGACAATGGTTTCTGTCACCACAGCTGTAAATGATTGACTCAGTTAGTTTCTCTACAGTGGTGCATTTTGCATCAAACCACTCTGAATTTACATCTGAATGATTTAATTATACAAAACTTTTTAGGGGAAAAAAGTTGAATTAGGCACTAGACTAAAGATGGTTACTGCTGCTACTGTTTGAAAATGTTTTACTTGGAATGTCTTTTAATGTGAAGTAGAGAGGTGTATTGAGGAATGACCCTCATGTTTTACCTCTCACTTTACTTACTGTATGTTTAAGTAGATGAGCTGGATAGATGAATGATCCCAGTTTCGAAACAATTGAACACAGACCTTTTTCTGTAAATCTTTTCCAGGGCAGAATTCTTTGTTCATCCTCTGGACTATTAAATGTGAGAGAAGCTACATTTGTAAATTGTACTGTATTCAAGTAAGATTTTTGGTGTCCAAGTTCCATCCACATTCATGAAATCAGGTTTCATCTGACTGCTGGTACCCTAAACGCTTTTAGCCAGTAGGCCACTGCCAGTTGATTCCCTTAATAGGAACCATTTGGCAGTATTTAAAGCAGGCCAAGGTGGTTCAGGACATATTCATGGTTAGACCATAGTCCTGTGCCCTTATGACAACATGGTCAGCACTAAAGAGTGAGTCATGAAAGTAGAGAAAACATATGATAAATGTGATGAGCTAATATTACTTTGTACAAAAGGTTAATAAATAAAATCCGTTTATGCCCATGGCACATGTCTACTTTAGTGCTGTCGAGTCCCTGCCATTTGATATGTTCTGTATGCTGTGACCTGAAACTGATTTTCAAAAACACTGGTTATTGGTTATTTGTAACTTTGACTTCATGGATGTTAAGTTGTACCATATAGGTGGAGATCTGCTATGAAGCACTGATAACAAATGTCTCCATTTGTCTGAGATCATTTCACTTTTGTGGTTTAGTGTGATCTGTCTTTCAACAAGGCCACATAAGAGAATGATATCAAATACAAGTGTTTTAAAATTCTGTAAAGTTTTTCTTTGATTAATATTTGAAAAATTATCTTTTCAAACTAGTCTATGGATATTAAGCCAATTGTTTCAATGTTGTTCCTTAAACAATTTGTGGAGTCTGTAGGTAAATAAAAAAAGAACCTTGACTTTATTGCAAAGAATGTTCGTGAGACATCAATGAATCTGTTCGGCCTGGCTTTTTCTGACTTAGGTGGCTATAGATTCTTTAGTTTTTATGTGATTGTGATAAATCTTGGTAAAAATGTACATTACTATTTCCTGAGGAAGCATGCAAAGCTTCATTTAAAGTCCCTACAGTGCTTAATCTAGTGTATAAATATTGAAACGTCAGTATATCCTTCTATGATGGAAATAAAGAAAAGATAATGGTTTCAAATTACATATCTCATTAACATCTAAAACATTGCAATTATATGTATGTTCCAAAATTGCACAGGAAATGTGGAAGTTTGACTTAAACCCAGGTTGGCTATATAATCTGTATGTTGGTAATAGCTTCTCTGGCCAGCAGAGGGAGCATCAGCATTAAATGCAAATTATGACTTCAAACATACTTATGGTCCTAGACTTTGCAATATCTATCTTGTGGCAAAGAAAGTGTCTGAATTTTATGTATTCCACCAAGCCAGGCAATTTTGCAAATACAAGTCTTTTAAAAAAAAAAACTTGTTTTTCTGTAAATCTGTTGTTTTCATACTGCTTGCTGAAATGTTTTTGCATCATCTCAAAACAACCGTGTAAGTCTCAAGATTAATAATTATTTTAAAAAATCTTGCCTTTTAAGCACAATGTTATTGCAAGTTATGGATCAAGCAGTTCAGTCTGGCCTATTCTGAAACAGGGGACCACAAATCTGTCAGTTATGCTCTGATTCTGACCAAAAAAGACATGACAGTTGTTTCAAATTATGCATCTTAATGAGAATTATCAATTTGCAAATGTGTGTAGGTTGCTTAACTGCACAGGAAATCCTATAATTTGATTTCAGCTAATTTTGGTCAGAGCAACAAGTGTTGTGTTTTTCTCTGGCCACCAGAGGGAGTCAAATCAGTAACTGCAAATGTCATCCTTGAAATATACAATAAATGAAAAGCTTTATTGTACGTCCTTAGGCAAAGAGCATTTCTGAATGTCATGCCTGACAATTTTACAAATACAAGTCTTAAAAACGTAGTATTTTCACAGTTGAAAAAAGATGGAAAATAGACAATTAATTTTTTCTTAAAACTATCTTAATTATTGAAAACATCATGACTTTTAAGCACAATGTGGCTTCAAGATTTGAATAAATTGGTATGACCTGGCTTATTCTGCTATAAAAGGCTAAAAATACATCAGTAATTGTCTAATTATGAACAGATTTGACACATACAAAATGACAAACTGAGGGTGTATTATAATTTAATTTTCTAATCATAGTACTCAATAGTCACAACTGGGAACTAGTTCTCAAAATGGTGCTTGGTTCCTTATTGCTCCATACCAATAAATTATCTAAAAAAAAAACAGGTCTGCTGTGGTCCTTTTGTAGCTTACCATGAAAACATCCGCCTTTGAAGATTAAGGTCGTGGGTTTGATTCCCCGTCATAGATGTTGGACGGTGCTGTACCAGTTGTTGTGGACACGCACTTAATTATCTTAATCTTAAGAAAGGGTCTTTCCTAAAAATGCAACAATTTCCTGCCTTCTATGACCAGAGGCATGAAATTTGTTTATGCTGCTACCTTGTCCTAAAGTGGTGCGTGGTTCCTTGTTGCTTCTAGAAATTGCAGTTGTGCCACAGGGGTTTTGTGGCTCATCATGAGAACGTCCACCTTTGAACTCTAAGGTTGTGGGTTTGAATCCCTGTCATGGACGTTAAACGGAGTTGCGTAGATTGTAGCAGACATATCACTTAGTGATCTTAATCATAAGAAAAGGAGATCTTTCATAAAAATCCAAACATCTGCTACCTTCTATGACCAGAGGCAACCACGCGAACCCTCGCTGTCTTCTTGGTTCTTGGACCCTGCAGATTGCCGCTTGTGGCTACATTTTTTTTACTGATAATTTTACTTTTATTGCTATTTATAAATCAAACTTCTTACTTTAATTCAGTTATGTTTATTTATTGCTACTACCTTTACTTATGATACATCTTCTTTATTATTTCTTTGTTATTGATATAATGTGCGAGTTTCTATCACAGACTGTCATATTAATGCAACTTCCTACCATACGTAGAATTTGAGGGCTGTTTTGAATTTTAATTGGTTTTTTATACACAATAGTCAATAACTTCTTTTTTGGTTGGACCAACAGTTACAAAACTTAATGTATTGCAGAGCTTATAGTTTTTACAACTTACTACAGCATGTAAAATTTGAAAAGTCTAGTGTTGGATTATAACAATTTTCATAAACAAAAGATTAAATAGCTTTCTTACTGTAGTGTCCAGGTTTGTACAATCAAATGCCTTGGAGAGTACCCTATTATTGTAACTAACTACAACAGGCAGAATATATATTGGGTTGTGTTGAGTTTCAATTAATGTATATACGAGAAACTTTAATGTAGCAGCCAAAATTGTACAACCAAATGCATTAAAGAATGCCCTTTTACTGCAACTTACTACTTGAAGCAGATTTTAAAGAAAGCCTTATTTTTGAATATTAATGTTGTAAACATCAACAACTCAATAGCTTCTTTACTGTAGGGCCTACCATTATGAAACCAAGTGCATTATGGCCCATCCTGTTATTGCTATACACAACAGCAAGCAAAATTTGAATAAATCATTTTCATTTTAATTAATATTGCAAACACAAATAAATTAATAGCTTCCATACTATGGGGCTTAAAATTATGAATTGAAATGCATGAAATGCTATCCTATTATTGCTGCATACTGTAGCAAGCAAAATTTAAATAAAGCTTTGTGATTAATTTTAATGAATTTTCCAACTACAAGAAATTCAATAGCTTCTTTACTGTAGGGCCGGCATTTATGATACCAAATGCATTATAGACCATCCTATTATTGCTATATACTACAGCAAGTAGAATGAGTAAAGCATTTTGATTAATTATAATTCATTTAGCTAATTCCAACACACATTTTAATAACATCTAAAATTATAAAACCAAATACATTAAAGACTATCCTATCATTAAAACATAATAGAGTAAGCAGAATCTGAAGAATGTTTAATTTTCCAACCGCCATAAAATTCAATAGCATCTTTACTGTAGGACCTATAATTGTGAAATCAAATGCATTGGACGGGTTTATTCATGCAAAATACTAAAGCAATAAGAACTGTTTTTATAAATTTTAATGAATTAAAAAAGTAAACATATGTTGTAATAATAGAACACTCTGAAAAGTGTAAGTATAGGCACAAGAATACAACTGGTATTTTTTTGTTGATAGAAAATTTGAATAAAATACTTTCTCCAAATTCTTTTTGCTGTAGTATTTTGTTAGAATTGGAAATTCTGTGATGCAAGTGTTTTTCCAATTGTAGCCTCTACATTCTACTTTTTGGATGATAAAATACTGAACTAAATCAATAAAAAGATAAATATGCAATCTTTTTTTTCAATTGCTATTTGCTGTAGGAGGCTGAAATAAAAATAATGCTTTATTCAGATTTTGCTTGCTATGATATGTAACAACAATAGAATAGTCTTTAATGCGGTTGGTTTTAATTTTTTGGCCCTAGAATACAGAAGGTGTTGAAATTGTGGTTGGAAAATTAATTAAAATAAAAAATGCTTTATTTACATTTTCTTTGCTGTAGCTTGTTGCAAAAATATGACAGGTTTAATATATTTTGTCTGCTTATTGTAGTATGTAGCAGTAACAGGTTAGTTTTTAAGGCATTTGGTTTTTAATTTTGCACCATACAGTAAATTATGATTCGAATTATGATTGGTGTAGTAAGTAGCAATTATAGAGCACTCATTGATTCGTTTGATTTTACAATTTTGGCCCCTAAAGAAAAGAAGCTGAAGTTTACACAATATTAATAAAAATATAACACAACACTTTAATTTATATTTTGTTTGCTATAGTTACTTCCAATAATAGGGTATTTTTCACTGTATTTGGTCTTTCAAACTTGGGCCCTACAGTAAAGAAGCAATTGAGTTTTTTGCCTATAATATTAAATAAAATTCAACACAACACTTACATTATGCATGCTATGGCTAGTTACAGTAATAGGTACTCTTTGATGCATTTAGTTTGATAAATCTAGGTCCTAAAGTAAAGAAGCTATTGAATTTTATGAAAAATGTACTATAATTAAACGCTGTAGTAAGTTGTAATAACTATAAGCTCTATAATGTATTTGGATTTATGTAAGGCCCTACAGTCAAGAATTAAATACATTTTTGATGTTTAAAAAATAATCAAAAATTAAGTCCTAGAATTAATTCAAATTTGGCTTGCTGTAGGTAGTCGCAATAATAAGGGACTCTTTCGTGCATTTGGTTTTACAATTTTGGCCGTACAGTTTAGAAGCTATTGATGTTTTTTGGATATAAAATGTTCATTATAATTCAAGCAAACACAATTTAAATTCTGCTTGCAAGGTATTCTGCCTGTAGCTATGAAAACATCTTTAATGCATCTGGTTTTACAGTTTTGGGCCTTACATTAAATTATGTATTGAATTTTACATTTTTAAACCATTAATTAATATTCACACAAGGCTTTCTTCAAATTCTGCTGGTTGTAGTAAGTTGCAGTAATAGGGACACTTTAATTCATTTGGTTTTATAATATTGGCTCCTGTAAAGAAGCTATTGAATTTTTTAGTCTATACCAGGGGTCTGCAACCCAAATGTAAAGAAGAGACATTTTGTCCTTTTAACAAAAATCAAACCACCTTTTACCATCTTGGCTGTAAATATGTCTCAGTATGTGCTAATGTACTGGTATAGGCTAAAAATATAACATTAACGAAAACGCAGAGTCTGCTTTAAGGTTTAGCATGACTATAGCTGCTTTTCTTGCATCTCTGGCAGGAAACAAAAGTAGAATAATTTCTTGTAAAATGTCTCTCAACATTTGATTCTTTACGAGGCTGAAGTCAGCTTCTCATTCACCAGCCTTGTGTTTGAATGTTCCTGTTCCACCTTAAATGGTACAACACTAACATTATGTCAGGCGCCATTTAAGGTGGAACAGGAGAAAATCTGAATGAGGCAAACAAGAAGCTGTCTTCTGCTTTAGGACTTTTTAGTGTTTGACAGTTTCTCACAGCAGATTAAACATATCAGGAAACCAACTTAGTGCTTATAAATGTTGATGTTCATCTTAAATTTTTCTCTTTGCCATTTTGTTAGCTACTAGCTAGGTGAGATTTTTTTCTGCGTTGCTGTAGTGACCAGCAGTCTACACGCCAGTGTTCAGGGATAAAGGTTGGTGAATTAGCAGATGTTGGCTACATTAACTCCAGCGTTTAAGTATTAGAGCGATCAGAAGAGCTTTATTTTACTGCGAAGGAGAATTATTTTTATCTACAAATCTAATTCTGCTTTGGAGCCACAACAGGGCAGTAAAAAAGCCACATGTTGCCGACCCATGGTCTATACAATAATAATTAAAATTCAACACAACACTTTTTGCAGGTGGTTACAATAATAGGGCACTCTTCAAGGCATTTGGTTTGACAAATTTAGGCCTTGCAGTTTAGAAGTTATTGAATTTATTCTATATAAAATATTATTTATAATTAAACCCTAAATTGTATTCAAATTTTATTTGCTGCAGTAAGTTCTATTAACAATGAGCTGTTTAATGCATTTGGTTTTACAATTGGTTCCTACAATAACGAAATGTTTTTTTTTTTGTTTTTTTTCCCATAATTGCTTGGGTTTCAGTTGGCCCCACAAAATAGACGCTAGTGAGATTTTGACGTTCAAGACTTGTACACAAGGACACGCACTTTCACGTGGTACGTCGAGCTGGCAAAATGGACAATTAATGTAGATAGAAGGTTGATGTACCTAATAAAGGGCTCAGTGAGTGTTTATTTTATTAATCCTGACGTCTAGCTAGAACTTCCCCATACCCAACCAATACCGGCTCGTTTTGATCCTGGGTGCTCGCCCTGAGCTCTACACACCAATCAGCGGTTGCCTTCCTTCTGTTACGCGGAGACGGGCTGGTGAGTGGGTTTGTTTGGGTCTAAAGAGTCCACTGTGCTGATGCGCTCGGAGAAGCAGTGCAGTCGTTGATTTTCCAAACGAAAACGAGACACTGTACGATGCATGTTGTACATTTTGTTGTTTTGTACCGGGAGAACTGTCGACAGATTGTAGTGCATGTCATGTTCCTGTAGTTAGTCTGGCATATGCGCAAAGGCTAACTAACCCAAGAGCAGCTGACTGACAGTTATGTAGCTAGTGGTAACTACGTAACAAGTCATTCCGCTTTACTGTGCATTATCAACAAAGTAAGAAGTAACGATAACAACAAGTAAATGCTGGTGTTATGTGTTTGCTCCTGCATGACAGTTGTTAGCAAGTGTAGCTACGGTTACCTGGGTTTGCTAGCTACAACTAACGATGTTTGGCTCTGTAGGTTACTTAGCTATCTAGCTAGCCAAGTTAGCGATAAATACATAAATATTTCTTGTCATTTTTCTTTCGAATGCAGCCCTACAACCAGACTTATATATTCGTCACTAGCGAACTAATGCTAATTCTTCGCAACTCGCTAGCTGCGTTTTTAGCTACAGTGACTGTCAATGACGGGTTTCTCTTTGAAGAGATTTTTAGCGTTTGGAACATCTGTTAGCTACTCAGCTAATTTTAAGGCCGTTTTAGTGTCCTGAACGGCCAATTTCGGTGATTTGGTTTCAGCTGTTGCCACTGACGTATTCTAATGTCTAAGAATTAAGTTTGATACCAGCCACAGCTTTCTGTATGTAAGGTTTTTTGGAGTTGGGTGGAAAATTATAGCTTACCATGCTTTCCTATTTCAAGTCACGTTTTTGCGGTCACCCTGTAAATGGTTACATGCTGATGGAATAGTCTTTCTTTGTAGGTTGAAGTCCAACACTAGTTTGCTTCAATTCTTTACACTTTATAGAAAGTAAACTGTGAAATGAATATGTGAAAGAACAATATTTAGAAATTGAGTGAGTGGCAAATTTTTCGATGTTGTTCAGATTTGAAAGGTTTTTTAATTTGGCAGCGCAAACCGCATTTTTTGTTCCAGTTAGTAAGAACAAACATGGTACAGTACATTACACCGCATAAAGGAGCATTCTGGCCTAAATCTAGCCTTTAATGCCATTTGTCATATTATGTTATGTTGTTTAGTATAGCGTTGTATCCCTTAGCCTTGGTTTAACAAAATTTACAATTTTGTATCCTTGCTGTGTTTTCATCCATCGGTGTTCTCGCACTACAGTACCCAACATGCATGTATTTTAAGCGAAAATCTTGCTCTAGTGAAGCGAGTCACTAGTCACTCTAGGAGGCGAGTAGGCATGTTTACAACAGACACAGCAATAGAAAAATGTTTCATTTTGGCCAGAGTGGCCCTCCTAATGTCCCTGTTGTGAAATTGTTAATTGGTGGTTTTGAACCTGCAGTGAGGAAAATTAATTTTTTTATACTTTGTTTTGTCTTGCATTTTGAAGTCTCCCATCTGAACCCACAGTCTTTCCTGTCTGTACAGGTGTGAAGAGCACATGTGAGGAGTGTGTGTGAGAGAGAGGGACAGAGAGAGACTGGCTAGGTGCAGCATGGTGACTGCCAGTTGAGTGGTTATCTGAAGCTGAAATCCTGATCATGGAGGTCCATTTTGGCAGTGTGGTGTTTAGCTCACGATTTGACTCTGGAAACCTGGGCAGAGTGGTTAAAGTGGAGCAGTCAGAAGCTATTGGTGACAGCAACAGCTCCACTGGAAACTCTCTACCTCACGCTGACTGTGAGTTCAATGTTTGGACTAAACCGGACTGTGCAGATACAGAGTTTGAGAATGGAAACCGGTAAGAATTTTGCTTTCAAATTGTCCTCACCTCAACATTACATACACCGATCAGGCATAACAATATGTCCCTGTTTCTACGCTCATTGTCCATTTTATCAGCTCCACTTACTATATAGTTGCACTTTGTAGTTCTACAATTACAGACTGTAGTCCATCTGTTTCTCTGCATACTTTGTTAGCTCCCTTTTACCCTGTTCTTCAGTGGTCAAGACCCTCATGGACCCTCACAGAGCGGGTACTATTTGGGTGGTGGCTCATTCTCAGCATTCTCAGTGACACTGACGTGGTGGTGGTGTGTTAGTGTGTGTTGTGCTGGTATGAGTGGATCAGACACAGCAGTGCTGCTGGAGTTTTTAAACACTGTGTCCACTCACTGTCATCAGTGGTCATAGGACGCTGCCCACAGGACGCTGTTGGCTGAATATTTTTGTTTGGATGGACTATTCTTAGTCCAGCAGTGACACTGAGGTGTTTAAAAACTCCAGCAGCACTGCTGTGTCTGATCCACTCAGACCAGCGCAACACACACTAACACACCACCACCACGTCAGTGTTACTGCAGTGCTGAGAATGATCCACCAACCAAGTAGTACCTGCTCTGTTAGGGTCCATGGGGGTCCTGACCACTGAAGAACAGGGTAAAAGGGAGCTAACAAAGTATGCAGAGAAACAGATGGACTACAGTCTGTAATTGTAGAACTACAAAGTGCACCTATATAGTAAGTGAAGCTGTTTAAATGGACAGTGAGCGTAGAAACAAGGAGGTGGTCATAATGTTATGCTTGATCGGTATATATACTTTTATTGTTTTTTTCTGATATTGTCTTAAATATTTGCATGTGATGTGTTTTCTTCAAGATACACAGCCTTTTAATTTTTAATATGTAAATTAATGCAAACTGACAGGAAGAAAAAAAAACATGCTCAAAAATGTGCAGTGTACTTTAGTATTTACTGTGACATGCAAAAGTTTGGGTGCCCCAGTCAAATAATGTTTTATTGATTTTCTAAATGAAAGTAATTCAATACATCCTCTAGAAACAGTATGTCACCATGTTTTATTGCACAATTACTGTTTATTTCTTTTTATTTCCTTAACATTAACTTATTTCCACTTAGACAACAAAACACGTCATTTGACCTTCTTCCATATGACAGCTGTTTTTAAACACTTATACAAGAAAGGCTCAGGATATAACTTGTACTATCCAAATTTTAACTGTTATCATATCTAGTATATCTGTATACTAAAGTAGTGTGTGTGTGTGTCTCTTTGATGTGTGAACAGGTCATGGTTTTACTTCAGTGTGCGTGGAGTGTTGCCTGGTAAACTCCTGAAGATAAACCTGATGAACATGAACAAGCAGAGTAAGCTCTACTCTCAGGGCATGGCTCCATTTGTACGCACCTTGCCGGTCAAAACACGCTGGGAAAGAGTGCGAGAGCGGCCCACATTCGAGGTACAAACACTTTTTTCCCCCAAACACACTGTACAACATTGCGTTTTTCCCCCAAACACACTGTTCAGCATTGCATGTTGCATGCATGCAGCTGGACAATTAGTGGACTACGCTTGACCAATGTTTTGCAACTCTCCATTTTCTATGTGATAAAGTAATCGCTCCTTTAGAGTCAGTTACTGATTATGTAGTCTTGCAGGCCGGACCTCTGTGTATTGTTGCTTAAGTTGGCGAAGAGCTGGCTACTCTGACAGGAAAGGGATGGTTAACTGACATGCACACTGTTGTTTTTGCGTGACTTGTAGGGACAGCAGATTTTCAAAACGGGGCTACAACAGAAACACACCTACAGGAAACGTGGTATATCCATCATCAAACACGTGAATATGTGTCAGTTACTAGCTACTAAAATAATTCAGATACTTGAAAGAAAACTGCTGCATAACTTTTAAAGATGTGGTGTTTTTTCAGTCCAGCTGCTATATTTTGTTCCGAAATGGTATTAAATTCAGAAAAAAATATTGTAACTGGTACACACAGACGTGTGGATAACAAATCCGAATACAACTGACAAAATCCCAATAGCTGTGGCCAGCTTAGCATTTACATTTGTGGGTGGTGTCTGAGGCTGAGATAGCTGTTTATGTTACCTTTAGCACCAGTTGCTGGAACCAGATATTTCATGTAGTAATAAATTAGGCTGTCAGAGTGCTGTGATGAATGCTATAATTTTCATGTTACTTAACTTTATGTTAATTTACTACCGAAGACCAATTTTGTTTTTGTCTTGTGCTGTTTATCTCTATGTTAATATAACGAGCTTGGTGCTGATAATATGTGCTGTCCAGCTGTTTCATCATGTGTTTTTGCTCGTCTGGCTTGTAACTCACATTCACAGTTTAGCAGGCTGAAGGTTCTCCACAAGGGGAAGCTGTTAGCACTCAAGTAGCTTTTGTGTAGATCATTAGAATGGAGGAAACTGCATAAATACCTTTTATGGAAACAGTTATGGTTATAAGAAGCATTCATTTTATTAACTAGGTTATTTATGACACAGAGAAGACCTGTGGTGGTGCTATGGAAGAGTGGAACTTAATCAGTGACACCTTAAACTAGGCAGTAAGTGCAGACAGAGACTTGGATTCCTATTTCAAGGAAAAAAAAATCTTGCCTCTCTGTGTATGCCAGAAAAAGAGTCATGGAGGCAATCAATGTATCAGTACTAGTCTATGGAGATGTAGCTTATAAACATGCGTCCGCCAGTACCCTCAAACCACTAGACTCAATTTATCACTCCATCTTATGAGAAAAACAGTAATTATTAGACCTGCTATAGTGACTGGATCACCTGTCAGGTACCTAGTTTTTACTGAACTGGGAATATAGCTCCAGTATACCATTAAGATGGAATTTACTACAAGAGTCTCTAAAACTCATCTCACTAGTCAGTCAATCATTTTAAACTTTTAGCCTCTAACCACCTTTAGACAGCCTATAACTGTTTTAGTTGAGTTTAATTTTTCCTTTCTCCTTTTTTTTAATTTTATTATTTTTTATTTTTTTATTTGACTGTTTTATTGCAACTGTTTTACTTGATGTTCATTCTTCTACTGTTCTGTTTTAGTAAATAATTTTATTTCTAAGATTTTTAGTTTTCTTATTGCTTATTATCTTAGTTGGGTCTTTTACTTACTTTTAATGTGTTTTTGTTATATATTTTATTGTTATTTTTGCCTGTTTCTTATTTGAGCTGGTATTTTTATTTCTTTATAAATCTTATATAAGTCTTGCTGATGTTAATTTGTTTTAGTTGCTAAGTTTCATTTTAACCTTTGCAGTCCCTGTTTAACTTGCTCGGCTACATTGTACACGAGGGTTACCCTCAATGTACTTCCGAGTCCAAATAAAGATTGATTGATTGATTGAATAGGGCAAGACAGCAGTGCCTGGCATGAGGCTGGGCCAATTTGTTAGACAATAAATAGTTGCACCGCCCTCCCTATTTGCAAAACCACACAGCGCTACTGGTTTTCTCCATGCACAGTTTACAAGTAAATGTGCTCTAGATGTGGTATAGAAAGAATGTGACAGCGCTGTTTGTGTGTTCTCTTTCCAGATGTCTGAGAGTCAGTTCATTCTGTCATTTGTGCATCGTGTACTGGATGTAAAAGGAGCCACCACATATTTTGCATTCTGCTATCCATTCTCATACACTGATTGCCAGGACATGCTTCTGCAACTGGATCAGAGACTGCTCAGCAGCTCTCATGCACTGGGACCATGCAGGTGCCAACACGCACACACATACACGCTTAGTGTATACAGATGTGAAACTTATTTTTTATTCTCATTGTGCTGATCTTTTTTTTGTACAGGTAAAAGACAGGATTTGGTAGTAACTAGTAGTTTCAAACTGTAAAACTTTTACTTCCTTCTTAAGTTATAAAAAAAGAAATATTGAGTTACATTCTAGTCATTAACATTTAGTTACTAATTCCTTTTTTTTCTATCTTTTTTGAGATAGACAGACAGACAGAACTTTATTGATCCCGAAGGGAAATTGCAGTGTTTCAGTAGCAAGACGTATAATTGCACATAAAGTTACATATACTATGCAGAAAATAAAACATAGAAATAAAAATAGACGTAAGTTAGGCAGAAATAAAAAATAGACAACAAATAGACATAAGTTTAAGAGAGCAGAAATGAAAGTATATCTATTTGCATATTTACATAGCATATAAGCCAGATTTCTGATATTTACATAATAGCAGGCACTAAGTGGTATGAGGTAGTCTAAAAGTACAGTGAGTATAGACATAACTAGGAGTTACAGCAATATTACACTTTATAGTGTGCAGTGAGAGTGTGAGAGTTTAGCTCCTGGACTTCTTTAGTGTTGCTCACACCTCTCACTTTAGAGCATTATCATTTTGAATGTACTAGATGTTTCACTACAGTTCCAATACTTAAGTTGTTTATTGACTTAGTACTTTTGTACTTCTACCCAAGCTGATTTTCTCTGTCTCTAGTCCTGCTGAAAGTCTGTATTACCACCGTGAGCTGCTATGTTACTCGCTGGATGGACACAGAGTGGACCTGCTGACTGTGACATCCTGCCATGGAATGCTGGAGGAAAGGGAGCCCCGACTGGACAAACTCTTCCCTGATCACAGCACACCACGTCCACACCGCTTTGCTGGCAAACGGGTATTACTTCACATGCATTCACTCAGAAAACTGCTGGATAAAATAACCAAACTTGGCCATAATAACTTAATTCACTTTATCAAGATGTAGTAGCTCTTAATGCTTGAAGATAAAATATAATGCTTAAAGTTAAATGTAAAATGTAAAGTTTTTTTTTATTCTATGGCACTCCTAAACTGTGTTCTCATAAAACTTATTGTTATGACTGGAAGCAATTCAATTTTCTGAGTGCTGCGACAACAAATAGCATCTTTAGTTTGTTATATTAATTTAATCTATCTCTATGAGACTCTTTGTTTGGTGCTTACTGTGACAGTAAATTCAAGATTAACTGTCATTTACACATAGAAGCAATCAGAATTACAGCTGTAATCTGTAGCGTCCGTATTCCTGCATGACATGCATGCATGTGAAGGGAAGTCGGAATACGGCACAACAGCACCTCATGGCACACCACTCAGTATTTTACCATTACTACATTAAATTAGAAAGGCACAGTAGATCACATGCGGCTTGAAATTTAAACAGAAAGACAGCCAGGCTTCAGATAAACAGACAGATACTAATGGTCTGTTACCTTAACTAACGTTACTATACTAGCTTTTTTTAGCTTGAATCTTTCCTCTTGAAAACAGCCTGTCTGTGAAGAAGTAGTAAACTAATACCGAGTGTGAGAAGTGATGCTGAACACTATTTCATTCAATTTATAAGAGTAGAGTGTAAAATGAACTTGAACATAGCATTTATTGGCTCTACCTGTCAGTGCTTCAGGCATCAGAATACAACTGCTGTTGCAATTTTTGGTGGAACAGAAAGATTCAAACAAGAAGCTGGCAAATAAGAAGCTTCAGCTTTGAGGTTTTAATACTGGTAGTGATGTTTTTTTATTTTGAAAAGGAGATTTATTATAACATCTTACTGAGAGTTTTATGTACAAAGCTACCCACCTGAGTAGCTGCAGGTTTTGCTTGTGTGAACAGTGCTGTGGGAGTCATTTTATCTGCCCTGCCCAGCGCCACCTAAATGTTAACGGTGCTCTTTCGACCTACAATAAATGTGTCATCAAATATTTTTCAGTGTTTTCTATGATCCTGTGTGTCTGTACTTGCGTGTAGGTTTTTTTTCTCAGCAGCAGGGTGCACCCTGGTGAGACACCTTCCAGCTTTGTGTTCAACGGTTTCCTGAACTTCATTCTGAATCAGGACGACCCTCGTGCGCAGACACTGCGCAGGATATTTGTTTTTAAGCTGATTCCCATGCTCAACCCTGATGGGGTTTTCAGGGGTCACTATAGGTCAGTATGATACACCTGCATATGTAGATTTTAATGTCATGATGTTTGTTTTTGTTTTGTTGTTTTTTTGTATGATTTTATTGAACATATTGTATGCTCTTGTAATGTTACATTTGTGACTATCAAATGGTGTAGGAAAATACATAAAAGCCCTTTTTGAGCAAGCAAGTCATCTTGACGCCCACACAGTTCTTCTTTCTGTTGTTGGGTGAGGTTTAGGTTATTTTGTGACACAACCTAGTAATACAGTGCTTTCTTTGTTTACATGCTTGCTTGTACTAAAAGGACGGACTCTCGGGGTGTGAATCTGAACCGACAGTATATGAGCCCAAGTGCTGAGCTGCATCCCTCTATCTATGGAGCCAAATCTCTCCTCCTGTACCATCACCAACACAACTGCCTCAACCCCAGCATGCCCTCAGCTCTCAAAACCTCCAACCAGTCTAACACCCCCTTGCCACTGACTACACCTTGCAAATTGGAGTACTACCTCAACTGCCGCAACGAGGCAGAGCGACTGGAGGGTCCCACGCTCGATCTGTTGGAGATACCCATGCAACTGGAGGAAAGCTGGGAGAAGGGTGGAGTCGAGGAGGAGGTGGGGCCATGTGACGAAAATGAATCTGTACCAAGCCGAAGTGATGCCCCTTGTGTTTCTAATTCTGCCCCCACAGAGCAGATTGCACCCCAGGAGAGCGGAGTGGCATATTACGTCGATCTGCATGGCCATGCTTCCAAAAGAGGATGCTTTATGTATGGGAACAGCCTAGCTGATGAGAATCAGCAGGTAAGTTTGCATGTTTTACACTCACCATTCACTTATTAAGAATACCTACCTTGCATGTCGACTCAGCGTCCACTTGATGGGGTCCATGTACCTTACGGGTCTACTATATAGTGTACCTGCTAAAGTGCTACGTGAATTGTGGAGGGCTGCAGAATTAAGCTAGCTATAAGCCATTGTTAATGCTAGCTAACGCTACATTTTTGAGCAAAGCCCCCATGTGCTATTTTTATCAGTTGGTTAACATGATCCAGCTCAGTGTGTCACACACATTTCTGTAATATTCATTTTTTAAAATGGAAAGGAGGACATTAGAGACCTCCTACCTGAATTCGGTTTAAACAGGGTTCTGGCATAGTACAGTGGCTGTTACTCACTCAGCCACTGTAACAAGGTGGTTGTGTAATTTATGTACATGCAGTACAATTCAGTCTGCCAGTACAATTACAACTAAAATCATTTCATGAGTATATTTTTGGTAACAGAAAAAGTGGAACTCAGCCATAAATCCAAATCTGATGTTAATTATGCATGTTATAAAATAGCTTTCGTTGCTGGATAAATCTCTATCTACAGCATCCGCAGTCTATATGGTCGTCTAACATGGACAATAATTTCGACTTACTGATTAAAACATAAAAATGTGCTACATGTTTTATTAAAGATTCTTCGTGGGTCATGTATAAAGACAAAGTAATCATCACAAAATGATATATTTCTCTGTCTCACTCAGTCTTCTAAAGATCAGCCACCATATTTTCATGTATTACCTTTTGTGCTGGCCATTTTATTGACCCCGTCGTGACGGAATGATTGACAGGTTGAGAAGACCATGAAAATGAAAATGCGGCTGGGTCGAATGCATTTTCAAAGGCAGTTTGACACAGAATGAGCAGAGTAGGCGAGAATTGCAAAGAGGAGAGGCGCTGTTTTCCATTTACATTTGAATTTTGCCATCTTTCTTGCTTGGTGTTCCCTTTGATAATGCAAATTAAAGTCATTATTAGAGTGAAAAGGCATATAAGATAAACTACATATTAATTCCTATTTTGACACAGTTATTGCTTAATCACATTATGCATAAATATGCAGTTCTGGAAGTACATTTTAATTTAAGTAAAGCTACCCTTAAAGCATTTAAATCTTTGTCTAAATTAAATGTCAATATTAATATACCAAATGGCAAATTAAAATGGCAGTATTGAATTTGAATTTTCATTCTGAGCTTAACATCGGATATATAAGTGGGAAATTTAAATATAAATGTATAAATGGATTGCCATTTTACATATTACATTTTCGTTTCGAATTTTGATGTTGATTTGCTTCCATGTAAGAAATTGTATGCAATGGCTTTAAGTTATATGTGGCTAATTGCAGCAATGGAAATGAGACTTTTTGTTGAGGGGAAATCAGTAAAAGAAATAGTGAGAGAAAGACCTATCAATTGAATCAGTTCTCTTGTTTCTAAACAACACTGCCAGTGTATGTAGTGCAGTACAACTATTATTTTTTTTTTCATTTACATTTAAATATATTGTAAGTGCTACTTTTAGTCAAACAGGCTCTCTATGAATATGTCACTCCTTCTTTACCTCTGGCTGCTGGCAGAACATATGAGCTGCAGCTGAACAGTGATTCAGCTCTCCATTCACCGAAATACTAAACTGAGGTTGTCAGAATGGCCATAACTAGGATCATAATTTTAGTGAGGTCCATCTTGCAAATAGGGTATTGCTGCATGCTGTAACTCCAAATGGGCGGACCAAAGCTCCAAATGGGAGGGACATCCCTGAATGCTCCTCTGTTGGTTGATGAAAAGCCCGGTGGATTTTCTGTAATGCAGATTGGGTGTTCCTGCTGGCTGGTTGTAAAAGGATAATGTTGCTGATAAATTTATTTTTAGTATCGTTTGTGCAAATAAATACATGGACAGATTGCGGTATCTAAACTATAGAGTTAACTATAGTTATATAGTTAAATGGGCTAGATCCAGGTTTGATCCACAGCCTAATGCAATTCGTTCCCCTTAAGATTTCATGTTAAATGTCAAAAAAAGTCAAGTGGATATGCAATTGTGTGAATATTAAAATGATTTATTCTACCAGTGCTTTTGATCTTTTATATCAATCGAAACTAACAGTGGTCTGTGTAGATTTGCTTTGAAGTACAATTTAAAAATTTATAAATGGAGGTCTGAGCTGCATGTTTTTTGAGTCAATGTCAGCAATGCCGCTAATTGTTTCTGTTCTCATGTATTCAACAGAAACAAGCAGCCGTTTTCATATTATTTCATTTAGATTGTGATTGTGGTGTCAGGGCACGCCTAAGTTTAGTTTAGTTATGGCGACCTGTCCAGGGTGTATCCTGCCCTCCGCCCATTGACTGCTGGAATAGGCTCCAGCCCCCCCCTGCGACCCAGAAGGATAAGAGGCTTTCATTTAGATTTTTATCCCCATCCCCTTTGGTGCTCCATTCTGAACAATGGTTCTGAACCTAATAGCACAATGCGTGCATGGATGGCTTCTTCGAGGTGGTCTTACTTTTAGGGCGCGCATCACGAGTCCAGTACAGCGGGGCACTGTTTGCAGCCGTGCTTAGGTAACGTTCACTGCTTAGAGTGAGCTAGATTAAAGTGCTGACAATGTATTGTGGTTGTGGTGTTACCATGCCACATTGAAAGTAGTAAATATTTATAAAGAGAAAAAATGTTTGTTGGGCTGTTTTAGATTCATTCGTACAAGAACTTTTATGTTGAGAAGCCTGAATACAGGTGGAATGGTAGGTGATCCAGAGTAGAGCAGAGGGCTGTGTTTTTAACTGTTATTGCTGGAGAGGCTGTTTCTTCTCGCTGTTTTCAGCAAATTAAAATTAATTCGTGTTATGGACCATATCCCTGTTAGTGTAATGTCTAATAGAGTTAAACACAGTAGGACGTGGCCAAACCACAGCTGTCAAGTCAGCTGAGAGCCAGACACTACTGACTGTGTAGTCTCATTGTTGTTTTCACATTGAACCTCATAAACTCTTTCCAAAAGTAGTTACAAACAAAATAAGGCAGAGCGTGATTTGATTGGCCATAACACAGCGACAGCACTCACAGAAAACACATCAAATGTCACTCCCTTATTGAATAGACTTGTGAGGGCTACGCCCCTGAATAGGTTTCCGCATTATCAGAACAGCACTGTTTCCACATGAAATCTCACTAAAAACCCTCTGTTGGATCTCTGCATGCCGGGTGACAGATGGAAGCGGTGGCTCTTGTGCGGCAGAAAAAAGCCACTTCACCACCACTTTTATCAGCAACCATCACTTCACCACCACTGCTTCACCACTGCTCCATCACTTCACCGCCACTCCACCATCACTTTTATTAGAGACTGCCACTGCACCGCCATTGCTCCATCACTTCACCATCACTTTTATTAGCATCCGCCACTGCTGTCATTTTTATCAGCAACCTCCACTGCTCCGTCACTTTTATCAGCAAATGCCACTTCACCATCACTTTTATCAGTGACCGCCACTTCATCACCACTGCACCATCACTGCCCTGTCACTTCAGTGCCACTCCACTGTCACCTTCATTAGTGAGCGCCACTGCAACATCACAGCACCGCCACTGCTCCATCACTCCACCATCACTTTTATTAGCGTCCGCCACTTCACCACCACTGCTCTGTCACTTTTATCAGCGACTGCCACTTCAGAGTCACTTTTATCTGCGACCAGCACCTCGCCACCACTTCTCCGTCACTTCACCGCCACTTCACTGTCACTGCTACATAGGGGTGGGAATCTCTAGGCACCTCGTGATTCAATTCGATTACGATTCAGAGGACTGCGATGCGATTATAAAACGATTATCGATGCATCTCGATGCATCTTTTTTTCTGTATAGCATTTACATTTTCTCACTGTGTGAGCTCAAGTTTCGAGTTCAAGTTTATTTGTCATCTGCACAACATGTCAGGATATTTATGCATTGAAATGCTTGTGGTGAGGCTAATCACTCTACAGAAAGTAAATAAGTAAAAATAAAAATACAAGAAAAACCAACTGAAATATATTAAATATACACAAACTATACACAAAATATATACAGAATATAGAGACAATATACTTTTAAAGTGACTAAGTGACTCGGTGTTATTGTTATTTAAAGTGACTTGGTACTTTTAAAGCAAAGTATTTGTAATGATCCATAATGAATTTACTTCCAGTAAGTTTTTTAGTAAAACAAATGGAAGTGATGTGGCAAGTGAACTAGAAGACTCTCATTCAGTGCTCTTGTTTGGAGCACGAGAAGCTGCTGCTATTCATCTGCGATAAAATGCGCATTTACGGTGAAATAAGATCCAGTGGCAGTGGATGTCCATGCAGCACGTTACAGCTATTCTACCCATTTTCTTCAGTGATTTTATAACTTCGGTTTTGGTCTCATTGTAGAGACGGGGGGCATCGCTGTGTCACTAAAATATCCCTGAGACGGGACGTGTGCAACATAGTGCGAAAGCCCTGTTTCGCAACGGCTGAGAACTGGCGTGCAGACTGCAGGTCACATAGCAGCGATGCGTTATTCGCATTTATAAGCAGCACAGTTGGTTTCCTGGTACGTTAAATCTGCAACAAGAGACTGTCAAACACTAAAAAGTGGCGAAGCTGAAGTCAGCTTCTCTTTCGATTTCTCTCGTTCCACCTTAAATGGCGCCGCATTCACATTCGGCGCCTCAGGCAGAATTTAAGGTGGAATGGGTAAATTCGAACAAGAAGCTAGAGAATAAGAAGCGAATTCCGCCTCTTAAAACAGTCGTTGAGAGACATTTTACAAGAAACTGATCAACTTCTGAGAAAAAGTTTTCTGGCGGAGATGGGAGGAAAGCGGCTATAGCTGAAGCTTAAAGCAGAGCGAAGTAAATCTGCACTCTCGTTTATATTGTTTAATCTACATCCTGAGACATACTGGACATTAAATGTTGTGGCTCCCAAGGTGGTTTGATTTTTGTTGAAAGGACAACATGTTATCATTTGGGTTGTGACTCCTGATCTAACCTGGCTTTAACGCAGAGGGAGCCGGTCAGATTTCTCACTCATCCAGTTGTGTTTTTGTTGTGTGCCGCCACAGACTGTCCGGGTGCTGCACTTCCGCACTTCCAAGTTCCGCCTTTTGCGTTCTGTCAACATTACATTATAAATTAAATATTTAGAAAATCGTTTTTTGACATTCGTGAATCGATTCAGAATCGTACACGTCCGCATCGCGATGCATCTAAGAATCTATTTTTTTCCCACACCCCTACTGCTACATCACTTTTATTAGCAACCGCCACTGCTCTATCACTTCACCACTCCTCCACCGTCACTTTTATTAGTGACCATCACTGCTCAGTCACTTCATTGTTGCTTTTATTAGCGACTGCCTCTTTGCCATCACTTTTATCAGTGAACGGTAAGCTACTGCACTGCCACATTTATCATAGACTGGGACTGTTATTTAATGCCACTTCACCGGCAGTGTTATTAGAGGACAGCTCTGCACCTGACACTTTTATCGGCCACTTCACCTGGGGCAAATTTCGTGGTAGATACCACACCATCTGCCACAGCTAATGAGAAGCCACGCAAGCCTCTAAAGGGATTTGCCATGGGCTGTATGTTTGTGGCGCTTAGTGTTTTAAGATTTTTAGGAGATAAGGAATTATTGTAATCTGCTACGCTCCTCAAGCAAACATTGTAGGCTATAAATTTTTTACTCAGTAAAAAGGAAAAAAATGTCAGTAAATAGTAACCCGTTACAGATTCATTTATCTAGCCTAACTAAAATGTTGTGTAGTTGTGTTAGCCATGTAATTTTGTTTTTTTTTACAGAGAGTATTTAGCGATTTGGCGATTTAAATTTACTTCGTCCTGTGATAGTTGTTTGGTTGATGGGAGAAAACCTGAAATTTTTTCCATCATTTTATTAGACTCATCTACGAATTATCCAGCACTATACTATTTTTATTTTTTGAAGTTATTCTGATTTTTTTCAGGTGCATTTGTTCTGTCCTGTTCACGGAACTGCCACTTGAGAAGTTCGGTAGATTGGTGTGAGAGTACGAAAGTCAGAAGCCCCATTCTCATAAGGCTACTGCTTGAATTTCTACACTGAGAATGAAGGGAGAGATTTAAAGACATGAAAAAAATACATGTGATACATGTGAAAAGACATTGTAAAGAAATGTTGAATTTGTGTAATAGTTCTTAAATGGTAAATAATATATAAAATAGTAAATATTGAGTATAAACAACTGTATTTAGTAATTGACAAATGAATAAATCCAAAGCTATTAATAAAAATGAATAAGTAAAAAATTAGTAAAAAGTTATCATAGATAGAATAAATTCATTGAATAAATTAATTCAAAGACTTGATTCAGTTGTTCTTTATTTTATTGACACTAACAAACATCATTTATTGCAAGTGTTAAATACTTTGTAAGCATTATTCATTTCTTAATAATGTTGGAGTTAATGGTTTACTAACATGAACAAATGTAATTAATTTCACCTTTCTTTTTTTTTTGACATTGCCAAAACAAGCAAAGGAAGAAAGAAAGTAGGAAAGGACTTGGACTCGTAATGTATACGACAGGAACTGCAAGCATCTAGAAAATGAAATGTTCCTAACACAATTAAACATTTAATCTTTTCCACCGTGAAATTGAACTGCTTGCCTTGTTATTTCCATACATATTTTGTGTTTTCTCTTTATTATCTAAATGCAAAATAGCAATGGATTTGTAATAGGCTTACAAAAGATAATATTAATACAATGTTTAGTTAGCTTTGCCTGTCAATTTTAACAAATTTGTGTGGTCTAGTTCAGCATACCTTAAAAAAGAGTGCAAGTAGTGTTAAACAAAAGCAGGTTTTAGCTATTTGCAGTTGATCAAAGGGAATTTCATATTACGATGAGAGAGATGAGAGATGTGGCAGTGGAGGTCTTGTGGAAAAAAACAGAAACAATCAGTGCACTTGTATCTGCAAACAACCACATTATGAACAGATTGAAATCTCTGAAGTTGCTAATAACACTGCTGGTGTTCTGACAAATTTTGCTACCTTGTCAAAATGCCCTACCGTACCACATATATATAGGTAGAGCTCTACATAAAACTGTAGGTAGGATATTTAGATGGTCTAAATCACCTTGTCTGAAACTGTTAACAGCATTAAAGAATAATTAGGGTGTTTGATCACCTAAATCACCATCAGAATGTAAGGAGTATTATTAAGCTGAGTCTGTACTGAATTAACATTAAAACGCAATAAAACATACTAAAGGTATTTGCAAACTCTGTAGGACTGGGTAGGATGGGTAGGACAAATTGTTAGAACACCAGTGAAGTTACTGTCTCTAGTAAAAGCGACAGTGTCTAATAACACTGCCTGTGAGATGACGGTGGCTAAAAAAAAGTGGCGGTGCAGTGACTCTCGCTAATAAAAGCGTCAGTGAAGTGACAGTGAGGTTCTGACGAATTATGCTACCTTGTCAAAATGTCCTACCATAGTGCAAATTTATATGTAATTTCTTACTTAAAACAGGGTATGATGTTTCAGTAGCTTAAATCACTGTATACAAAAATGCTACCAACATTGCAACTACAAGTGTAGTAGTTTTATAGCCCAAACCCTTTTCTCAGAAAATGTTACCAACAGTAAAAGAATAATTAGGATATTTTGATAGCCTAAATTAGTCAATCAGAGAGTTATTGCAGTATTAAGATTAGTCCCCCATTTTAAAAAAATATATATATTCCAAATGTATTTATCGAATAGATTTTTGCAATATATGAAAATGGCCAAAAATGTATTTCTTAAGTATATATTTAAAATTCATTCCTTTGTATTTATTATTATATTTTTCAATTAAATGTAATTTAATGAAGGTTACAGTTATAACTAAATATACATAAACTGAATATATGGTACTGACAACAAATAAGCAAGATATCAAATCATCAGACTATATTTTCACAGTGTATTAAATACCTACAACACGTGCTTTTATGCATTAGACAAAATATTTTGACAATTTTCATACTTTTTTAAATATATGTGATAAATGCATTTACATACATGAATTTTTCTATAGTACATTTCTAAGTAATATTTCCGCATACATTTAAAATAAATGCATTTTAAAATATATTTATTATTAATATGGCAGTATATTCTGAAATACATTTTATTGTTAGGAATGTATTTTGGCATGGATTGCAATGTATTTCAAATGTATTTCAAATATATAAATTTAAGTTATATGTCCATATATTTTGTTTCCAAATGGGCTGTATGATAAACTTGAAGTAAGCCTGAATTAATGTGAAAAACACAAGTTACTATGCTGTAGTAATGATTTGCGCATTCTTGGACCACTGAATGGGTAGAACAAATTGGTAGAACATCAGTCGCTGATAAAAGTGACAATGAAACAGTGGTGGTGGAGTGAGGGTTGCTAATAAAAGTGACGGTGGAGTGGCGGTATAGTGACTGAGCGGTGGTAGTGCAGGGGCGGTGAAGTGGCAGTCGCTTATAAAAGTGACGGAGCAGTGGCGGTGCAGTGGCAACAAACACCTGATATGCAGATCCAGTTTCAGCACAAATTAATTTAGACATCAATTTTTTTCTATCCCCTTTTCCCTCAACTTTCCCTACTCTGTTTTTTCCTTCTTTTCATCTTCTTTTTATCATAGGTGGAAAACATGATGTATCCAAAGCTGATCTCTTTAAACTGTGCCCATTTTGACTTCCTCGGCTGTAATTTCTCAGAGAAGAACATGTATGCACGGGACAAGCGTGATGGTCAGTCTAAAGAGGGCAGTGGGCGCGTAGCCATTCACAAAGCCATCGGCCTTGTTCACAGGTATATACAGTAATCACTGTTTATATTTATGGTGATATTGCCGAGTCCCATACTATGTGTCCAAAAATAGTCAAATGCCCTTTCTAGTTTAAGCCTTTTTTTTGCACTGGGCAGTACAGTACAGTACAGTACAGTATTAGTACAGTTACAAATCAGAACCCAGAACTCTCTGTACTCTGGTCTGTTTCCCATCACGCTACAGAACCGTAAGAGCATGCAGAGTTCTTTTTAGCTTATGTAGGCACATGATTTTTCACAGTTGCAACAATGGAAAAGTTTCAATTCTCATTTCCCTGACTTACTCTGTGTTTTTGGTTTTACGTGAGAGTCACTGACAGCAATTGTGTTCTCTTTTGTTTTTTTTTTTGTGGACTCTGTAATGATTGCATTTAACTAATCAATGGTTTGCACCATTTTTAGCTCTACCCATATGTTCTGGATTAGTACAATTGGTACCCAAGCGAGGAGGGTAACCAAATTCAGCGAGTAGTAATCATACGGGTGAATTGGCAGTGGAAAGATGACAAAATGTGTGATCACAGATTTGTAAGCATAATATACCATACTGTACTGCCCAGGTGAAAAACATTCAGTGAATTAAGCTACTCATTGCTGACACAGGCAAGTTTCAGTTGCACTGGAAAATAAATTTGGTTAGCTTAAATAATTGCTATCAGGTGATTATGTAATAATTGTCGCAGCCCTACTAATGACAAAATTCTTTTTATACATCTATTCATGCACCAGTAGAGATATTTATGAGAAATAAGGCCACATTTAACATCCAGTGCAGGAAAAAAACAATGTGACCTCAGTATGATGTGAGAAATCTGCTTTTATGTGCAGTTATACATTGGAGTGTAATTATAACACCGGTCGCTCAGTCAACACCATCCCACCTGCATGCCACGACAATGGTCGAGCTACTCCGCCTCCTCCTCCTGCCTTCCCTCCGAAATACACGCCTGAGATATACGAACAGGTAACTTCTGTCCTTATTATGGTATCTGTCCTATATCTGGCCTCCCACCACTCAGAGTAACATGCTCCAGTGCACACTAGGTTATATATAATTTTCAGTAAAGCAGTCCAGCATAAGAGGTTGTGTCATAATGCGAGTGTGGTTACAATCAAAATACATTGTTAGGTCTGAGGCAGAGAGGGGATTTGACGGTTCAGTGGTACTTAACTGATTTTATTTGCTTAATTTAAAAATAGCTAATTAAACTGATTGGGTTAATTTATTACAGAAATTAAACTGAAACTGCACCACAGTGTTCAACTAATTTTTGTTTTCCTTGTAATCTCTAGATATAACATACCAAGACCAAACATCAGAGTTAACGTTTACGGTTTTCTCATTCAAAAAATCTAGAGGGTTATTGGCATACCTTTACTGGTAATTCCTTCAGCATACCTTTACTGCTCTATCTTTGCTTGACTTTGCATCATTGAAATGTTCAGCCCTTAAATTATACATTACCTTGATGCACTCACATTTGCCTTGAAAGATGTCATACCCTTGTTACAAATGGTCAACATCTCCTCCATTTCTGAATTGTGAGCATCTGTCTCACATTTTCGTAAGACATTTCTGATAGTTGAAGGTTTTAACAGCACAGACAAAACAGTTTTTGATCATAAGAAGAAAAGCAAAAAATTGTCAAGTTTTTTCAGTTTAGATTTTTAGATTTTAGATTTTGCCTTTTTTCTCCAAATATGTTGAACTCAGCAAATTAATAGAAATTTGTAGAAATTGCCATGTTTACAGTAGAGCGTGCTAATTGCTAAACTGCCAAACAGAAAAAAAATCTAGAAACCTTTAAAGTGGCTTATGGTCACATATTAGACCTTGTAATTTCCCTGGAATTGTCCTAGGTCTCGCGTAGAATCTTGTGTTTGTAAAATGTACATACACAAGATTATTCTTCAAGTGTTTCTTCTTGTTTGTTTATGTCTGTCTCAGGTGGGCCGTGCAGTTGCTATAGCAGCTCTGGACATGGCTGAGTGTAACCCTTGGCCACGCCTAGTCCTCTCTGAGCACAGCAACCTAGTAAACCTGCGTGCCTGCATGCTCAAACACGTGCGCAATAGCAAGGGCTTCAGCAACAATGTCCGCAGGAACACCAACAAGTCCTCCAGCCCCCCCAAGTCCTTGTAAGAGCTTTATTAACCTCGTTAAACCTCTTCCAGTCCAAAGACAATCATTATCATTTACACCATTTGAAAACACTTAATGCCTTTTTACTGTGTGAATATTTTGCAATGAGTGGTCCGATAGATATCACATTATAGCAAGGAACAAAATAAAATTACTTCTCCTATAAAGATATTGTTCCAAAAATATGAGGTTCTGTGACAAATTTCTTGGTGAACAGCATTAATGCAATCTAACTTAAAATACTACTGTGCACAGGATTCCTTATGCATTATTTAACCTAATGGTGACTTAATAAACTCTCTCTGTACACTTCAGAGGCCTAAGCAGCTCTGTTTCGGAGAACGCTCTGAGTCGGAGCCGCAGCAACAGCACTGGTAATGGCACTGTTGTCGGGAGCCAGCAGACATCTCCACAGCTGAAAAGTTCCCCCAGCTTCACGTTTGGCTGGAGTAACTCCGCTCCCAGCGCACACAGGCCTACCCACAAAGCTCTGGGACCAGTCAGAGGTGAGAGACCTCTATATCTACACATCTATTTAAAACAGAAACGGTGGTGCACTGAAAACTCTGTTGTGTTAGGCAAGCATTGCTACCACGGCAGCTGAGAAGGCCATTCTTGAATGGCATTCTTTCTGAAGAATTTTCAGAGCCTGATGAAATGAGTTTAAATATGTGTTTAATACTTCAAAATACGTCTTGCAACATCTTCAGCATTTGCGTACACCCAGCTGCAGCAGCTGCATTTGTAGAGGACTTCATTAGAATCTATTGTGTGCACTGCCTTTTTAATATGGCAGGGTTCATACACGTTGCTGCCTCTGACAAACCCATCAGATGAGAGAAAACCTGCCTCAAAACCCTGTGTTGCACACCATTACACACTGTTTTGCACCATTTCAACAAAACATTGTTCAACCTGGAAACCATAGCAACATTTTTGAGATTGAATGTGCCCCTGGTTTAAACATGGTAACTCAAGCATACGCCTGGCTGAAAAGGCTAAACTAAAAATTAACTGGCAAGTTTGTTTTTGAAATGGAATGACCTGCTTCATTTTAACTCATAGTCTTTCCCTCCATTACAGTACTGTTTTTAACATGCTTTCACCATTTCCCTTTGGCGAGTTTACAATGGCATCTTAAGGGCAATTTTATTACTGCATTAGGTTAAGTGAAGTCCTTGGTGGGCGCCCTTTGATTGGCAAGAGATCAGATGAACAGAAATATAGACTTCAGCTGCAGAAACCACTGCTCAAGCAATTCCCTTTATTACATGTAAAAAAACTGGGGACAAACCTGTATGTAAGCCTGAGCAATAAAATACTTAAAAATTTTGCACCAATAATATTCAATTCGCTTTGTTAAAAAAAGTTCATTTTTTACCAAAAGGAAAGACAGTATTTATTATTATATTTAGTATTAAGAAGCTTTCAACACCAAGTGCTGTTATCAAACAGTAATTTTGAGGAATCCTGTTACCAAACCTGCATAATCGATCAAAGCCTGATGACAGTGGAGGTGGATCAGCAGTATTAAATGATAAAAATCTTTAATATGGTTGACTATATTGTGAAAAACGAAGATCCCTTCATGTCCTTCCTGGTTTGGCTGTTTTAATGAAAAACATGGAGTGGACATCGGAGACTCCTAAAAGCAACAGCTTCAATGCAATTTTAATATCTATTTACCCTTGAGTTGTATAAGTAGCCTCAAGTTAGTCAGTTTTGCTTAATCAGTAAAGATTAATGCACAGTTACTTTATATTTGATGAACAAAAACATTGTGGCATGTGCAAAGGTTGTCAAAGTCAGCACGTAGAAACACCCTTTTGTGAAACTTTTTCACATGCCAGAATTGCTATTTTATTTATTTTTATTTTTTATATTTTACATAAAATAACGCTCGGGTGCATTAACAGTTGCAGAAAAATACTTTTTTTAAAAATGGGTTGCCACAGAAGTTGTGTTTGCTTTTTACTTCAAAATCAACAAAATGTCATTTGGCCAGGGTTCCCAAACTTTTGCATACAACTGTAGAGTTTACACAGCATAGGTCCTTATGCACTTTTGAGGTGTTAAAAACAGCATTCAAACAAAGTGTTTTTTTATGCTTATATGTCTCCTGTGTCACCAGCTGCATCTTGTCTGTATGTCCTCCTTTAGAGTGTAAAGCTCAGGACAAGAGACGGCCCCATCACCTCAACCACCGCCTCTCGCTTCGGTCTTCCGGCAACAGTCAGGCTACCCTGTCCCGCGCCCCCCTCTCCCCCTCCTCCTCTTCTTCCTCCTCTTCATCCTCATCTCCCTCATCCAGCTCGTTGGGGTGTGTCACTGCTGGCGCAGCAGCGGGCCCCTGCTCCATCAGCACAGCAGGTCTGTATTCCTTGCAGCCACCCAGCCTGGCCCAGCTGCTCCCTTCCCTGCAGGCCATGCCCCACAGCGGCCTACTCACCAGACTCAGCCCACTGCGCCCACCCACGTGCCAACCACTGCACGCCTATCTCAGAGACACTGCTACACAGAAAGGCCCACCACAGGCCACACAGCCACAGCAAGAGTGACTGAGTGTTCACTTAGTTTGTGATTCTTCAAGTGTGTGAGTGAGACAGAAAGAGAATGAGGGAGTTCTAATGCGGTGCTTACTTTTAAATGCTTTAATAATACATTATTATTATTATTATTATTATTATTATTATTATTATTTTAGTTTGAAATTTTTTGACTGAGGCAAAGACATACTCAGAAGCTTGCTGGCAATACACATCAAATATACACCCTTTTATTTTCAGATAGGTACTTGTGTCATGCAAGTAGCAGGCCATGGTTTAGCTGAATTGCACTTTGATTATATTTATATGAAATGGAGTATGCACTCAATGCCAGTGACTGAATGAACAAAACAGATCTGTAGCAGCTGTATGTGTGTGTGTTTGTGTGTGTGTATGTATACACTCTCTTTTCAGGAACTGTTGTATCCAAAGCAGTAGTTTTTTTTTTTTCTATAGTATGCCTATTTGCACTTTTGTCCTTTCTTTTGCTGTACGTTTTCCTCACTCTTATTTGCCACCACTACATTTTTAGCCCTCGTCACATAGGATTAAATGAGTAGGATCTTCTGTAATTACTTGTATTGATACTCATACTACATGGCACTAGTCTAATATCACAGTAAATTGAGTTTGAAAAAAACTCTAAAGCTACAGTGCCATGATGCTATATCTTTATTAATAGATTTTTGTGACATCCAACTGAAAAGCTACCTGTTTCTGGGAACAGTAGAGGACAAATTCACACAGGATTAAAATGTGAGTAATTTTCTGACAGTCCTTTTTGTTTATTACTGTGTTTTGTTTATTAGGATATGGGTAAAAGGTATTCACATTTGTGCATTCACACATGGATAAGACCTCATAATATAGGAATTTGCTCTGTTGGTAATGGCTTCAGAGAGTCCAGGTAATTGACCTATATGTGTTTTGACATACAAATGCTTTCTTTCATCTACTAGACAAGCTTTAAAAAGCAAAAATCTCATCTCAGAGATCGGATGGAGATAGGATTCAGATTTTTTTCTTTTGTTGTGTAATCGAGCTACCATTACCACTTTGGCAAATTCATTGTTGTCTTTCCAATCTGCATATTACAACACAGCCTATCTCAGAAGCATGGCATTTTAAACTAGAAACTAAGCGTTTTATAGTGACTCTGTAGGCATTATGTAGTGATTGCCTGTACCCTAGTCAAATAATTGTGTCTGTCATGAAATCACGGAAGTAGATGATACTTTCTGGAGGTTGTCACATAATTTGTCCACATGACTTCTCAAATAAATCTAGTGATTACAACCAACAAGAATAATAGTAGCAGTGGAGGATTTTCAAGTTCTTGTAATTCATTCACTCACCTGTTGCAGACAGAAAACTCCAGGTGCGCTTTTAGCACTTACGTAGTGTTTGTTTTTCATAAGAGTAGTGCTTAACATTAATGACACAGCGTGTTCTTGTTTAGAAATGCTGGTTGGCTGATTTAAGGGACAATTCTTTGATGGTGTTTGACCAATCAGTGATTAACACAATTTTAGCTCCACTCATAAATTCAGATTCAGCATACTTGGTACCCTGGCCAGAAGGGTAACCAAATTCAGCACAGGAACTCGTGTTCACTTAACAAAGAAGGTCACAATAAAATATGTCACAAATCTCTAATCTCATGTTACATGGTGTTGTAATATAATGTGAAACAAAGTGCACTACAGTTTCTCATAAGGCTGAATGAGAAGTCAACATTATGTAAAGTTTTTCCAACCTTTTCCAACAGCATTTGATAATCCTGTGTGAATATGCCTACATTTTTTTTTTATTTTGTTTAATCACTGAGGCCTCTCCCATCACTGTTTCAGGCATCTTTCCTGTCCGATATTGCTGTGCTTCTGAGCTTAGTTGTGTGTGCACTTAGTTGTGTGTGCACTTGTGTAAGTCCAGTCAGTTTCTTTTCATCAAAACAGCAGAATGGAACTATACTGAATAACCATAATAATAATCCATTTTAATTAAAGGGGAATTCCACAACATTTCTGCATAGTTTAGTGGTTGCGATGTAAACAAATTATTTAGAGTGCTTTGTGTAATGTATATGTTGATGGTAAAATAGTGGTGAGTCTGAGAAAATAATTTTTTGGGGTACTGCATGTACCCCTCCACCATTAATTGATTAAAAACGTTTAAGGTCAACAATTTATCTTAACTAACAGAAAACAATGGCTCATACATTAGGTGGTGTATTCAAAATTATTTAATGTATTCAACTTTCTGTGAGGGAGTTTTTAGAGGCAGACATCTGGTTCCCATCACCATGATTGTAAATAATTCTGACTCAGTAAGTTTCTATAGAATGGATCGCTTCACAATAAAACACACTGAATGACTTAGTTTTATTCTTTGTCAAGCTTTAACAAACCGTGATATTGGAAACTAAAGTAGCTAACTGAAATCTGTTCTTCTGAAATTACAGTGTAACTCTAAGAAATATGCTCAAAAGGTGGTTGCTTTGATGAAGCAATGAAGCAGACCATGATGTACTATGAGGCTGTATTTAATGGCTAGAAAGCTGTTTGGTTTCATGAACTGCAGTGTGAGCTTATGTTACTTTTACAGAAATTTGTTTACCTTAAATCAATGCTACTTTAAGCAGCTTTCTGGCCCACAAACCCACTGATCACAGGCCTGGTGAATTCAGCCTGCTTTGCCTGTGTTTCAGGGACTCCTGCCAACTAGTGTCTCAGTATTTACACTCTGATGGTAATGAGGTTCATCTATGGATGTAATTATTGTGGTTTCATTTGGTTTTGACAGTACACACTAAGCACGAGGACACTGGAGACTGCTTGATACAGTTTTGGTGGAATAGTCAGCTCAATAAAGAGATCATGTGGTCGTTTCCATCGATAGGCTGTGTTTGTGCTGTCGTTTTTTTATTATTTGTAAGTAATGCTTGACTAGACTTAATCATCTTAGAGTGTTGATGTACATTGTGGTGTCACCACATCATTGTAACTGTGTCTTATCTTTGTTTTTCTACTTTTTCTTCCTCTCCTCCAAGTTAAACTGTAATTCCATTGTAGACTGTAGGTTACCTGTGACAGGAAATCTAAAAATGAGTTGTGCCTAAATGTAGTTGCTGATGTTTGTGTCTCAAATTTCAAAAGTATTCCATGCCTAATCACTTGTAGCCACTGTCTCTCTACAATATCACTAAATGTGCTTCAGCTTTAGGGTAGACAGTGGACAACACATGTATACCATTATTACATAATTTATTATACTATGTATTATATGTCCTGGGGGGCTGTTAGAGGAGATGGCAGTCCAAACTTTTCACTTGTCTGATATTTTTTCTTAAATAAACATGACTTCTGGTTGAACAGAAAGGCATTTGACCCTTTTTCTACACTTTAACCCTTGACTCAGAACCCTCTATCAGAGAGCTCTGATCTGACAGTCTTCTCAGTGTGGTGCGTTTTTCCCTTTATCTCTAGCATTTTGTATATATGTCTGACTCTCCCAACATTTTTAGTAGTTCTTTCCAAGCCATCTTTTTTGGTTTTCCTTGCACTAAACTGGTAGTTTAAAATGTATCTCAGTTATATGTATGTTTATACAACAGTTAGTTCCGGCCATGCAAACTGATTGGTTGAGAAGCGTTCTAACCGTGCTGTTATTTCGCCATAACCAGAGCCTTCTAGAGAGAGAGTTGCGTCAACTCCGTTCACTCCAATGGACCATTTTTTTTTTACAGCTATGACGGATCATGGAGCCCCTCAATAGTTCCCGGAAGTTAGCAGCAAATACTAGCAGCGCGGCCGAGCTGCAGCAGAATATCCCGGTTGTGATTCACTTTAAAAGGGTAAAACAATTAAAGAATCAGTTTGTACATAATAAGCACATCTGAATCAAATTAACATGTATATTAGAGTATGTCAGTGGATTATCCCTGACTAAATTAGTAAATTTAAGAAACATTAACAGATAACAGATCAGGCTGGGGTACTGAATAAAGTTAGGAACCCATAATGTTAACCATAAACAACCTAGTAATTGTAAAATCCCTGCTCTTAATGTCATTTCATCCACCGTTGTTGAATCTTAGAAAAGGCTTATAAACGTGATTTTTCACGGGGTGGGTGGGAGTTAAATATTAGTTAAATATTACATTGGGGCAGAGCTTGTAGAGGGGAGGAGGTGGAGGAGATGAAATGAGAATATCGTTATCCATTTTGGAGTTCGAGCTAATTTAAGTTACACAATAAAAAGAAAGAGCTATTTTCATGATACATCACTACTGATACGGATTTAGAGTGCATATTGTAGGCTTTAAAGAGTAAACAAATATAAGACTTATGAATTGAGTGGTTGCAGGCTTTGTGATTCTGTTGACTGTTATCTGTACATTATGTTGCAGTTTAGTTGATTTTGGATTAATGGCAAGAACCACGGGAGGATTCAACTCAGCCTAGAGACTCCCTACAATAAGACAGCACCCCCACCCTGCACCCTGAGTCTCAACTCCCTGGGTTTTGCACTTCTTTACCTGTTACTTATTTTTAATAAATAAAACGTTAAGCTTCCCAGTGGTGTGGCTTTTGTTTGTGAAACGTATGCAATGTCACGTTGTTGTTGTAATCTTTAGTGATGGTCAGTAATTCAGTAATTGCTCCTGCTGACTTGAGCCAGCAGTTTTTTCTTCTCTCTGTGTCAGTGGAGAAACCAAACATTTTTACTCCTTTCTCCGAGCGACTGAAGCATCTCCATGCAGCAGAGCAAACCATGCTGGGGGCTATATGCAAGGACAACATGGAGAAAAGGGCACAGACAAACTGCCTGCCAGGCTATTCACGTTTGAGTTCGTTACAGCTTTATTTAATGAATCCATTGCAGTAAATATGTGCATAGTAAAAAGGCAAGATACATAAAATATGTTTATATGTGTACAAACAAATATAAATAGATGTGTTTATTATGTCCTGTCTGGATGTGATGTATTTTAATGTACGCTTTTTAATACAGATTTTTTCATATGCAAGCCAAACAAATTTCTTTGGCTCCTTCTCCTTCTGTCCTTTGGGAAAGTCATAGAGTTTACAGTGGTCATCAAGTCATTAAGATTATCTAGGCCTTGGGATAACTGAAACAACCATTAATTATATATATATATCATATGTTAATTATATTTATGTTGAAAATTAATCTGATCTCAATTTTGAAACATCCCTTCCACTCCCTCTCAGTATATCAATAAACATTAGGATATGACTGATCTTAACTACCATACAAGTTTAAGAACATAATATCTATAATACTGAAAAGTCGAAGCAATGAAACAACGAAAACACACTTTGAAACCATGTTCACATTAACCTAACATGTCAATAAGGCAGGTAACGACAGCTGTTTAATCCTCAAATAGCAGCGAATTTGACTTTGAAATATATCATATTGTTGTAACTACACATACACGCGTTGGTTTTCTATAGAAATATTGTAAATCAGCGCATTTATTGACTTTAAAGTACCGAAAGACGCAGTTCTGTCGCTGAGTGTTTATGGGTTTAAATTGCCCGCAAAGAACTTCCTGGAACTATCTGAAGTCTACGTGAATCACGTGACCATCAAGCATTTTGAACTTCCGTTGACGCTACTCTCTCTCTATACGGCTCTGGCCATAACATCACAGGTTTTTACAAACACTATCACTCCGCTGAGACGCCGTTGCTAAGCAGCGACTTTGACAGCCGTAGGAGACTCTCAAGCCATTTGAACGTTTTTACTTCTTACTTTGCTCACAAATAGAAAATGGATACTTTTAAGATCACATTTGACCGACAGCCGATTTGGTTAGACTCTGAAGATGAGACTACACTAAATTCCGAAACTGTCAGTTGGTTTGTGTGGAGCTGGAGAACGAACTGCTGGCTGTGCAGCGAGTGAGCGGAGTTCGTTACTCTGACGTAGCAACAAGCTGCTTGTTAAGGAACTGTAATTTGGCGGAAGGAACTGCTAACATTAAAACATATTAAACGCCGCGTTCTCAGTTTATTTATTTCTTACTTTATTTATTTAACTGTTGTGTAAAAGCAATAGAACACTCGAGGAGTGTGTTATCGCGAATAACATCACGGCTGTGATTTGGTCGGAGGCAGGAGCCGAAGGCGAGTGCTGATGTTATTTCGCGATAACACACTCCCTCTTGTGTTCTATTGCTTAAATATAAGTTCTAAAAAAAAAGGTTTGCTGATTTTTACATCAGCACCGTTCATAGTGATCCAGTACAAAATAAGCCAGCTGTTACGTTATTTAGTAGAATAGTTTGTTATGAATGTAGGATTTTTGTTTAGCTTATGTCAGACTGTTTAACCAAATTTTGAGCATGAATAGTAGCACACGGTCAATGAAATGTGCAAACATCAGAACAAATATTAGTGATTTACTTTTATCCATATGTTTTTATCCTCTTCATATACTATATTCAGGCTCTTCACCATAGATGAAGACACATTAGAGACATAATAGAGTTATTCTCAGCACACGACAAACACAGTGATTCAACATGTACATAGTTTTTATATTTACAATAAATGATTCCTGAATGAATAATTAAAAGTAAATCTGATTTTTAGTAACATTTAGCAACACAGTAAGATTTGAAAATAAATGTGTAAATAATGTTTATTCCCCAACTTTGTATTTGAGAATCTGTATGTTGTTGTCTGGATAAGTCTTTTGAATCTAATTATTAAATATTTTACAACATATAGTACTAGTAATTTTAAGGCATTACTGCAATACATTGACATTGACAATACATTGAGTTTTTTTTTATTTGCTTTGTTGGTTCGCTTGCTTAGAGTTTACAAGGAAAACATTATAATTAAAAGGCACAGTGGGTATCACTATCACCTACATTTACAGCATTTGGTCGACGCTCTTATCTAGAGTGATTTATGATTTGATCATTTTACACAGGCAGGTAAGGGAATGTTAGGAGTCTTGCCCAAGGACTCTTACTGGCATAGTGTAGGTTGCTTGCCCAGGCAGGAGTTTGATCCCCAGTCTACAGTGTAGAAAGCAGGGGTGTTACCCAGTACACCATACCAACCACACCTCACAGCAAGAAGGACCTGAGTTTGCTACTTTTCTGTGTGGAGTACACCCATGTTCTCTTTGTAGTAATAACTTTACAGCTTTTAGAGGTGTTGAACTCTTTGGACATCTGGTTCGTATCTCCACCAGTGTAAGTTAGAGTGGAGCATTTCACATCAAAACGCTATGAATCACTTTGTTTACATCTTGAATGTGTTAACATTTAGCAAAATTGGTGGAATTGCCCTTTAATGTGTTTGTGCAATTTTTTACCCTCCCACACCTACGAACTTCTCTTGTCTGTCTTGTATAGGTGAGGAGCCTTGCTCAAGGTCACTTCAGTCACGTACCCTGAGCCAACAGTACATGACTGAAGTGCTCTTGAGCAAGGCACCTAACCCCCAACGGCGCTGCAGATAGGGCCGCCCACCGCTCCGAGCAAGTGTGCTCACTGCCCCCTAGTGTGTGTTCGCTAGTGTGTGGGTTTCACTGTACAGACAGGTTAGATTGCAGAGGTGAATTTCCCTGTTGTGGTACTAATAAGGGTCACTTAATCTTAATCTTAATCTATATGTCTGACATGATCAGTAGTCCACTAGATCTTTAATGGTTTAAAGTTTCTTTTTTAAGTGACTCCTGGTCATCCCTTTCCAGACAACTCCACTTTCTTATCTGTTGAGTACAGCAGGTAATATTGTAGTTATGCATTATTCAGTTATGCGTTAAACTATATTCATTAGCTTCTTTGTTAGAACCTCATTTGTAGCTCCACCTTGCTGGTACAAAAGTTGGAGACCTTATCTGTTAGTGCACAGTTTGTGTTAGGTGTCCTCTAGACCTTCATTGGTGGTTGTTTTCTGAGCCACAATTGGCTGGATAATGAGGTAGCAGTAACACTGAGCAGTAACCTCCAGCAACACCATGTCTGATACCCTCGCACCAGCACCACTACCATGCTACTACTGCATTAGGCTCTCTAATAATATCTGACCAATGATGAAGCAACTAGGAGGCAACAGATAGACTACAGTCTGAAATTGTACACCTTTGTCGTGGCCTTCTAAGATGAAACTCCAAGTGACTGATGAGTGTAAGTATAAGATGGATGTTTGTAATAAATGGTTGGTGAGTGTATTTTGAGAGCAGTAAGCATGTATGTAGGAATTTTGCTTTTGCTTATGTGATATTATGTGAAAACCTATATCACCCAGATGAAAAAATAATTGCACCCCTAAACCTAATTACTGGTTGTGCCACCCATTGCAGTAACAACTGCGGTCAAACATTTGCAATAACTTGCGATAAGTCTTTTACATCACTGTGAACCACTCTTTTTGCAGAATTGTTTTAATTCGGCTACATTGGAGGGTTTTTGAGCACGCTGCCTATTTAAAGTCTTGCCTCAACATCTAAATGAGATTCAAGTCAGGACTTGATTTTGAGCCATTCAGAGGTGAACTTGCTTGTGTGCTTCATATCATTGTTCATATCAACTGCGCTTAAGCTGTAGGTCATGAACTGACAGGCAGACATTCTCCTTCAGGATTATCAGAGAGCAGAATTCATGGTTTCATCAATTATGACAAGTCATCCAGGTCCTGCAGAAGCAAAGCAGCCCCAGACCATCACACTACCACCATGTTTGACTGTTTAAATGTTGTTCTTATGGTGGAATGTGTTGTTAGCTTAATGGCAGATGTAATGGGATCCATGTCTTCCAAAAAGTTCCACCTTTGATTTATCAGTCCACAGAATATTATCTCAAAAGTCTTGTTGGTCACCTAAATGTTTTTTGGCAAATGCGAGACAAGCATTTCTGTTCTTTCTGGTCAGCAGTGGTTAGTATATCGCAACTCTCCCATGCCATTTTGCTCAGTGTCTCTCCTAACAACCCTTATTGGGTTGTTTTGTGCCCTACTTGATGAGTCATCAATATGCTTTTGGTGAAATTTTGATAGGCCGGTCACTCCTGGGAAGGTTCACCATTGTTCCAAATTTTCTCCATTTGTGGATAATGGCACTCACTGTGGTTTGCTGGAGTCTCAGAGCTTTAGCAATGGCTTTGTAACCCTTTTCAGACTTGCAGATTTTAATGACTTTATTTTGCATCTGTATTTGAATCTCTTTAGAACATGGCATCATGTGCTGTTTTTTGAAACTTTCTAGCTGGCTTCACATTGCCAGGCAGATTCTGTTTAATTGATGATTAGATTCAACACGTCTGTCTGGCAACAATCATGCCTTGTAAAATGAAACACAATAGTCAATTGAATTTTTTGATCTATTTTACATGTTCAACTTTTGACCTCCCTTTTTCTGCATTTAAGGTAAAAGAAATTATGTTAGGGGGTGCATATTTGTACTGTTTTAGGGAGTACCATGCTACAACCCCAATTCCAAAAGAGTTGGTACACTGTGTAAAATGTAAATAAATGTAAATAAAAACAGAATGCAATGATCATATTTTATTCAGAATAGAACATAGAACACATGTCAGATGTTAAAAGTAAGACATTTTACCATTTCATTGAAAACATGAACTCATGTAGAACTTTATGGCAGCAATGCATGTCGAAAATGTTGGGAAAGGGCCAACAAAAGGCTGGAAACGTAAGTGGTACTAATAAAAAACAGCTGGAGGAGCAATTTGCAACTAGCTCACATGACTTGGTATAAAAAAGTGCGAGCTGAGTTTCTCAACGTAAAATTGCGAAGACTTTGGATATCTCACCAACTACAGTACATAACATCAGAGAATCTGAAGAAATTCCTGTATGCAACGGTCTGCCTGCAGTCCAGACCTCTCACCAATAGAAAACATTTGGCGCATCATGAAACGAAAAATCCAGCAAAGAAGACCCAGGACTGTTGAGCAGCTAGAATCTTACAACAGACAAGAATGGGACAACATTCCTTTCCCAGAACTCCAGTAATTGGTCTCTTCACTTTCCAGATGTTTACAGACTGTTGTTAAAATAAGAGGGGATGCTACACGATGGTAGACACGGCCCTGTTCCAACTTTTTTGAGGTACATTGCTGCTGTCAAGTTCTAAATGAGTTATTGTTCTTCATGAAATTGTAAAATGTCTTACTTTCAACGTGTTCTGTGTTCTATTGTGAATAAAATATGGTCTATGAGATTTGCAAATCATTGCATTCTGTTTTTACATTTATTATTTATTACACCCCCATGACCCAGAAGGATCAGCAGCTTAGAGAAAGTGTTTTTGTGTGTACATTTTACACAGCATCCCAACTTTTTTGGAACTGTGGTAGTATGTTTGCATGAAACTAAAGAATCTCAGCTTCCTGCAGTTTTAACAGAGCAGTAAATAGCAAAAAGCTCTAGTCAAACAATTGCCTTGTGCCCCAAAACTGCCTTTGGAACTATCTTGCTCCTTATTTCTAATGTACCATAGTTTCTTTGCATAGGCATATCTTCCTGCAATATTTCATTCATCTAGACCTACACTTTTCACATTCAGTTAATGTAAATGTTGACACATACCATGTGTGGGTGGGAAATTAGCTTTTTTTTGGAAACAGTACCACTTACTTAAAATCTGCAATTTTGCAGATGCCACTTCTGCCACATTCTGTTGTGTGTGCATGTACTAAAAGGTGGGTTTGATGTGAGTTGCTGGATATTTAACTACAGTATTAGTTACTTCACCCAAAAAAGTTAATAATGATATCAAGCTAGGCCCTAATAGCTTTCATTCATTATTAGCAACATTTATGCTCATGGTGAATTATCCCATTAATGTAACGTTCAAATATAGTGTATGTGCAGAGGTGTGTAGAGTAGCTTAAACCTATATTGTTACCTGTATTGTTACTTTTGTGAAATAATGACTCTGGTAAAGATAACTTTCCAAAAACAACTTGCATAGAAGTACAAAAGTAGCAGGTCAAAAATTCCTTAAGTACAAAGTCCCGGTGGAAATTCTTAATACAACCAGCACCTAAGAAAAAGAAGTGTGTTAGGCACTGTCTCTGTCTCTTTTTGGATTATGTTGGTCTAAGATACAATGCTGAAGCTCCAAAGTCAGAGGTCTGACCAATCACCAAGCAGTCCAGAAGCTCTCCCCAATGTATCAGAAATTAAAAACAGCAACAGGCATTAGTAAATATTAATAACGAAAATTTAACTGTGGAAAAGGTAGATTATTTGCCTCACAAATATACTTGAGTACAAGTAAAATTATTATTATTTGAAAATGGGAAAGTACACACACATTTTCTAAGCCACTTATCCTTCTGTATGTAACCAAGTGTTTAACTCACTTCTGCGTATATGTGTAATTGTTAGCCTTTGATAGTGTTTAATTTATTTTATATAGGTCTTGATTTTTAAAAATTAACACATTTCACAAATATCCAGTGAACACTATGTGTGGTGCTTCAGTTCCACCAGAAGGATCTGTATTGCTTTTTCCTTTTGATGTTGGTATGTCAGACTCCAAGCAAAATTATCTGGGCAAACGTTTAGAGGATAAAACTGAAAAGCATCAAGCTCATCAAAAGTTGGGTTAAGTGAGGCAGCAAATACAAACAATGACTGTGGTTTCTAAAAATTTAGGCAAACTTTTCCTCATTCTGTACTCTGACATCAGACATGGCTAATTACAACAGCAGACATGGCTAGTTATGTTAATGGTTCCACACATCTTAATCAGTCATGGCCAGTACCTGACGCTCAGAATCGATTAGACAGGTTTTTTTTTTATATGCATTTTTGTGTGATTCAAATTCCCACCTCGTCCAAGATCTTTTCAGACATTTGTGTCTGAAGCTGTTTACATATCTAAATGACTAAATCCTTTTTCCCTTGTTTAACATGCATTGTTGTATCAAAGCCTTTAAAATGCACCTGCTGTCCTAATTACCTATGGATGGATTGTACAGAAACACAACCATCAGTTGTTTTTTCAATAACTGTTAGTATGTATTAACAACACAAGACCATACATTTATAAATTTATTAACATTGTCTTACAAAACATTCATTTACAGACTGCATCATCTTCTTTCTCCTTGTCAGTGGTCCCTGTGACCGCCAATCACAACCTGAACCTACAGGGGAAAACAATTATAAACATTATGTCTTTTCGATGCAGGCATATAATCTAAATAATAAATTCATAAGCCTGGACTTTATGACACGAACACAAAATTGACTGCAGCTCTCTGCAGACATGACTGAGGAGTTTGCCTCGAATACTTTACCTTAAGAGTCGCATCCATGGGGGGGGCGAATCACTCAAGTTTCTTTGGATTGTTCACAGCCACGTAGTGGTACAACACCACCAGCAGGAAGAGGGAGACTCCAAGCACGTTGGCGAAAATGGCCAGCTGTACGTCGGTCACCATACTGTTTAAAGAAAACATAAAATGGCCATGAAATACTGGTAGAAATGTGAAACTGATTCAACACAGCAAAGGAAGTAAGGAGGATAACTTTCTTTGTGATAGACAGCTCAATGGATTCACCACTGATGTAAATGTTAGCTCACATCTTTCTGGTTTTGAGCCGTGCAATTGAGTACAAACAATGCTTAAGTCTATCGACATAAAAATGATCTAACCACAGCTGCATGGAGTGAACCAGAAAGACAGAGACTACAATAGTAAGAACTCATACATCCCAACTCCTATACGAGAAGAACATATGGAAAGCGAAATTTCATCCACTGTGGAGTTCTTTAATTAGCACAGCTACCACTTAGCTTACCCAATTAACCAGTGAAAATGTCAATACTTCAGTATACACGGTAAAGCAGCTATGGCTTATTTCGAGAAATACCGCCATTTAGTTCCATATTTCAAAGATGGGCAGAGGCTAAATTAGACAGCTAAATTAGCCTAGCTATCCCATGGAGCTACGTCAACGCCTTCAAAGAAAAGTTCAAAACATCCGAAGAGACAAAATAATCACAAGGATAGAAACTAACTACAATAATCACGAACATTCACAAACACTTACATTGAATGTTGACGCCGATTTTAATCTTTAGACAGGCTTGCAGAGCAAACACCACCAGTCCTCAGTTTAGCTTAAGCCAGCTAACAGCCACTGAGACACGTCATCATGCAGCTCAATCATGCAGCATTCAAGACACTTCAGATTTACTGTTTGCAAGTCTTCGGCTTGCACCACACTGAGATTATTCGGTTCATATAACGCTTTACTAAAACGGGTTTGTACGTCATGACAAACTGAAAATTGTATAAACTTGTTACACATGACGAAATAGGAGAAAATATTGTCTTAAATAACACTTTAAAATGCACGATCAATTTACATTACATGCATGGACTTTATTTTTTGTGAACAAAAAACACGGCAGTGGAATAGAGTAACTTATATCACAAATACAGCACCAGTGATGGAAATAAGACGTTGAGGGGAGGCTGAAACTGGATACAAAACAGTCAGATGCAAAACCCTGCGCTCCCCGACACTAGGGGCACATGAGGTGAATATTTGCATTAGGAATGAGCCGCCGAAAAAAAAATGCAGCGCCGAATTCAAACAGTTCGTTGGGAAACGTTAAACCAGTTTAGCTATTGTTAGCAAGTTGAGTTCGCGTGAGCTTATTCTTTAATTGTAATGTAGTGGGGCGTGTGTGAAGCATTCTGCAGATGGTGTTATAAACGTAACCTAAACTACAATACAGCTAAACAGACATTGCTTCGTTCGTTATCTACAGTTAACTTAGTGCTTTTGTCAACACACCAGCAAAATATTGTTGGATATCTATCTAGGTAGGTGCGCTTTTGTAGTTAAACGGTTTACATGAAAAATGAGAAGCTGTAATACACTCTTGAAAATATAGTCTAAATTGGTAACGTTATGCTTGTCTGGCTTTACACTTGACTTCTACTAGCACAGTGCTGTCAAGCCCATAAGTTACTTACTTTACTTCTTAATAATGGTCTGTGTCTGGAACCATTTCTGTTGTAGCTATGAATGTCAGCTATCTGACTAACCTAGCTAGTTTCTAAGGTTCTAAATAACATTAAAGCACCCGTGTACCTCACAGAACGTCTGTCTGTTTGTTCCAGCACGTGATCTTAGATCTGCAGATACTGGCCTTCGGCAAATACCTTATAAAGAAAACATCGAAAGGCCTATTTCTGTTATAATGCTTCTAAATTGTGGAATCCCACCTTTTATTAGATAGTAAAGTTTGGTATACACGTTTAAGAAACATTTGAAAATATAACATCTCTTTCATTTAGCGTTTGATTCTACAAACAGTTCTTTGCACCTGTAAATTTTTTGTGAGTGCTGGAGCAGAACTGATTAGTTTAATATGCTTTTATGTAATACTTTCTTCCCTTTAATTTATCAGCTGTTTGTAAAGCACTTTGAGCTACCACTTGTATGAAAAGTGATCTATGAATAAAGTTCATGAAATTTAAACAAGTGATCATAAAATTTTAGCTGACGGTTTACTCAGTGCTGCTCTCAAAGCAAGTCAGAGCACTAAGTTAGAAACTTTTTTTCATAAGCCCCATGATATCTCAATGAATACATTCACTGCTTTCATTGATTTACATTTATTTGACTTAATTCAAAGCACTCAATTGACATTTTCTTTGTCACTGCATAGTGTTAGTGTAAAATTTGACTATAGAAAATGATTGCAGTCAGCTTAAATAATTACAATCGTCTAATATAATTGAGATTAGGCAATGATATAATAATTGTGACAGGTCTAGTTATTATTAATATTAGTTTTAAAAGACAGTTTACTGTTTTTGAGTAACCCAGTGATGAGCAGTGTATAACACTATTGATCTTTTGTGACACTGTGGATTGCTTTCTTTGCAGATTAGCCTGTCCTCAGATGGGTGAGCTAAAATGTTTGTAATTGCTTCTTTCTTAAAGGACAGTGAAACCCTCTGGAGGCAGAGTTTAATAGTGTACTGCTAAAAAATAAAATAAAATTAACACACTTTCCCCCCATAGGCCAAATAGGCAGTTTTTTCTGTGATTTCATAAAATGGAAGAGGCCAACCTGCAAGAAAACGGGGTTTCAAAATGCAGTTTAAAAGTCAAACATGATTTTATATCTTTCAGTGCTATTACAGCTTACAGTTATCATCATGTGAAGGTATCATTGAAGACAAACCAACCAGCACTTTTAAGCATAGTCTCGTAGACTAAATTACATTGTCTAAGACCAGGCTTGATGTATCCGGAAAACACTTAATACAGTGGTTTCCAGTCTTATCCCAAGAACTGACACCCGGGCCTGTATACGAAAAGATTCTCAGAGTAAGAGTGCTGATCTAGGATCTAGTCCTGTCATAGTAAATAAAATCCTAGTTAAGTGTGAATATAGGCCCTGGGTCAACAGTTTGAGTTGCTTGTTGATGATAGTGAATGTGTAATTGGGGTGTGTTAGCTGTTTTAAAAAAAAAAATGTAACAATGCTAAAGAATTTTGGACCATTCATCAGGAAATGTTCACACAATATACATGGCAGCTTGTGTTTCCAGATAGTGTAAAAATAAATTAATAACTGGAAAATGGTTTTGGTTAATGTTTCTGTGTTTATTTCTTTATTTTTATCAGACGGGGTTACCTGTTTGCTGGTCAGTCATGGGAGTGACTGAGCTGTGGTCAATTCTGACTCCAGTGCGAGAGTCTGTGCCATTGTACAGTCTAACAGGAAAAACTTTGGCTGTGGATCTGAGTCTTTGGATCTGCGAAGCCCAACATGTCCAAGCCATGTTGGGCAAAGTCACAAAACCTCATTTGCGGTAAGAAAGAGGAATTTATTCAGAGAGAGACATTGGCTGTCTCCAAATGCTATTCAAGTGTATAAAGAGATGCAACTTGTTGAATTTTTTTTTGCCATTTTTTTTGGATTAAACTAGCTTGATAGCAAATTCTTTTTTTTGAGTATTGTTAATATTTCTATTATTATATTAACATTATTATAATTAGTTCTAACTTAGTTCTAAATTGATGCAGTTGAATCTCCATCTTTGGATCCATACATGCATCCGATTGATCTGTAGGCCATTCAGTTGTTTAAAAGCCCATATCCTAGATTTTTCTTTTCCCCTGAGGTCCATTTATAACATTTGTGTGGTTTTATAGACCAAAAACATTCACTACTTTTTAGATGACCATTTTCCAACCTCTCTTTAGCCCTTAAAATTAAACAGGCTTTTCTGTTACTATGCCTTTTTAGAATGATACAATGACCTCTGTATTGTGCCTCATTTACATACTACATCACACTTTTATTTCCAAAAAAGTGAGAAGAGTAAATTTTTTTTTATGATACAGGCCCTTTAACAGTATTAATGTAACTTATAGGTGCAGTCTTGTTAACCATGTTTGTTTGCAATGGTTTTAGCTTAATTTGCATATTTTTTGCTGTTTTGCAGCAATTTGTTTTTCCGCACGTCTTCTCTTCTTCGAATGGGTGTGAAGCTTGTGTTTGTTATGGAGGGAGAAGCTCCCAAGATCAAAGCAGAAACTATGAGCAAGAGGACAGAGATGGTGTTCTATAGTCGCAAAACCAAGAGTTACCCTAAACCGGCTTTGGACAAAAACACAGGCAGGGGGCGCTTTAAGGCTGTCCTTAGAGAGGTAAACCTAAGAGTGTATTCTGTTTCAACCCCTAGTAGTTCTCTGTGTGTACAGTGTCAACTGTATAATTGGTAACCCTGTCATACACAGAGTCTAATTCATTAGATCCATCTTGTATCTACACGTTATTGGCAATTTTATTAGAAATGCCTACCATACTTGCATTTTGTACAGTTATTGACTATTGCCCATCTGTTACTGTGGACTTAATAAATCCTAAACACCACTCCTAGCTTTGGTGTAGTCACACCAGAACTACATACGCTACCACTGCCACTTTGGTTTCTGGTGGACCCGTCTTATTCATGCATAACAAAGTCACTGAGTATTTTATTAATATTCATGTTCTGGGTTGGAATTAAGTCTAAGATTAGTTTTCTTATCTAAAACATTTAAATTGCTAAATATTCAGTGATTTACTTTCTCTCTCTCTCTTTCTCTCTCTCTCTCTCTCTCTCTCTCTCTCTCTCTCTCTCCCTCTCTCTCTCTCTCTCTCTCTCTCTCTCTCTCTCTCTCAGTGTGCTGAGATGTTAGACTGTCTGGGTGTACCGTGGGTAGCTGCAGTGGGCGAAGCAGAGGCAATGTGTGCTTTCTTGGATGCACAGGGCTTGGTGGATGGCTGCATCACTAGTGATGGAGATGCATTCCTGTATGGAGCTCAAACTGTTTACAGGAACTTCAACATGAGCACAAAGGTAGTTGCGTAATATTCTATGCTTAATATTCTGATACATTTACAACTGTGATTCCTAGCTCTAGCTTTGGAGTGCCCCTGCTCAGTTAAGAGATACAGAGAGTGAAAGTCACAGTACTTATTCAGAGTATTTTCCAGTCACAAACACAAAAGTTCACTTACTTTTAATCACATAATGAGCAAGTACTTGGAAGAAACGGGGCTGTTCACCAGAGAACAAAGAATTATCATGCTGTATTTCTTTGAGCTTCTTTTACTGTACTTGTGAAAGAAGTCAAGTCAAAAATCAAAGTAGACCGTTTTGCACCTATGCTGAAAGATGCTAGATGTACTAAGACATTCCACTGCAGTCTATAGATTACTCAGTACTTGATCCTACTTGATACATTTTTACTAGGCATTTTTAGCTAGGCAATTTTGACTTCTAATCATTTTAATCTTAATTTTATTTAACAATATTGTACTTGATTGTGGTTTAGACTACTGTGCCCATTGCCTAATAACTATTTATTAGCTGTTCATCAGTACTATTCTCTGTGTTGAGTTGTCACAACCCTTTCCTCTCCATCTTCTTCTTCTACTCTATTCTCTGCTTTTAGCTCTTTAGCTAGTATGGTCTCTAAGTGGGTTATTATAAATAACTAAAACTATTACTACAACCCCAATTCCAAAAAAGTTGGGACACTGTGTAAAATGTAAATAATTGTAAATAAAAACTGAATGCAATGATTTGCAAATCTCATAGACACATATTTTATTCACAATAACACATATCAGATGTTGAAAGTGAGACTTTTTACCATTTCATGAAAAACATTAATTAATTTAGAACTTGATGGCAGCAACACATCTCAAAAAAGTTAGGACAGATTCAAGAAAAGTCTGGTAATATGTCAACATGATCCAGAAACGCCGCCATCTTCTCTGGGCCAAAGCTCATTTAAAACGGACTGAGGCAAAATGGAAAACTGTTCTGTGATCAGATGAATCAAAATTTGAAATTCTTTTTGGAAACCACGGACGCCGTGTCCTGCAGACTCAAGAGGAGAAGGACCATCCAGTTTGTTGTCAGCGCACAGTTCAAAAGCCTGCATCTCTGATGGTATAGGGTTGCATTAGTGCCTATGGCGTGGGCATCTTACACATCTAGAAAGGCACTATCAATGCTAAACAGTATATAGAGCTTTTAGAACAACATATCCAGACAATTTTTCTTTCAGGGAAGGCTTTGCATATTTCAGCAAAACAATGTTAAACCACATACTGCATCCAGCACAACAGCATGGCTTCGCAGAAGACAAGTCCGGGTGCTGAACTGTTCTGCCTGCTGTCCAGACCTTTCACCAATAGAAAACATTTGGTGCATCTTCAAACGAAAAATCCAGCAAAGAAGACCCAGGACTGTTGAGCAGCTAGAATCCTACATCAGACAAGAATGGGACAACATTCCTCTCCCAAAACTCCAGCAATTGGTCTCCTCACTTCCCAGACGTTTACAGATTGTTGTTAAAAGAAGAGGGGATGCTACACAATGGTAGACATAGCCCCATCCCAACTTTTTTGAGATGCGTTGCTGCCATCAAGTTCTAAATCAGTTAGAGTTTTTCATGAAATGGTAAAATGTCTTACTTTCAAAATCTTATATGTGTTCTATGTTCTACTGTGAATAAAATATGGGTCAATGAGATTTGCAAATCATTGCATTCTGTTTTTATTTACATTTATTTACATTTTACACAGCGTCCCAACTTTTTTGGAATTGGGGTTGTAAAATGAAAAATGAAAACCTGCACTGAAAAATGTGCTTGTTAACTGTAATAAAAATAAAAATGACACTTTTCAAAAACACAAAAACTAAAACTTTCCCATGAAAAACGAGCTAAAATGAAATAGAATTACTGAGAAAAAAACATTTCTCTTCAGTGTATGAATGAGCGTTTAGTACTGGAACTTTTCTGTGTTCGGCCGTCTTTAAGGAAAGCTGGAGCCGAGCCAAGCTAAGTCTAGTGCTGTGTTAATTTTATTCTAACCTTATTAAATACCTGCTATCTCAGTGTTCATCATAATACTAAACACTAAATCTGAAACTAGATAAAAACTAAACTTTTATACTTCAGTAAATAAAAACAGAAATAAAAACATTAATGTACTTTTAAAACTAACCAAAACTAAATTGGAATTAAAAAAACAAAATTAAAACACTAAATAAAATTAAAAAGTAATAAAAATTTCAAAACTACAGTAACTTTGGTTTGGCGCAAAAAAGCTGTCAGCCCGGGTTCTGCTTAGAACATTTACATTTACTTTTCAAAATGCATTTGATTAATTGTTGTCTGAATGAAAGCTCTGTCATAAATATTAAATCTTTGAAGCTTTTGACATATTTTTGATAATGACTTTTGGCAGTTTAAATACACTCTGTCAGTCACTTTAGCTCTCATAGATTGAACAAATTATTAGTTACCTATCTTGCATAATTGGACACAAACTCTTAGCTAACACTCAAGAACCATAGGCTCCTCTAAGCAGCTGGCTGAGGATCTGAAAATGCAGGATCTGAAATTGATGCCTACTGTGCAGGAGGAGGTTATAGAAAGATATCAGAGCATTTCCAGCTTGCAATTTCCACTGTCTGAAATGTCATTAAGAAATGGCAATGAAGGGAACTATGAAAAAAAAGTGGGTTATTTCAAAACAGGCAAGACAGCAGGAGGTAATTGAGGGTCTGCTGCAATTTTATTTTGATTATTTTGATTTTACCAGCTGTTAAGTGCGGGGGTGGATGTTTTGGGGTTATGTGGCAGTCAGTAGCCCAGGAAACATTGCACGTATAGGTGGAAGACTGTGACAAATTTTGGAAGAAAATGTGACAGCCAGTGAAAAACTTTGAGCTGAAAACAGGCTTCTACAACACTGATCCAAACTGTACATCAAAGGGGACTGTTCTTAAGGGCTGACTTAGTAGGATGTCCGAACATTTGCACATACCACAATTACTACGTTAGATTTTCCATTCTTTAAAGTAAAACAAATATAAAGTAACAATGCATTAACATTTGCAGAATTTTTTAATAATTATTTTACACTTATTATTTTTTAACAGTTTGCTGCAGATATTTGATGTACTACTTATCGCTTTAAAAATCAATAAAATATGCAGTGCATATACTACCTTATGAGTTTTGCATCCTGTAGTACATTGAATGTATTGATTGTCAAGATGTAACCCTCATTAGAGACTTGTATGTGGGGCCACCCTTCAGTTCCTTACTCCCATAACTACAGGACCTATATATTTGTTTTATAGTAGTTACAGAATAATATGTCCAAAGATTACAAAGTATAAAATAAATAATAATAAGCTTGCAGTTTAAGGGTAAAATTTGATATGTTATTCACTTCTCTATCCTAAAGACTCCAAGTCATGTGTCCATAGTTTTGTCCAGCTACAGAGTTCCTAGAGAAGGCTGGTTATTCCTTCAGACTAGCTTTGTATTTTAAATGGTGGATTTATCATCAGTTTCTCTTTTTTTGGTTTCTAATCCAAACATTCTCCACATCTTCCCAGGACCCTCAGATAGACTGCTATAAAATGTCTAGAGTGGAGAATGAGCTGCACCTGAAGCGTGAGACACTTGTGGGCTTGGCTGTGCTCCTTGGCTGCGATTACATTCCTAAGGTATGTCTTCAACTACATGTGTTTTTAACCTTGGATAGATATATGCTGAGTGATAACCACTTATAAGAGAAAAGTATGAAAGCCAAGTGCTTCTTTTCTGCTCTTCTAGGGCGTTGCAGGTGTTGGGAAAGAGCAAACTCTGAAGTTGATACAGAATCTGAATGGACAAACTCTTCTTCAAAAGTAGGTACACACAGGTATTCTTAAAAGGGTTTTTAAAGCAGTACTTCACTCAAACATGGTCAGGTTGCTGATCAATGGAATCTAGTGGGTTAGAAGACAGCTGCTGCACAAAGCAGGTGGTTGTGTTTAGATCATGCTCAACTGCAGGCTTGTTGTGGCAAAGCAGATGCACATGCACACCTAAAGCCACAGTTAAATGACTCGAGTTTTGCCTTGATGATAGCAGCGATTTACAATCAGTGAGTCAGTGCTCGCTCTAGTCTGCAGATTTTGGGACAATCAGAGTCGATGGCTGGGACAAAATTGTGTTTGAGGGGCACAGAGGCACAATTGCTTGCCCTCCAAGCCTGTTGGAGTATGTCAATTACATTTGATTTCATTTGGAAACTGGACTGGAAACTGGATGTAATTTGGACATAATCTAGATTTAATTTACATTGGAAAAAGTATTTTCCCTGTCAAAGTATTGTAAAATGTAATGGGCAGTACTCATTTTTTGAGTTACATGCATGCAAATAAACCACAGATAAACTGTATATTAACACTGCTTATATTACTGTAATTTCACATACTTACTGTAATTGAGAAAACATACTTTTACTTATTTAACAGGTTTTGTGTGGCACTTCTGCTGTCAGACTTGTTAGTTTTTTGTACAGTGTAGACTCTATATTAGTGGATTTCATAAATAACCAATGTAATTTTAAAGCGCAAAAGACCCCTGTTTTTCCATGTTTCTTGCTATCATTGTCTCCTAGAAACTGGACAGCATGTGTTTTTGTGCAAGTTTGGTGTTTTGTGTTCAGTTCAGCAAAAAGTTACATGGTGGATAGTGTGATCCCTGTTTGTTTAGTGTGTTTTTCACTTGCCATAAGAGTCTAAATATCAGTTGAAAAGTATAAGTTACCTAGTCTTTTCATAATGTGTTAGGAGTATGTTGTAAGTTATGTAATGTATCCGTGTAGGTGTGATTGTACTGTAAAGTTTTCTTATCTTGGAAGATTTAGGAGAATGATCATCTGTAGAGCTCAAAATTGCTCTCATTAATCATCATAAAGCTTGACCGATTTATATATATTTTTTTTTTTTAGTGAACAGAGGAAGTCCAATAAAATAATGACCCAGCAATTTTGACTTACATTGTCCTTTGTAAATGTAAAGGTTCATTGAGTGGAAGAGAGATGGCTCAGAGACTCTGGAGGTTGCTGTGAAGAAGGTCAGCCACTGTCTGGTGTGTCGTCACCCTGGTCAGTATATGAATGTTTTGGATTCATTTTTGGTTTATGGTATTTTCAGTATTATATGGAAAAGCATAACTGGCATTCTTATAGCAGCATGATCCTCACATTTTAATAAAATACAGGACTGCAAAAACTGATAAAATGATTTATTTAGATAGCTCCCATTTTATTAACAGGGTTAGGGTTAGGATTAGTACCTGGGTTAGGCTTAGGATTTTTGAGTTGGTTTTGGGTTGAGGTTAGGGTTAGGGTTTGATCTAGGTTTAGGGTTTGGGTAAATTAAAGTAAATATAATATATATTTAGCATAAACGTACGTTAAATGCAAGCTAAGCATCTATGACACATTTACAGAGGGTCCTCCAAAAAAAAAATGATGTAAAGTAATTTATCTCTGCAGTTAGCCTCAATGAAGTCCAGTATTTTCAGTTACCATCCAAAACCTGCTTCAGCTAAACAGGACCTTAATGAATTCATGAGGTGTGCCTCTGATTGCATTTAACAAATCCATGCAGTGGAATGCAACTGGAGTGCAGCAAGAAGTCAGGAATCAAACCTGCATTTTTTTAACTATTCTAACTGTATACACCGATCAGGCATAACATTACGACCATACGTCCTTGTTTCTACGCTCATTGTCCATTTGATCAGCTCCACTTACTATACAGTACTTTGTAGTTCTACAATTACAGACTGTAGTCCATCTGTTTCTCTGCATACTTTGTTAGCCCCCTTTTACCCTGTTCTTCAGTGGTCAGGACCCCCATGGACCCTCACAGAGCAGGTACTATTTGGGTGGTGGATCATTCTCAGCATTCTCAGTGACACTGACGTAGTGGTAGTGTGTTAGTGTGTGTTGTGCTGGTACGAGTGGATCAGACACAGCAGTGCTGCTGGAGTTTTTAAACACTGTGTCCACTCACTGTCCACTCTATTAGACACTCCTACCTTGTCAGTCCACCTTGTAGAGACAATAGCTCATCTGCTGCTGCACAGTTTGTGTTGGTCATTCTCTGGTCCTTCATCAGTGGTCACAGGACGCTGCCCACAGGACGCTGTTGGCTGGATATTTTTGGTTGGTGGACTATTCTCAGTCCAGCAGTGACACTGAGGTGTGTAAAAACTCCAGCAGCACTGCTGTGACTAATCCACTCAGACCAGTGCAACACACACTAACACACCACCGCCACGTCAGTGTTACTGCAGTGCCGAGAATGATCCACCACCCAAGTAGTACCTGCTCTGTGAGGGTCCATGGGGGTCCTGACCACTGAAGAACAGGGTAAAAGGGGGCTAACAAAGTATGCAGAGAAACAGATGGACTACAGTCTGTAATTGTAGAACTACAAAGTGCAACTATATAGTAAGTGGAGCTGATCAAATAGACAATGAGTGTACAAACAAGGAGGTGTCATAATGTTATGCCTGATCGGTGTACATATTAACAACTTATTAAACAAATAATTGCTACATTTTACTGTGTTTGTTTGTTGTATGTATTTGTTATTTTCTGATGTTTTATAATTTTTTACAGACAGAAACCAAGATCAATTGTTTTGAACTATTTCAAGGCTTTTTGCACAGTACTGTATTGACATCAGATGGTCGAACATACTTTAAAAACAAGATGTTTATTGTAACATGATTTTGTAGCCTGTTTCCTTATGCATTGTTTTTTTTCTCTTCTGCTTGCACTAGGTTCTGCTAAATCTCATGAGCGTAGTGGCTGTGTGTTCTGTGACAGTAAGCAGTTCTGCCACCCTCAAGACTATGACTCCCAGTGTCCATGTGATTGGCACTGCACTGAGCATGCTCGCCAGGTCTCCTCTATTGAAAGTAACATTAAAAAGTGAGTTAGCATTGCAGTGTACAAATATCTCATGTCTAAAAATCTAATGTAAAAAGCCAAGCAGTAAAAGTGAAGTCTTTAAAAGTAACCAAAACAATTACACTGTTATTAGTACTATTACACACTTGCTTAAGAATAAATATTATTAATTATGGTGTTTTCAGTCTTTAGAATTCTAACAGTTTCTGTTCACAGGAAAACGCTTGCATGTGACAAGTTCCCTTTCTCAGAGGTGAGTCTATCAGTATGATCCAGTGTAGTGTAGCCTAAAACTAATTTGATTTAGACCATGTGGTCCATATAACTTACTGTGAAATTCATCTTGACTCTCAGATCATCAGTGAATTTTTGGTTCCAAAGGACAAAGCTGTTCATAGTTTTAAGTGGAGGAAACCCAACCTTCTCCTCATGCAGGTACCAGACTCTATAACCTGGCCCACAAGTACATTTGATTTTGGTCTGCCAAAAGTTGCCTTAAATACTTCATCTCACCTCACCTCACTCAATTTTTATAGAACTTTTTTATTTAATATTTTAACAATTTTGTAAAGAAACATAGTCTAATGTAATAAACTAAAATTACAAAAGAAAATCAATAATCTTTAACACCACATAGTAGTCTCTTAACACAACACAGGTGAGACAGCACGTAGCTACTGGTTATGAACTAATGACAGAAATGGATAACAATCATAACAGGCAAGAAGAGCTGTAATGAAGAATACATTTTTAGAGAATTTAAAGACAAAACGTGTTTGCTTGCTTCATATGTATAGAAACCATTACAGAATTTAAACATTTGTCAACAATATGAAAGATACATGTTACAAATTTATCCACATCTGCTAATGCTGTGCCTTTTTTGCCTTTGGCCCTTGGCCCATCACAAATATTATACTCAGAGACAACATTATTAAGCAACACTGGAATGGAAAAAAAAACTATAGAGCCATAGCAAAGACCTTTAACATCTCTGTCACTACAATTGGTTCGATAATATGAAAATAGAAATTTCATGGAACACAACTAATCATTCCAGACAAGTAAGCCTTGCAAGATTTCACAACACAATCTCAGACTCATTTTATGGACGGTAAAAAAAGAAGCCAGCAGTCATTCGAAAAGAGCTGCAGGATGACCTGAAAGCAGCAGGAAGAGCAGTTACACAGAGAATAATAAGCAATAGACTGCACCACAATCATCTCCACTTCAACACCTCACACAAAAATCCTTTGCTTAAAAAAAAAAGAAGCACAGAGATGTGTGGCAAAAATTTGCACACGTGGATATAGACAAATCAGAACTCTTTTGAGACAATATACTCTGGTCAAACAAAACAAAAATAAAACAACAGATTATCTTTGGAGAAAGAAGGGTTGCGCACATGATCCCAAGAACAACATGCACACAGTGAAGTATGGAGGTGGAAGCACCATGACATAGGGCCGCTTCTCTGCAAATAACAGGGCTACTACATATAATCGAAGGACACATTAATAGAATGATGTACAGTGAGAGAGGAGAATTAAATCTCATCGGCCAAGAAACTGAATCCTCTGAGAACATGGACGTTTCAGTAGGACGATGACCCCAAACATGCAGCCAGAATGACTCAAGGTTTCTAAAAAACGTTTCTAAAAAAGAAGGTGAAGGTGTTTGCATGGTCTTCACACTTGATTCTTATTGACAATTCATGGTGGAGTCAGATTGGAACCATGCAACCTTTGGAAATTGAAGAGGGTTTGCCAAGAGGAATAGGCCAAAATTAAACCACAATGCTGCAAAAAGCTAACTAGTTCTTATTGAAGATGTTTTAAAACTGTGTTTCAAGACATCTTCTTGAAAAGTTTGTACACACAACTTTTATAATGAATAGCCTACATACTTTTTGTTCATATTTAAGTCAAAAGACTTTATTTGTAAACTAGAAGAAATATATGCACTGGAAATATATTAAATAAGAAAAACAAAAGTGTCTGAATGCAATATGTCTAAATATGATGGAGCTTCTACCCCAGTGTCTTGTATTTTTTTCTTTCATTTGTTATATCTGTTAGAAGTTTGCTCTGGACAAGATGGAGTGGCCTAAACACTACACCAGTGAGAAGGTCCTTGCATTGATGACTTACACTGAACTTATGAACAAAAGACAAGGAACAGAAATTTCAGAGCAGATACAGCCCATTCGGTCTGTCTCTACTATATGCTGTATATACATGCTGCAATATTTTTAAAAAGTTTAGTTGTTGTAAATGGCTAAATATTTCCTGAAATTAATTAATGTTATTGTATGGTCCCATATCACTATTACATATAGTCTCAGTAATTTGTATAACGTGTCCAAACAGAATATACAAGCGCCGCATAAGAAATGGCATCTCCTGCTTTGAAGTTCTGTGGAGGAAACCAGGTGAGATTACACATTTCCTTTGTCTGGAAAGTGGTTATTATCTGAGAAGCAGCTTTTCTAAATAATCGTTATGTCTGAGCTCTTGGAGGCGTTTAATATTTGACCGCTTAAGTCATTGATTGTTGACGTGTATCATTGAAAGTACAGTTGTAGACCTGATTTGCAAATTTTAAAATCCAATCTGTCCTTGTTTATTTGCAAACAGAGCTGTTGTTCTGTAGCAGTAGAAGTGTGATGAATGTCACTGCTGGTCTTGTTAGTGTCTTGTTGTGAAGAGAGATGTGAGGAAGGTGTGGGTGTTGTGATTTGCGGGTCACAGGTGACGAAACAAATGTATCACCCTGAAGTGCTAAACTTGCTTCCTCTACACGCTCTGAACTTTGAGAATCCCCTCCTCCATGCTTGGACAATAGCCCAGAAGTTGCTTAACAAAGATTTTTAATGAGATATGCTAAAAGATTATTGACAATGAATGTTTTGGTTCTTCCTTGCTGAAACAAAACACATAGCATTATATTATGTTAAATAAATTCTCCAGAATCTTTTATCTTTTTCTGCTGCATCTATAGAATATAATAAATTACAGTGAACAATGCTTTCTCTGTAATAAACAGAAAATCCGTTGATTTAAAACACACTAACTTGTTTCTAACGTTTCTACCTTAAAATGCTAAATAATTTAGTATAATTAAATATTAATGGTAATCTTTCTTAAGTTTCCTATTTTGAAATTTGATCATCACTTTTCAAATAAAAGGCATCTGGATTTAAATTTTATTTGAGCTTAAGGTTTTGTTCCTAGAGCTATTTGTCTGTTTAGAGCATTTTTTTTTTTTGTTGCTTTCTTTTGAGAAATCATGATTTATAATATTCTGTTGTATATTTTACACTGATATTTCAAACCCTTGTGTGGTTTTGCAGATCATTATGTATTTCCTGAAGACAGTTCTCAACAGGAGCCAGATGTTGTGAGGACAGTGGAAGAGGAGAACTTGTTCTCTATTGCATTCCCACACATCGTTCAGCTTTTCCACAAGGAAACAGCAGAGGCCAAAGACAACAAATCAAAGAGTATGTACTTTTTTTGGTCCTTCATTCACACATTCATCAGTTCGCATTCAGCATTTTTATTTTAATGTCATTTTTAAAATGAAAATGCCCAAAAAATATATCAAGAATTCTGAATAAAGACATAAATGACACATAATATTATTGTTTATAAATAACAAACTACTGTAATGGATATAAATGAAAAATAATGTACTGTAATAGGTTATTTGCATTTATTTTTTTGTAAAGTTTGTAAAGTTTATATTTGTATTTTTTGCAAATCTGCATGGAGATTTGGTCTCCATTTTTTAAATGTGATGAATTCTGCATATATATTTTTTCAGTTTAAATGAAATAATAATAACTTAATTCTTGATGTGTTCACCTTTTTCTGTGATTTTAGAATCTTTCCTCATTCTGAATCCTTCTAAAATATAATAGCATACTAGAATCAATTAATACAATTACTTGCAACCAGATTGTTTTATTATTACAAACATCTTTTTAAAACACAGATTCCAAATTTTAAACAGTAGTGCATATGCACAGATTCTGTGCATGCTCTAATTTCAGTAATAAAAATGATGTCCATCAGGTGAAGTGGAAAGTACATAAAACAGGTGCTTTTAGTTTTGAACTGAAGAAGGCATTTTTTCATTGTCCTTTTGGAAAACAAGTTACATAAATGTTTAGGGTAAATAATGGGAAAAATCTCTCTCTCTCTCTCTCTCTCTCTCTCTCTCTCTCTCTCTCTCTCTCTCTCTCTCTCTCTCTCTCTCTCTCTCTCTCTCTCTCTCTCTCTCTACTGATACAACGCATGAACCTTTACCTTGTTTGATGTAATTTGGCTGATGAAAGTTGTGGCATTCTTGGGAAACTGTGACCCTGGGAGTTTTTGGGGTGTTTTAAGTAGATGTGGTTTTCCTTCTGTGTAGATGCTGAGATCAAAGCCTGTGGCTGTAGATGTGACACTCTTTAGGCTTGGCTTGCTACTCTCTCACACTTACACAGTCAGATCCCAGCAGTTCCTTCACACTCAAAACACTGTGATTAACATAAGGTGTGGCACCACGGTTAATGCACATTTATCCACATTCCATTGACCTGTCACTTGTTCCTTTCTAGTCCATATTTAGAAGTATACACATGGCTTTAAAGAGAAACATAATGTAATCTGATATGTGCTGTTTGTTTATTTTTGACAGTTGAGTGTTCCCTGCATTATAACAAAAAATGACCTGATAAAATGTGTTGTCGATGCATCTCGATGCATCTTTTTTTCTATATAGCATTTATATTTTCTCACTGTGAGCTCAAGTTTCGAGTTCAAGTTTCAAGTTTATTTGTCATTTGCACAACATGTCAGGACATTTATGCATTGAAATGCTTGTGGTGAGGCTAATCACTCTACAGAAAGTAAATAAATAAAAATACAAGAAAAACCAACTGAAACATTAAATACACACGAAATATATGCAGAATATAGAGACAATATACATTTTAAAGTGACTAAGTGACTCGGTGTTATTGTTATTTAAAGTGACTTGGTACTTTTAAAGCAAAGTATTTGTAATGATCCATAATGAACTTCCAATATCTTTTTTAATAAAACAAATGGAAGTGAACTAGAAGGCTCTCATTCAGTGCTCTTGTTTGGAGCACGAGAAGCAGCTGCTACTCATGTGCGATAAAATGCGCAGTAACGGTGAAATAAGATCCAGTGGCAGTGGATGTCCACGCAGCACATTACAGCTAATGCAGTCACTTGAAGATGACTAGTCACTAGAAGCTTAACTTAATGAACAAATTTTTAACAAAATTAATGAATGTGTTAAATGTAATGAATGATGTTGCTTTTTGTATTTCTACAAAGAGACTAAAGTGCAGAGGTGCTCAGTTCCAGTACTGCAGGGCTGGAGTTCAGCACAGTTTGCTGATTTGCCTGCTGAAACACACCTAATTCAACTAATCAGTTATTACCAGCTGTAGTAGATGTGAGGTTTGGGCTGGAAATCACAAAACTGTGTTGAAGACTAAAGTATGTGGTTTTCATCTGAGCCATAATACTAAATAAAGACATGTCTAACAAAAAAGCATTTTACAGTGCCATGTCTTTGATGGAAAAAGTATAATGAGAGTATGTCAAATGACTAATGAAAACTCTTTTATTGGCAAAAACCTTAACTAAATGCTTTGTTTAGCTATTCATCGGTTTTATGTAGCAGTTTCCCCATTGAACCATATAGAATTGTTTCAGACAGTTTTTTTAATGTTTTGCTTGATCAGCCTGCTTCAGGTCACACCACTGCATTGCAGTGAGACTGATGACAGGCCTCTGACATGGCTATCCTAAAAAAACAGATTTTTTTTCTGCCCATTTCTTGTTGATTTACTCCTGTGTTGCATGTCCCAACCTCTCTGGAGTTTTAGATCATAGACACACACCCTGGAATTCAAATAGTAATCTACCATAAACACTACTTTTTTTCAGTGTTTACTTATAGTAGGCTAATGAACACAGACATTATCAAGTGTGAGGAATCGGTACAGATCTTTTATGTATTACCCTAGGGTTTGTTTTCACTTGTTTGAGGATTCTAAGGTGTAACCCTGCACTCATCTTTGTAGGATGCCCATGCCTTGGTGAAGCAGCCAGAGGGCTGGACTTATAATTGTCAGATTTAAGAGTGATAAATGCCAAAACCTTTAGAAATCCTTTTGTAACCTTTTTCTAACCTTAACATTCTCTTATGAGCTTTATCATTTCTTCTGAGGTTCATTTTCAGCCATACTGCACTTACACAAAACTCGTAAAACAAAACATTTTTTTTTTTTTTTAATGTCAGTTAGGGCTGATAGATTTATTGTTTAAGGTCAAAATTGCAATTTAGGAGAGTGCAATTTTCAAAACACAAGAGCTGCATTCTTTTATATAGCATACATTATCAAAAACGTTAATTAAAATGTTACATTTTCGTGTAGAGAAGTTGAACCAATCAGTCAGCCAACATCACAACTACAACTTACTGGCAGTCTGGCATACTACATTCAGGGGTCAAGCCTCAAGCCAGAAAAAGTGAACATTGTGATCTTTTTTTGCCAAAAGAAAAAAAAAACAGTCTTGAACCTTAATTTATAGAAAATCACACAGTTTGAATTGCAGTTGCAAAAAAATCGCAATTAGATATTTTCTCCAAATCATTAAGCCCTAATGTTCAGGGGTGAACTGATTGGAACAGATTACTCCAGTTACCCTCTTTAAAGAGATTTATATAGCTTTTCCATCAATGACCTTAATTGTTTAAACAATTTGTTTGATCAAGATATGCAGTGAAAAATGTGTATATTGTTTGTTAGCCAACCCAATCCCCAATTCCCTATAAAGCTCAAATTCTTAATTTCTTAGAATGTATCCAGGGTTCGTACAGGTGCTTGAAATCCGTGAAAATGCTTGAATTTTAATGATGTATTTTCCAGGTTTGAAAAGTGCTGGAATTTTGGATAAAGTGCTTGAAAATGCTTGAAATTATACCTGCATTTCTCTCACAACAAATAGCCATCTGAATGAATAGTTTGGTTGTTAGCTGGAGAAATAAAATAAGTCGCAGTCTAAAATGAAAACTGCTCCACCTGGGCTCGCTTGCATGTCTGCGTGTGTGATAGTGATGGGAATTTCAGCTTTTTGGTGAACCAAGATCATTTGGCCCGGCTCACCCAGTAGTGCCAACTCTTTTCTCTGCGCTGTTGCGGCTTCACGGCAGAATTAGATTTTTAGGTAAAAATAAAATAATCCTTCTTTGCAGGAAAATAAAGCTCTGCTGATCATTCAACACAGTTAGAACGATCAGGTCTTAAGCACTGGAGGTAATGTGTATCTGCTAATTCACCCTTTAACACTGAAGGTTGGTGCGCAGACCTCTGGTCACCACAGCAATGCATACAAGTCTCCCTTAGCTAGTAGCTCACAAAAAGGCAAAGAGAAAAAAAAAAAGAGGAACATCGATAATTTAGAGACTAACGAAATTAATTGCATTTATAATCACTCCAGTTGGTTTCCTGATATGTTTAATCTGCAGCGAGAAACTGTCAAACACAAAAAAGCCACGAAGCTGAAGTCAGCTTCTTGTTTGAAATTTTCCGTTCCACCTTACATGGTGCAGCAGTTACATTCTGGCACCTCGGGCAGAATTTAAGGTGGAACAGAAAAATTTGAACAAGATGCTGGGGAATGAGAAGCTGACTTCAGCCTCATAAAAAGTCCAACGTTAAGAGACATTTTACAAGAAGCTGTTCTGCTTTTGTTGAAAAGTTTCCTGCCAAAGATACAAGGAGGGCGGCTATAGCTGAGCATAGGTTTAAAGCAAAGTAAGTCTATGTTTCATATTGTATATGTTTTTGCTTATACTAGTACATTAGCACATACTGTGTCGTATTTACAGCCAAGATGTTAAAATGGACATGAAATGTTGTGGCTCACAAGATGGTTTGATTTTTGTTGAACGGACAAATTGGCTCTTCTAAATGTTTGGGCTGTCGACCTCTGACTTAAAAGACCTGGCTCAAAGAGCTCGTTCGCGACCCATACACCGCTAGCTAGTGTGTGCCTGCAATCTGCCAGTCTGTTTTCAAGTTGTAACTAGCCACTATTCCTATTGTTTTGATTGGCACAATACTGTAGAAAAAGGTTATAGAGCTGGTTGACTGCCTACCTCAAAGGTGAATGCTATTATTTTTGATATTTTCAGTAAATAATTTATTGGAAGTGAAGTTATTTGTCGAGTGATTTTTTGGGGTAATTCTTTTATCCTGACTCAGCAAGGTTAGATAGCCAGGAAAGTCTACTTACAAACAGGTGACACATTTTGAAACAACAAACATATGTTTTCCTTTGATTTCTTATCCTTCTGCTATTACCAAACACAATTCCGGTTGTTCATAGCATAATACAATCTCTTTTAATGTGATACAAAGTGAATTAATTATTTTGAGTATGTATGTATTTGTATAAATATGTAATTTACTACAGCTGTAAGGTGCTGGAAAAGCTTGAAAATGGACCTTGAAAGTACGTGAAAAGTTCTTGAATTTGACCTTGGAAAAGGTGTATGAACCCTGTGTATCAGTTCTCTGCAATTAAATGGTTTATGAAAATGGACTCTGAAATGTAGTATTTCGTGCTAGTTTTAAGCAATATTATGGCAATAGAAATCTGGGCACTTTTAAGAAATATGTCTGTGTGCTTTAATTATCTGTCAACAGGAAAGAAAGCACCAAGGGCACAAAAGGAGAAGCTGGCAGATTCCCCTGAAGTAGTCTTTGATCTCTTTGCTCAGATGTCTCTGCAGACATCTACAGAATCTGAAGCCTCAGCATCTTCAGAGATGGTCTTACCCAGCATAATGACTCTAGAATCCACAACCGACCAGTGCTCCACTGCTACACTTGATGCACCACAGCCCTTTCAAGAGCCCGCAAATCAACAGGAGATCCAGCCAGAGGTTCTCTCTTCCCCCTGTGATACAGGCACATATTCTCAGGCCCAAAGCTCCCCTTCTGTATCTGGTGTGCTTGATGAGCTGCACTTGAGCAATATTGACTGGGATGCTTCATCTTTCACTGCCTCCCCATCTCCTCAGCCTCAGTGCTGTGTGGCTGATCTAAGACTAGTGAGAAAATCGGATGATGGAGCCAAAACAGCAGACTCTGGCTCAGCTACTGCTCTTGGGCCAGAAGATGGAGGATCAGCAGTTCCACAGGTTGATGGTCTCTCTGAATTTCCACTGAGGGAGAGGGTCATTATGATGAACATAATAAAGTCTGCTGACTCTTTGAATGAAGGAGAACGCTCAACCAAGACCAAAGTTCACAATATTGATTTTGACATGAAGAATGCTGACTTAGCTAACACTTTCCACCCATCTTGCAAATTACTATCTACGAATCACGACGTTCTTCTCTGCTCACAGAGTCAAAAATCAGAGCCTAGTATACTTAACCCCTGTGCGCCAGCTTCAAAGGAAAAAAACGTCTCCACAAAAGCACAGCAGCCCAAAGAGTGCCTCCCTCAAGTGCGACCAAAATACACATTTGCTAAACCGAAAGACTCTTTAATCTCTTCAGTACTGCCTCAGAGAAGTTACTCTGACTTCAGCTATAAGAGATCACCTAGTGGCACTGCCCAGATAAACCAACAGAGTTTGTCTAAAAGAAATGTTTGTATTAACCAGGGTTCTTCCAGTGAAGACAGTGATGCAGAGAATCACCCTGGAAAAGATCAAATGAAAAGCAAAGTCAAAGCCAAGGCCAGGTGCGAACCACTTATCGCTCAAAAAACTGTTCTAGCCCCTCACCTGACTAAACCGGACAGACTCAGTACGTTTCCCATAGAAGAGCAGCTAAATATGGTACACCCCAATCAGGCTTCAGACTCTGAGGAAGGTAATTCCAATGATTTGATGGATAGCCCTCGGCCACTAGCAGAGAGGTTAAAACTTAAATTTATTAAGTAAAAAATGTGCATTTTCTGTAATTGTTAAGCCCAGAGCACACTGACCCAAAACCATGTTACAAACCCAAACATCGAGTTGGTGTGTCATACCTGTGTGAGATTGGGAATCAGAATGTTTTGCATTCACTCTGGTTCATTTGTGTTCTCAGTTCCTCTTCTGGAACAGTATAAAGCCAAATACCAGCAACAGAATATTGGTGTGTGTTGGGTTAGTGTCCCATGATATTTAGTGAAATTCTGTATATTTTATTTTTTTAAAAATCCAGTTTTCTTTTTACTTTGGCTTCTCAAGTTCTTCATATCATTGGGTGTCCCAGTATTGTAACATATTTCACGTCCTTAGTAATATATTAAGGTATGTTTCATGTCATTTAGCACATTGACTACTCTGCTGCAGTGATGCAAATAAATTGACAAAACAACAGTCTTTGTTGCAACCTAGTTTTGTTTTTTGTTTTTTTTAACAGAAAAAGTGACAGTCCGGTCCTAATAAAGATGTAAAATGTTTAAATGTGTGGCTTCCTTTCTGTGATGGGCACGTAAGCGTTTGGTCACTTTGTCTGTGACACCACAATTTATTACCCAGCCGCTTAGCTGCTGGTTCTTCACCTATATAGTGCCATGTTGCACACCTTTGCAGACATGAAAGGCCTCAACGAAATAAAATTCGCAGTCCTTGCTGTGCCTTCTTCAAATTATGTTTTTTGCAGGTCGGTCACTTACACCCACCACGTATATGACAAAAAACAACTCGAAATTTAAATGCCTCCACGAGTCAGAGAATGCCTTACAGCAGGCTACTCTGCTACGCGCTGCTCTTTCCTGTTAACTGTGCAGCCACCGTAGCCACATTAAACGTAATTGAGGTATTTTTGGACAGGTCCCTCTCAACTACATAGAAAAGGACCCTAAAGTGTCGTTTGTCTACTGCATTTCCCTGAGATGTGTCGTAAAAAAACTGTCAATGACCGCAACGTCCTCTTAAAACTGCTCCCCCACCAAAGGCAATCTAATTATTTTCTTTTCTCGCACCCATTACCACGGGGTATCGACTTTATTCGCACCTCGGTGACAACGAACGTCGTTTCTTCATCCCGTTTCGCCACTTTGGGTTTCTTTGAACTTCTTCGAAAGCTGTGAGCTCATAAAGTCTGCGCTGGTATAAAAATCCCTTCACCTGAGTTTTTACCACAAACAAGTGTTCCCCCATAGGCCGCCCGAGTGAATTAGCAGCACCATGGATAGCCTCGCTGAGGAAGTCGATCAGATGGATGTGGATCTCATGACAGCCAGGCTCTTGTCCCAGTGGGACTTGAGGGGTTTGGGAGAGCCACAGCAGGCCTCGCTGAGATGCACACCCTCATCCCCTGACTCTTCACCCTACTCCAGCCGCTCCTCCCCGGAGCCTCAGGCCGAGGGCGAGCAGAGTTTCGCGAGCTTTTCATATGACAGCCCACACGACAGGAGAGCCAAGAACGGCCAGCGAAAACTGAGCAAGGCGAAGATGTCAAGCAAGAGGCGCATGAAGGCGAGCGAGAGGGAGAAGCTGCGGATGAGGAGTTTGGCGGAAGCTCTGCACCAGCTGAGGGATTACCTGCCCCCGGTTTACAGCCGCAAGGGGCAACCACTGACCAAGATCCAGACACTAAAGTACACGATCGAATATATAAAGGAGCTGTCGGACATTCTGAGCCAAAAATAACGATCCTAACCTCCAATCATGAACACTGCTAGCTGCCGTTTGTACATATTTTGAACCTATTACCTGGCCTGTTGTTGTGCCATAATTCTAATGTATAATTAGTTTTTCTGGCACTTGTTGCTGTGTCATTTTAATTTCACTTATTTACGTATGCGTGTGTTCAGTCGCCAAACATTTCAAGAATGAGAATTTAGAATAAACCGTTGGTTACTTTTACTACATGGTGTGCTTTTTAACTCATCGAGCCGTTCAGTTTAAGTTAGCGGTACATCGAAATGTGGAGACAACAGCCTGGGCATTTGCATTATTTGGGTGGGCAACAACACAATGTTGTTTTTCCTAAATAGGGTATGTAAACAATGACATTGGGGGTAGGGGCAAAAGGGGGGTCCAGGCCCATTACCCTGTAAAAAGGAAAAAAAAAAAAAAACTTTTTTTTTTTTACTTGGATTTTACTATGAGCAATGAGCACTTGTATGAACTAGAGAGTGAGCAAATTTTAGTTTGGATCTTAAGTAGGCTACAATGGAACAAAATGCACAGGGTCAGGCAGCAGTGCCTGTGTGATTTGTATGATGAACACTTGTATGATGAACTACGATATTTCTGTCTAGGATAGAACAATGTCCCGGCCCAATATGATTACCAGATGCAATGAAGCTTTTTTCATTTTTATATTTTTCTTTACTTTTTTTGATGCTGTGTGTAATGTAAAACTGATAGATTGCAATTGATAGCTAGCTAAGCTGACCATCAATAAAGGTAAAAGAAGAAAAGTATGTGGAGACAGTATAAAGAAATGTTCTGTTTACCTATTGAGTGCAATTAAATCACACAGGCTGCTTGCTGAAAGCCGCATTTAGCTCTAAGATGATGCTAAATGTTTGGATTACTATTTATTATTGTTGACCTCTTACACCCGGCTCTTACACCTGCATTACGCTTCAGCAGCAGACTTTAGAGCTATAACTATATAACTTCCAAAGATATAGCATTAAAATTCCCCCAGGGTGGGGCATGACAAGAAAACAAACAATTCTGAATTTAATTGGTTTTGTATTTTTTTAACAGGAGTATGTGTTATTATCATTAAAGAATTCTACTTGGGCTAGGCAAAACAACAGTTTAACATATTTATAGTACGTATTATTATTAGAAATAAAATGATGAACATTATTTACTACTCAGTAGTTGTAAGTCTCTCTAACCGGTTCGGTTCACTTTTATGTATTTAACATTTATTCATAATTTATTTACTGTTTCTATTAACATGCAAAACCTCACCATATGAAGGAAATGGAGGGAGTTGGAAATTAACTTTGACTTAAGCGTAAGAAACATATAAAGAAATAGGCGGAAAAGCTTGACTAAACGTGAAAAAGTGCTAGACTTACTGGCTCAGTGTTTCTTCTTTTCATTTGAATTTTCACAATCTGTCAGTCCTGCGCCAAGGGTGCAAGAAACGCCAGGGCATGAATGAAAACGGTGATTGTAGAATAACTTGAACGCTGCCCGATAGACGAAAAAAAATCCAGTGACTCAGAAGCCGCCATTTCAAATCGGTCAAGACAGAGGGCCACTACAGAATTTCTTAGTTTATGTTTGAAATATTTCTCTGTTTCATTTAACATACAGGTGAAGTTATTCGTACGGAGTCAACTGTACGAGGTATTTCATTATCAAGGTAAGTTCCATCTGCTTGGCTAAAAATAACGTTAATAACCTGATTCACGTCTGTATGTAGTTAAAGAACCTAGTCAACAGACTCGTTAGGTTAGCTAGCGTAGCATTGCTAGATAGATAACTTACACCTCACATCGTATTTAGAAATTTGTTAACCTCAACAAAGAATAAGAGTCGTTCCTTATGTTAGTCAGAGATTTTATCCTGTAAAACGTCGTGTGAAATATATATTTGGGCGTTCACTATCAGTTTTAGCGTTAGTCACTGATACGTCTCTGAAATTACTTTAGCCTAGCTCGCTAGGTTAAAGTTAGCTAACTTAGCGTGCATTCAGGTACGACATTTAATATCTGAAATATCCTTACGAATGTATGTCGTATCGGAATAAGCTGAAAACCGTTTTAACATCGTGGGAGCAAATGTAGGCAACCAAATTATCCGTTAGCCATGTTAACATTTTCTCACGTAGGGTATAAAGTACCCACTTTTGTATTTTTATTCTCTGAATAAAACAAAAACTGTTCGTAACGTTATCATATATTTAAAAACTAATTGCCACATGAGTAATTCCAATTAATGTGTTTGGCTTACATTAGCTTAGGAATGTGAGGGTCTACTCTACTCTGCTCCTGGAGAGCTACTGCCCTGCATATTTAGATCAGCACCCCCTTTGTAGGCTTTGCTTTTGATATTAGGTTTAAAATCTTGCTGAGTTCAGTAGCATGAAAACAGAAGTCTTGGCATGAATTATTTACTGTAACAGGTACTTCACTTCGTGTATGTAGTAGAGAGCATCAACATTAACATTTATATTTAATGGTAAGAGTAGAATTTCACCCAGGTACAGGAGCTGAATAACTGAAGTGTTTTCTGAGTCAAGGATTCTAATATTCCAAAATTATTTTGACAATCCTAAATAAATTGATTTCCCCTCGAATGTTGTCTTTAAGTCTTTTAGCAGCTTTGCTAAATTATTTTATCTCCAAACCTGCAGATTGAAAACATTTTACATTATAGCATTTTGCTTGCTTTTAGAGTAAGACTGAGTGGAGATTCTCTTCGTATTAGGGCCCTCTTTAAACATACATGTTTACAATATTTTTAAGTAAATCACATAACCCACATTCCTAGTAGTTAACAAATATAGTAAATTATGGAGAGAAAGTGAGTGTATCAATCAATAAGGAAAAAAAATCCTTGCTCAGTAAGTATTATGTCATTTATTCTTGATACTATTTGTTATGATTTACTCTGGAATTTTACAAAAGAGAACAAAGAAGGTTGTATAACAAAGAAGGTTATGAAATATATGAAAAATTATTGGAATTTGTGTTTTGGCTGTTTAACAGATGGACGTTGCCACAGCAGAGCAGTTGGATGAGTCCACAGAGATAACAGAGACCACCGAGACGCCCGCAGAGGAGGAACCAGCTCCAGACTCCAATAAATCCAGGTAGGTCACATGATCAGATCATCCATTGTCACTTGTCAGTTTCCGCCCCACACGGAGAAATATGATGAACTGAGAACTTTTCTGTTTTCTTTTCTTTCTGTGTTATTTTTGCAGAGGTCGTGAGGTTAGGGGTCGAGGTAGAGGTGGCCGAATGGGTCGAGGAGGCCGTGGTGGACGTGCAATGATGAATAAAGGGTTTGGCCCACCAGGACGAGGACGGGGCAGGAGTCGCGATGGGTTCATGAATGGATTTGGACCAATTAGGTTGCCCTAAAGCATCCTAGAATTTTTGAATTTCTTAAACATTTCTGAATCTGTTAAAGGAACCTCTTAAAGGAATAGTTTGGTGAACATATCTAATTTACACAGTGTTTACCCTGACCCCAAAGGTAGTTTTTCAGCTAAAATTTTAGTGTCTAAAGCTTGTGGGGCTAATTTACCTAATTTCAGATTTTAATTTCAGACAGTCTTGGCTGATCACCTAATTTTATGGGGTGAAATTGTGCAAATTAGATTTTTCTAATGAGTATTTGTTGGTATTAATTATTCATTTAAAACAATTTGTCATGACTTGTAAAGCCAAAATCTGCTTTCTTAGGAGGGGAATGGGTAGACCACGACCATATCCAGATATGCATGGCAGAAAAGGAGGTAGAGGAGGTTCCATGGGAATGGGAATGGGTCCACCCCCACCACCTCCCACACCAATGCATCTTAGGGGACCTCCACCACCAATGCACAGGTACATACCTCTGTAGTTTCTAAAAATATTATCAAAGCTTCCATTTTTTTTTGTCTGATTTAGAAGAGAGTATTAATAAAATATTGCCTTGATATGTCTGTTGTACTTGTGTTTTTTCACTAGTAGCATGGCTATAAAACCCTTTGCGTTCTTGTAGAGTTGTAGAGTAAAATCAGGCATAATGGTATATTTTTTTAATATGTAATTAAAATAAGTAATTTTAATTTGATCACCGGCATTTGGGGACCCAAAGATTTTGGGATTGTCGTAATTCTGTACAGCCAGAATGCTTGACAATCTAGTATAACATTTGACAGAATCTACCCACAGAATCAGTCAGCTTTTGTAACTTGGTGAAATGCCTTTGTTACAGACATGGCCCACCTCCGCCACCTCCACCAGGGCACCCAGCTTTCAGAGGACCACCGCTGCCCCTGAGAGGACGGGGCATGATGCCACCTGGCCCCCCACCCCACTTCCACCCCAGAGGGTAAGACCTGCACCTAGATTCCATCACTTGCCCCGTTTTCTTCTTCTGTTCTTTCACAGACACACATTTGGCTATGTGCATCTCTACAGCTCAACATAGTATTTTCACTATTTGTAAGTAATTTGTCTTTACATTGCCATTACAAAGTTAGTATCTAGGAAACAGTCATTGCTCAGTCAAATTGTAAATGCAAAAGATTATAATAAATTCTGTACTGAAACTCTCAAGTCTAAAACTGTTGTAGCTTTGGACATGAATTGAATAATGCATGAATCTCTATTTTATACTAAATGCTATATTTTCTACAGAGGAAAAAACTTACAGGTTGTGGCACGGGCCCTTTTTTAACGCAGCACCAGAATCCAATTGTGTAATTTTATCCTTTCATGCAGCTACCACAATGGACCACCCCCTCCTCCTCCCCATCTGGCCCCAGGCAGGGGTCAGCGCTGGCCGGGGCCCCCAGGTGGCCGGCGGTTTTAAGACAGCTCAAACTCGCGATAAAATATTAGTCCGTATCTGTAGCGCAGGGTGTTACTAGAGGGTGCCAGTAACACATGTCCAAATTGACACTCCAATCTAGTTTATACTGGTCAACCATGCTCTATTTTCTACAGTGTTATGAGAGGGAAGGCCCCAAATCATTTCAGTGTCTTTTTATAGCACTTATTGTTTTAATTTTAACTGTATTCTAAGAGAAGTTCATTCTGTACCTCCCTAAGCATTGTGTACTTTGCGTGGTGCTAATCTTGTAAGCCTTAATTGGTCTTTTTCCTTGAGTAGTGAAGAATAAATGTGATTTTGAGAGAATGAGAGAGAAACAAAGAACGTAAAATGTGACCGCACAGTAGTCCTCACTCATCACTGTAAAATTAGTATGTTTTTGTGGACTCCTTGGGCCTCTCAGACATTTCCTTTTGTTTCATGGCTATAGTTGTTTTATATAAATATAGCTACTCAGTATTTATAAACAGCAGTTGATGCTGTATGGACATTTACAGAGAAAACAACCCATTCTGTATGTATTCCTG